GAAGTGACAACCGCCCCACTGGGTTGTGGGGGACATCACCTGATAGGGCAGGCATGTCCCGAGGACACGATCGCCAGCCGTTGCCATTGACCAGGGGAACATCAGTGATACCAGTTATTCATTCCGGCAGTGGTTAACAGGATTCGTTGATTGATTCTTTCGTGTGAATAGGGAACAACATATAGGATTCTTTTCTTGGGGGGCTATTGTTTCAACTAATTTACATAGGAATTCTTTTTTTGTACAGCATAGGATGAAAATTGTAAAACTTCTTAGCCTTCTTCTAAATAGAAAAGGAAACAAAATTCTGTTTTCTTCTACAATATCGAAACCAGATCAAAGCCTCTGCAGATTCCCGAATTGCTTTACTCGTGGTGAGGTGATGACATGTGAGGATAGAATGGCACTTCTTCATTACCTTTTCTTTCGGGGAAGGTGTGCGATTGATGTTCAATCGTCAAGCGGCCTTGTTTTGAATTGAATGCGCAGAACTCCTATTCGCATGCATGCATCGCTGGTCGGGCACGAGTGTTCGTGTGTACGATTCTTGGCGTTGCCTCTGCCTAATGGACAGTTGTGCCTATCAACGCCTTTAGTTGCAGGGAAGAAACAGGAGTTTTCGGCAAAGAAACTGACCCAATTACTGGACGGTTGATTAAAACCCGTTGAGCAACATTAGAATGAGTCGGTAGATTATGAAAAACTCAATTCTGTATTTGCATATTGGCCTAAAATGAGTTCAATGATTGTCTTCTCGAGCGGCATTCAATCTATATATATATTCACATCATTCTAACAAATTTAACCATTCAACATCTCTAGTGTTCCTTATAAAATGAATGCGATGCTTAGTTTAAAATTCAACTGGGATAATTAATCCTCTGGTTTGCATAATCTGCCCGCTTAAAGTCCTATGTGGAAACTTCAAATTCATTTATAACTTAATAAAAGAGATCCCAGAAATTGCTGTTTCGAGATATATATATATATATATATATCAGAATTTATTTAATAATGCCTTCGTATCATTCGCATAAGATTTTTTTTTTTGGGAGCACTTTTGTAGAGGACGGTTGAAAATAATTTCCAACAACTACTGATTCACATATATGCCTTGCAATTGCATGCATGCATGTACTCACATGTACAGTAAAGACGAGGCATACAACCAAAATCCTACCAATTCACACTTACAGCTACCTGCCCATGCCTGCTATTATTCTCCATCCATTTTATTTCTTCTTAATCATCGTTTTCGTCGTCTTATCTAAATATGCACCACGCAATTCAAATTGCTTAAAGTTGTTTTGATTTAAAGATTTTCTTTTATATTTTGATTTTTCAACACTTAATCATAATTTTTTATTAAAAAAATAAAATATACAAATTATCAAAACTTTTACGCTCTTTTATTAAACGTTGTTTTAAAATTTTTTTGAACCGTTCAAATAATACCGAAACCCTCGTCGGTTAAATGGATGATTTCTTCACTTTTTTTTTTTTTGGTTACAAGAGAGAGGGCTAAGCCCAACTAAAACAAAAGACTAACCAAAAGGGGATTCTAATCCCATCTGCTCAGCTTCCACTAAATTCCTTAACCAGTGTGGACAAGCGCTGAAGAAAGAAGATTTGCTTAGACCCTCCTTGGCAAGAGAGTCTGCCACGTGATTTCTTGCTCTGGGAATACACTGAATCTCCACTTGCCAATTACGGGCTAAAAGGTCTTGAATCTGCAGCAACAAGATACTGTTGTTCGTAGTGTCGGCTTTCTTTCTTATTAGATGAATTAGTTGCTGAGAATCATTTTCCAGCATCGCCTTCCTGAATCCCATGTCCCACACCAACTGTAATCCTTTGAAAACAGCCCATTGTTCTGCCTCTAAAGCATCACATGATCCTATAAAATAAGAAAAACCAGCAATCCAATTGCCCCTGTGATCTCTTAAGGCTCCTCCACATCCAGCTTTGTGTGAAGCCAAAGAAACTGCTCCATCAACATTTAACTTCACCCATTCTTCAGTAGGAGGTTTCCACATTGGCAGGGCTTGGGAATCGTGATCAGCTAGGACCTCAGGAGCTTGGGCGTAATTCCTCCAACAGTTCATTATGCAATCAGCTGGCTCCTTGGGCCTTGTGAATTGTGGATTGAAGAGAGCTTCATTTTGCCATTTCCAAAGCTTCCATATGGTGCATCCCCAAATTTAATCCCATGATCTATTCGTAGTAGAACTCAGATCTCTATTCAGATTCAGCTTAAACCAGTCCTATATGGAAGTTCCAAAGAAGGAGCGAAGAAATAGGAGATTCAAAACCTGCTTCCATAAATTACTGGCAAATTGGCAATCATGCAAGATGTGAAGAGTATCCTCTATGCCTTGATTACAAAAATCGCATATTGGGGAAGTAGCGGCCCACATACTCCTCCACACTTTTGTTGGAAGCCTATTATGGAAGGCAATCCACATGAAAACTCTGATGCGTTCAATACCTTTCCACCTCCAAATGGCTTTGTAAACCTTCTTGAAGGCTGAATCTTCACCTTGTTCCAGCAAATAGTAAGCACTTTTAACTGAAAAGACCCCATTTGCAGTCGCCCCCCAAGTTAGAGTATCTTCACCAACCGCTGGCATCGGAGGTAATTAGCAATCAGACTATGCAAAATATTAGCTGGAATAATCATAGCTAATCTTGTAAAGTCCCAGGTTCCATAAGCAACCCAATTTGCAACTTTGCTCTCTTCTTCCTCTGTAGAAAGAGGTCCAAGACAGAAGTCTTTAATAGTTTCTCCAGTTGACAGCCATTTATCCGTAAAGAAATGTATAGATTGACCATTTCTTACAATCCACTTCGAACCCATGTCAACAAGGTGCTGTTGCTGAGATATAAACTTCCATATATGTGAATCCCCCATTCTTGGCCTCCAGCAAATTATTTTCATTTCTCACCATGTATTTGTGTAGAAGAACATCAGTCCACAAACCTTGTTCTCCAGATGATTTCTTCACTTTTGAAAGCTCCAAGCTGTGCATATACGTTGGGCTTCGTTCGACCAAACTTTTTTGGACCAAATTCCATCACCTCGCTTGCTTATATGTACTCTTCTTAGGTCGCTGGGCGCACCCACGGGAGGTAGGAGGTAGGCTTAACAGGAGTGATTAATTCCTCACAAAATGACAAATTAAGGTTTAAATTTTTGTTAGAAAAGTTGCTCATATTTAATATCAAACAGATCTTAAATAAAATTACTTCTAATATGAGAATACTTATGTCTTAGAGGGGAAAAAAGTTACTGGGTCCCAATGTGCACCATAAATTGGCCCATGGCAATAAAAAAATATAAACAGACCCATTTACAAAAAAAGAGAGAGAGAAACTACACCACCTCTCTGGAATCTTCTTGAGGTACAAAAATTAGGAAGAATGGGGATCAAACAAATGAATTTTATATCAAGACTAATCTTTTGTCTTAGCTTACGAAGCAACCTAGTCCTCACGTTTCAAATTTTAATGCTGAGTATTCATTCTCAAAAAAACTTAATAGACAATATATTTATTTATTAGAATTTCGGGGGAGGGGGAACTTCTTGGAAATTTACTACATCTTAACAATAATTAGCTATATTACAAAACATATAACAACCCATTTTTGCACCTTTGAGATTTTGAAATTTAAAAGATTTTTTTTGAGATTTTTTCTTAGAATTTTACAGTTATTTTTTGAAATTTAACATTGAGATGTTATAATTTACACTCTATATTTCAAATTTTAATACTACTTCCGATTTTTAATATAAGAGTTAGTTGACTAATTTGAGTAGATTAAGCAAATTAGTTAAGTTAGTTATCTGTAATAAATAAGTATTATTTTTCCCAAAATATCATTATTAATAAAGTATATTGACTAAAACTACTATTATTATAAGAACTATTTTGAAAAAAATAAAAAAAATATGAAAGTAAAAGTAGATTGAAGTCTGATATTTAAAATCAAAATAAAAATCAAACGAGTTTTAATGTTAAGGACCAGAGATAGTATGAAGGTTTTCAAAACTTGTTTGGTCAATACATCAAGGCCTAAGGATTTCATATTTATATTTTAAAAAATATTACTCCAGGTTCTTAAAATTTAGTTGTATTTTTTTATAGTTCCTATAATTTATTTTTATTTATTATGTTTAAAATATTAATTTTTATTTTGAAAAATACTCAAAAGAAGAATGAGCTTCGCTTAAACGGTGTCGACACAAAATTTTAAGACACTTGATAGGACAAAAAAGATTTCATATTACTCTTCCGGTTTTAAATATAAGACTCTTATATATTAGTCCTAAATATAAAACCATTATACATACTTATATAAAGATTTTATATTTATGACCGGGATAGTATTATTTTCATATTTTGAATTTGACACTAAAATGTGAGAATTGGCAGCGTATGATAAATGTTACTCCTCCGGTTCTTAATATAAGATCCATTTAACTAATTTGATTAGATTAAGAAAATTAGATAAGTTAGTTAATTATAAGAAAAGTGACACGTTTTTCCCAAAATACTATAATCATCTTTCTTAATACCCCTCTCTCCCTCTGTTACTTGATTATGAGCGAGAGAGTATCTATAAGGGTAATTTAGAAAAAATTAATAAATATAAAAAATGGGTCTTATATTTAGGACCAAAATCAACTCAAGAATTGGGTGACCGGAAGAGTACGGAGTACGATAGAGGCCACAAGTTCCAAGTTTCGATTTGACCATGTTAGTCTCAAAATAAAATTCAATTCATTTCATTAGCCCTAAAATTTTGTCTACAAAATCAATGACCCTTCCTGCTTCGCCCGCTTTCGTGATCTCCTCCCCTTGATTCATCACCCCAGCTTGCTTCACCGGAGTTCTTCGCCAGGTTTGGTATGTCTTCTCTGTCCCCTCCTTCCTCGTGCGGCCACTTTTTTTTACACAATTTTCATTCAATTCATCTGTTGTCCGCGAATTTTCTGCTCTTAAATGATTGTTGAAGCTGAATTTTTTGTTTGCTTTTTTATGTATCTTAATTCGTCGATGATTCTCGGCTTTTTCCTATCGTTCGATAGAGCGATCAGCAGGGGTTTGCATTTTATGCGACTCACGTCTTTCCCCCTCCTCCCCGGGCATTAATTGGTAAATATTCCAGAATTAGACGGCCACATATTTTGTTGTAGTTGAGATCCCGTGACCCTGTTCTAGTTTGTTCATAAATGTATGTGATTCTAAAGGGCTTCATGCCAAAAAAGTGTGGAGATTATGCTTACTTTTTATTTTTTAGTCAAAAAGCTTTTTTGGTTGGATGAATAGATAATTTTGGAGCCAAGGATTACCTTTGTAGTGTAGTTTATCTAATTTTGCAAAGGCCATGCGATCAGCACTCCAATATGGAGGCATAGATGCGCACATACCTGCAACATAAATCAGTTTTCCTAGACTGCAAGAGAGGGAGAGAACTCTGCGGTACTTTTGTGTCTTTTGTGTTTTTCTTTTTCCTATTCCTAGATATCTCGGATTTTTTTTTTTTTTATTCCTCAAGGATTGCCTTCATTGTTGGTTCTCCAAGTGATGTGTTCTGTGTTGATGATTCTTGGCGGCAGCAGCAGCAGCAGCAGGTTGAATAATAAAAAAATGCCAAAAGTTAGGAGAGTGAAGTCCCCTTCAAATGAATGCTTTAGGTCGTCTCCTTACCCTTGCAACTCCAAAAATGTAGAGCAACACAGAGCCATGAATCAGTTGGGATCACCTGAGAATGTGAAGGAATGGGAGGAGGCTAGGTGTCCAATCTGCATGGAACACCCCCATAATGCAGTTCTTCTGAAATGTTCTTCTCACAAGATTGGATGCCGTCCCTATATGTGCAATACCAGTCACCGGCACTCCAATTGCCTAGACCAATTTTGTAAGTCATATGATCCTCATCTCTCGTCCTCAACACTTGAAGAAATCTCTCTCACCAGCACAGCATCTCGTGGCAGTTGTGAGGTTCAGGCAGAGCGGTGTGGTAACCAGCCACAACCAAATCTTGTTTGTCCTCTTTGTCGGGGAGAAATTTATGGATACATGGTTTTGGAACCTGCTCGTAGGTACCTGAACTCTAAACTCAGGAGTTGTTCCTCCGAGACGTGTGATTTCCAAGGGACATATTCAGAACTTAGGAAGCATGCTAGGTCTGAACACCCTTCTGTTCGACCATCTGAGGTAGATCCCATCCGTCAGCGTGATTGGACAAGGATGGAACAGGAATGGGACTTGGAAGATTTCCTTAGCTCAACCCAAGCAAGTTTTGGCACAGAGCTTCGCCCGGACAACTTTCTGACTTGGGATCTAAGTGACATGATATCCATGTTTTTATACGATATTTTTTCTACTATTGAGGACTTTAATCGAATGACTGATTTGTTCAATGATTCAAGACTTGGAGCGCCCGTGCGTGACCGAAGGTCAGGAATGATGCACACCCAAAGAACTCGATCAGCTAGATGGAGAGCCAATCTGTCTTCAACTCAAGAAGAGGAGATAAATCATAGAGGCAGAGGGAGATCGAACATATTATCTTTGCGTGATCGGGAGGCAAATCGTACAGCTAGATGGAGAACGAGTTTGTTATCCTCAAGAATGCCTCGTGATCTTCACCAGTATTGTAGGGAGGTTAGCCCAGGGACCGACATGCCTTCAACCAGGATGCCTCGCGCCTTGTCAAGAATCACTCGCGGTCCATCACGTCGGGACAATTTTTCACTGCGAAGAAGAAATCCCAGTGGCCGGCACCTTCGTTGGCGGGATCAAAGGTGGTCCATGCACAATGGCCTGTCATAAGATCAAATCTGAAAGAACTAATATGATATTCTGTGATAAGCATCTGTGTTATCATCCGTGACATTTCATGATTTTACTTGCACAATTTTTGTTTGGAAACACTTCATAATAAATTAAGTGAAGTTCTGTGAAGAGGCTTATAAATATGCAAGCATACTCGCACAGGATATGACATGCAATGATACCATAAGTCATGCTCAAATTTTGAATTTTTTTTTTTTTGGACTGACATGCTTAAATGTTGGTTGAAATGCCGCATCATATTACGTATGAATGAGTTCCCAGTTTTGGTGTTTCGAAGGTGGACGTTAGTCTGCTGGATAAGTCAAGTGATTGAATTTTACTGCGGAGACACTGCATAATGTCATTTTATTTCTTTGCTGAGAGCAATAATCAAATTTACATTTACAGTAAATAAACTAGCATGGATAAATAAACATACATCAGTTCGACGCATGGATAGATAAACTAGCAATACCGATATGCTGCAAATAAAACAGAATCAGTTCGGCAAGTTTTTGGCCACGGCCGGTGGCTTCGTTTTGCTCAAATTATGTGACAAATTAGGGCATCGCTGGTTGAGATTCAAAAAGTTGACTTTTTTTTTTGGGGGGGATAAGAAGTTATACTAAACTACAATAATACGGGGATTATAAAGACAAAACAATTGGCGTATTCCTAAGTGCCCTTTCTCTTCCTGCACCGATACTAGATCGACCGTCATCTATTGGAGGTGCATGAATAAATCATCCAACGCTGGTCTCGCTAGAACAGATTTACATCACACATTCAGGTCTTTCTATCCATCAAGAGGAGAAAATTGTCGAAAATCTTTTCTTTCTCTCTTTTTTTCTTTTTAAGAGAACGATATTTACATATCAAGTTAACAGAAACTTGTAGAGCTTTAACGCTACTTTCCATTGAAGACATTAAGTAAAAAGCATACTGAAATCGTTGGAAAACAATCACGACATAAATTAATATTTGAAAAATTGTTAGCCTGCTTTTGATGTTCTTGTTACATTTGGCAGGACAACTGAAGATAGATCCCCCGGATAAGGTCTCCACAAGCCCAATCCTCCCCTGCTTTCTTTAAGGCTACTATTCTTAAGTTGATCCAACTTTTTGACCCACTCTACGGGAGAAGAGTGCTCTCTTGTGTGTGGATGCAACAAAAACAGTGAGTTGTACTCACAGTTGGGAAACATGAAGAATTTGAACGACTCCCCTAATCTGTACACAACATAGCCAAAACTCAGCTGATCCCTTGGAGTGAAGAGATGAACCTCATTGAACCACATGCAGCTAAACAAGTTGTTAATTAAAGTATGTTCTCGAATGATTACCGCTCCCTCTGGTACATCTGCAATACCATAAATTCTTGTCAGCAATACCATCTAACATGTCCTTGAAGTGCTGGATTACTGATCTTTCCATATCGTGGAGATTAACTTGTTTCAATTCCATACAGAAATCCTGATAAAATAATCATTTTTACAGCATTCTCCAGGAACTTTTAAACTGACAAAGGATACATGCTTTCTTTAAGAAAATTCTCATTATAAATCCTCAGAAACAGAGAAAAATTCAAATAATAGATGATGAAATTTGTCCTGTCACCAGGTGGACCCACGCCATACAGACTCTTCAAAATTTTACCCAAAAATCTTCAGACTCTGACAAGTTGATGCAGGTTGTGCTGTGTTACTCGTGTTGATGAGATAAGTATCCATGCTTGCTTCATTTGAGGTAACGTGGTTAACTTCTTGGCTTATGTTGCTATTATTCTAATTTTTCCATCTAAGAAAGACAGACCAGGTTGCAGTTGAAATATAAATAAAATACACAACCAAAATGTCTTGTTTCCAGTCTTACCACTAATGGTCCTTTTCATCGGATTCCATGGCTTCATTCCTTCATAATAGTATATTTTCATGTGCAGATCAATTAGAGGGCGTGCATATCGCTTTCTTCTTTTGTTTGCATCAGCTTCCTCATATATGCTACGGTGATGCTTATGCTGAGCGATGGCAAATGTATGCTTCCCACGCCATAAGTATCTGTATGGTAAACACTGAGTTATTTCCATCTCCATCATCATCATCACAATCATAACTGGAGTTACCAAGTTTTGAAACCTATGACGCATTGAATCCCACTAGAATGTGTTTATGACATAATTAAATAGGAAAGTTACACTTGAACCCATCTGGCATTAAATGATTTATAAATGACCACAAAATTTTATTTTTTGATACTATGATTCTAAGATTCATTGTGGTATTTATGGGGTGTTTGGATGGAAACCAAACTATGGTTTTAGAAGTGCTTTTACAATTTACAAAATAAATATGTGGAGGAGTTTGTCTCGTTTTGCGGAAAAGTGCTTCTGAGAATCACCTTTTGCTGTTGCCAAACACCCCCTTAGATTGGAAATTCCAACATTTTCTACAAACATGCCCATATTCAGCACAAGGATCCTACGTGGTGAACACTTATAAACACAATGGATGAATTTTTAGCACTTTGATAGGGGAGATCCAAAACGCCACCAAAATAATAGCTTGAGTTTGTACAAAACAAGTTTTACCTTGCTTTGAATACGATGAGGATCATCAGTGTGAAGATAAACCATTAAGGGATGACTTTAGAACAGTAAATACTAAGAGTCCTTTGATAGTTTTTCCAGAATCAAGTTCAAAACACATGACAAGAAAGTCCATAATAATATTTTGCTCCTATAAGCCTATGGCATCTAATGTCTAACATTATAAAGAGAGAAAAGAGAAGTATAGCACTGACAGATTCAAATAGAGAACATGGAAAAACACAAGTAATTGAGCTCTGCAAAACCATGTATCCAGGGATCATTTCATGCAATCAACTGTTATGAAAAGGACGTGATACGCTGGGTTCAAAATCTGATACCTCTTACCTTCTTATTTACCTTCTCATCTCCCTCAACCAACAGATGCCTAAATGTTCAAAAACCAATCTAGAGAAACAGAATGACATATTCACACATCAGAAAGAGTAGACGTAGATTGGCCAATGTATAAGTACCTCTCAAGGATGAGCAACGGATCAACAATCAGCTCCATTTTACCATCAATCCAAATACTATACTGTGCTTGAGGGAACAGCCTGTGGGTTAAAATCTTGGGAACCTTTCCATTCCTTCTTGGTTCATCATAGGGTGGATGCTTAAGCAAGACAAGACGCCAAATTCCCACCCATTGTCCGCCATCATTGTCTTGTTTAACAGTAGCATTTTCCTTAATGAATTTCAGAGATTTCTCATCCACCACCATAAGAAAACAAAAGAGCTCCTTAGAACGAACGCTAATGTTTGATGGCTGTTGAGGCACATCATATCCATCAAAAATACCCGATGCAACAACGAACTTACATTTCTTGACAAAATTTGTGTCCACAGGATCCATTTCAGCACCACCCCCTTTCATAAACCCACAGTGAACCTGAGGGACCGAGCACATGTTAAGCAGGACTCATCTATGGTGAAAGGAAACAGCAATATGCATTTGTAAGATTATGGAAAAATGAATAGCATTAGATAATAATAATTTTACCTTCATGGTTGAATTCAGTTTGAAACTCTCCTCCCTCTGAGGCCAGCTTTGATGGCCTCCAAACAGAGGAGATGACTGAGGTTCATTATATGGAATTTCATCCTCAACAAAATACGATAAATTTTTCACAATTTCATCAGGACTTTTTCCAGTTGGAATAACTATTTTATCAGGATCGTTTGCAACTGGGATAGGACATCCTGGTGAAAACAAGAAAAATTAATATAAAAAACTAATTATTTATGTGAAGACTAAAAGCATAAAAGGAGGAAAAACTGTTGTAATCTTACTGTGAGGTTTCGATACAAATCCCATTGTGTCTAACATTGTGTAAACCTTGCTTTCTTTGTTACATATAGCTGCATGAAGCAATAAAGTACCAGAAAAAGGAACACGTCATTCACAATTCTGGTGAAGAAATGGGAAGGTATGGAATATTTTATTTCCACAACCTTTCCTTGGAGCATATGATCTACTACCCAAAAGAACATATCCTATAGTTATAATCCTGGTTATAGCATTGCACATTTGGAAATGCATTAATCAAGTTGAATATATTTGTAGTTCCAAACTCCATTCTAGTCTTCCCAAAAAAACTACTTATGATGATATACGTGACAAGCAAGCTGTCCTGAAATCCTTTATGAAACCCCACCCAACTATTAAGAGAGCAAAGGGGAAAACAAAAAGGGAATAAAAAGAAAGCAAAGAGGAAACGTAATTGTCATATGGCAATAAAATCGACCCAACAACAACATTATTCAAAGTTTCTAAGAATACTATTGTTTTTCTAGTTCAAACTAGAACTAAAGAGTTCCTTGCGTTCCAAAATTCACTGGAAACTCTCACGAAGAAATATGTTATTACATGTTCTTCAGGACAGGAGACACGAGACATAGTGGAGCCAAATCTATGCTATAAATGACATATCCAAAATGATTTGTTTAAAGATCTTTATCTGTATATTACATAAAACTACTTCTAACACCAGGTCTTATGATGCCATGCAATAAAGCTTAGCTTAAACAGAAGTGCTGTGGTTGGAAATAGAGATGGCCATTCATGGAGACTTTGCTATAGTTAAAGACACAAGAAAATGAACTTTGAGAAAACAGCCAAGTAACCAATACCTGACAAAAAGGAGACAGATGATTGACAAGACCATATATGGAACAATAATGCAATAAGAATTAATAGCATCCACAAGATTCCGGTAACAAGAACCAGACGAATAAAGCCTTTCTTCCAAACAATCTTCATGGGGTAATCTTGGGATAGTCTCCCTGAAGAAAATAAGCCCGCTTCAAAATCTGCACCATCAACATCAAATTTAATTCATCTACAAGGATAACAATACCTCACGGTACTGCGAACACATTTTCCACAAAGAAATTTTAAAAGCAAGATCAAAAAAAAAAAAGAAGAAGAAGAAGCAAACGAATGAATGATTTCTTAGTAACACCCAAAAAATGATGATGATGATAAATCTAAGCATACTATCATCTACCAACGAGCGCCTACTCGACAAATTTAAAAAAATATACATATAATGATAAAGCAAACAATCTTTAATTTCTTGCGCCCGTAGGGAAATCGTAAATCATCAAGCAACAGGATCTCATGAACTAATAAAAGTAATTCAAAGCACAAACAGAAGCGAACAGCGTAATGCTTCCCCACCTTTAGCATTTGGATTCTGGCTACTTCGTTCTCCTCTCCGATTTAACCGAAAGGAAACAGACTTTTGAAGGTCGCCCTCCATATTGGATTATCTCTTTAAGTTCTCATCACTGAAACATAAAAAGGGCATATATGTCAGGAAAGATTATATTTTTAACACAAGTGGATCCTAAAAATAGCAGGAATCTTCTATGTTGTCCTAAGTCCATTATAGTGTCATCAAAGATCCACAATCGATTAGACGCCAACAGCTGAATTGAGTCCCTCAACCCGAAAGTTCCCTCGACCAATTTCAGCTAGAACCAATTGAAAACCAAAACTTTACCAGGATATAAATTTAACAAGAAAAAAGAAATGCAAAGAAAACAGGAAGAGGCAGAAGAAGACTAGCAAGGCGAGGAATACGTCCAGAGGCAGCTTCGCGGTGTCTGTGTTTCGAAGAGGTGCATATAGAAATAACCATTCAGGTGCAGTTTGAGAAATCATAAACCAGTGTGGGACGAAGTAGATACCGGCTAGTGAAGATGAACCAATTTATCGCGAGGGGATGGAGTGAACCGGGTGAGGACGATGTGGGGAAGAGGGATCCGACGGACGGGCAGCTGATTTAAATTGCCTGGGAATGGAGGCAACAGATCTGTCTTCGGTTACAGAAACGAAGGAGGGAGTGAAAGACGAGAATCGATTTAATTAATTAATTAATTAATAGTTGATAATTTAGTTAAGTACGTATAGAATTATGCATCTCCCTGCCCATCTTTTACCTCTAGCCCAATCGATCAGCCGCCCGCCAAAATTCACATGGGAACAGTTCCCGGGCAAAAGGTCCGATCTCTGCTGCCCAAGCAACTGACCCGCTAGTCAGCCCAAATATTTAGCTTACTGTTTATCTCAAGCGGTTTTAACTTGTTTAACAGGTTAGTCCCTCGGCAAATCAAAATTCGAATTTTTATTAAAAGAGGTATTAATATGTAATGCTCAACAGTTTCTCAAATAAGATTGGTTTGAATAGGAGGATATCTATGCGTAGAATTTTTTTATATAAACTACTACTTCTGGTTCTAATTATAAGAGTTAGTTGACTAATTTGAGAAGATTAAGGAAATAAGTTAAGTTAGTTATTGTAATAAATAGGTGTTGTATTTCCTAAAATATCCTTGCTAATTAAGTGTATTGGCTAGAATTATTATTAGAAGAATTACCTTAGAATATATATAAATATAAAAAACAAAATGGATTAAGGTCTTATATTTAAAACTAAAATAAAAATCAAACATACTGAAATTAGTATTTAGCATTTGATAACTGATACTATCATGTCACTTTTAAATATTGTTGAACCTGAATGGAGATAGTCCTTTCAAAGCTTTTTCCTTTTCACACGCCCGGGGATTCAAACTCGAGGCATTGTTAAGGGATTAGATCTTTTATTTTGTTTGGCTACTGTTTTTTTCCCCCCAAAAAAGGTATTTTTATGCTTAAACTAAGTTAAAACAAAATGAAGGAGGACGATAAGATTCACAATTTTTTCCACCAAATAGGATCTTTGAATTCGCAACTTAATTTCTGAAAAACAGATAGCTTGTTTTAATTTTATTCATAAAAAAAAACTAAAATTTAATATTATAAGCTAATGTCTTTTTTTTTGGCCAGCTTTAAACTAATGTCACAGGTATAAAAGAATATTCTACGAATAATATGAGTTATTATAAATTTTATATTTTAGTTAGTGCAAGGCTAATATGTGAAAATATTAGTTTGTTACCTCATTTTAAAAAAATTACATAATCAATATAAAATATATATTCACAACAATATACGTCTCTTGCCAAAAAAAAATCCGTTTTTTTAAAATATTATATAATCACAACAAAAAATGTGATCAGTCCATATTTTTGAAAAATCCTCCCTTCTTTTTTAAAATATTTTTTAAATTAATTGACAGGAAGGGGAAAAAAGTAGTAGAGAATATTAAATTAACATGCATGATTGAGGGCTTAATGGTTTACTTCTGGATTTATAAAAATAAATAAATGTGTTTTAGGTTTTAATTAAATAATATGCCCTGCGCAAGGTGAAAAAATTTCGTCCCTGGGGAGTAGTTCAGATTGGGACAAACGTGAGCCTCAATTTTTGGAGGATTGTCATTTATCATGCATTTTTAGTTAGAACTTGGACGAGCGGCAGCCTCATGTTCCACATGTATATATATCCACCTCGCTCACCTCCCTTCTAGTTTCAACTTGCAGTACCATAAGCGGCTTCTCTTCTATCTCCATCCATCGGTTGAGCATCCGGTCTTCTAGCTAAGATGGAAGCTTTGCCGGCTTTCTCTGTTCCCTCGCTTCACATTTCAACTTCAACTGCGCCAGATATAACCTCAGCGATCAGAAAACCTATGTTCCCCAACCTCCACCTCAACTCGACACTCTCTTTACATGATAGGAAGAAATCAAAAGCCAGGTTTTTTACTGCTTTATCACCTACTGTATCGACAGAGCTCAGCACCGACCCACCAGTGGATGACCCAGAAATTGAAGGCTCAACCCAGAAATTCGATTGGTATTCACAGTGGTACCCTGTAATGCCGGTGTGCGACCTTGACAAGAAGGCACCGCATGGCAAGAAGGTGTTGGGTATTGATGTGGTCGTGTGGTGGGATCGAAATGAGACTGCTTGGAAGGTGTTTGATGACACATGTCCTCATAGACTGGCTCCTTTGTCTGAAGGGCGGATTGACCAATGGGGCAGATTGCAATGTGTTTACCATGGCTGGTGTTTTGATGGCTCTGGAGATTGCAAGCTCATTCCTCAGGCACCTCGTGATGGTCCTCCGGTAAAGATTCCTTCCATGTTTTGAGAAATGTCAGCGGGCAAAAGATTTTTATCCACAAGTATCCACGGTCCAATTTTAGGTTCCAAATGCTAATAATAGTTCTAGCTATCATTCAGAACGACATAAAAGGATCACGAACAAGCATCGTGATGGCTCAACATAATTAAGACTGTAAGCTGAAATTAACAATGTCCACATCATCTCCTTTCCAATTTTTCGAGTCAATAGATTCTCTCCTTGTCCTTTTACAGGCGAAGGGGAGGCGAGGGGGTTGATGGGCAGTCGAGATCGATTGTTTGTTCACTTGTTTTCTTCTTGCGGCATATGTTCTGCGCTAGTCTAATCTTCATGCTTACAGGATCTGATGGCAATTTCTCTTGCTACCGAATTTTGCAGATTCACACATTTAAAAAAGCATGCGCAGCTGCTTATCCATGTACTGTGCAGAATGATATCTTGTGGTTTTGGCCAAACACGGATCCTCAGTACAAAGATATTATTACGAGAAAGAAGCCTCCGTACATTCCAGAACTGGATGATCCATCTTACACTAGATCAATGGGAAACAGAGATATTCCATACGGGCATGATTCTTAGACTACAATTCATGATTCTTTATCTTCAGATATGTTTCGAATGGACTTGTAGTACCATATGATCAGAAGGATAAAAACATTTGGGGAAATAAAAATATGATTGATTTTATCAATAAATGCATTAATTCCCATAATCAATCCTTAACATAGTCACACCTGATTACCACATCTTACCTCACGACAAATGCTAAAAGCCCAAAATTAGTTATGGAAAACTATCTAAATGTAAAGATATATCAGTAGTCCGTTACGTGTCAAAAAACTAAGCCATTCCCATGCGGGTTGTCCTTGTGATTGAAATGCTTGAATATGAAATTGAGCACTATCCCATGTGTAATTAAAGGAAGTTTTTCTTTCACAGTTCAAGTAACTAACTAGGAAATTTATGCAATTTCAGGTATGAGGTACTGATAGAGAATCTCATGGATCCTGCCCACGTTCCATATGCACATTATGGGTTGATGCGAACTCAACAACCGAAAGGTAGATAAGATGAATGTCTGAACTTCAGTGAGTTCTTGCTTGCTTTATGCATGACACTTACCTACGCATGACTACATTGATTTCACAGAGAAGGCTGATAGAGAAGGGGGTAGACCCCTCGAACTGTCAATTGAGACGCTAGACATCAATGGTTTCACAGCAGATCAGGGTTGGAGCAACAGCAAATTTATGTCACCATGTATTTTTTATGCTTATTCTAAGCCAGATCAGCCTAATGTCTCAGCGTCATCAGCGGATGCTAAGGTAAAGTTGATCTGCAGGACTACAATTACACGGAGAATATTTCTTTTTTTGCCTACAATATACGGAGAATATTTTGACAAGTATGTGGTTATATGTATTTTAACACATTCGACTGGATTATTGCAGAAATCACCAAGTCAAAGGAAGTTCGCTTTGATTTTTGTTTGCATTCCAGTTAGTCCAGGTAAAAGCAGATTGATATGGAGCTTTCCAAGAAACTTTGGACTCTGGATTGACAAGGTTGTGCCAAGATGGTTATTTCATGTTGGACAAAACCTGATTTTAGATTCTGATTTATATCTTCTTCATGTTCAGGTGATTCCAGTTCATTTCAAAGTTATTCTTTGTCCACTAGCTGATTACAAAAGTCACTACAATTTTCATCTTCAAGATATTATTGACTTTAGATTGCATCAAGTATGAAACCAAGCATATTTATTTTTTGTCCTATAATCCGCAAAATAACATTCAATTTATAAGAAAGCCCATAGAGGCTGCTACTGAAGAAATTAGGTTATTTTGCTTGCCCTTGACCTAACTATGAAAAATTTGTAATAAATGATAGAATCACTAAGAATTCCTGGTATTGTTGAGCAAATGATGGGCACTCCAGTCCTCCCCCAAAAACTAAATTTTGACGTGTGATTTGAAGGCGTCTCGCACATTTTGTAAGCTATTTAATGTCTAAATCGGCATATGCATGTGAGAACCAATTTGGGTTTTTGTTAGAATATATTGTCTTCTGGTATTACTGGAAAACGTTGTAATAATATAATTACTTATATTTGGCATCTAAATTTTGTTGACAGGAACATAAAATAATGGATGTCGGTCCTTCCAACTGGCAGAAAGCCTGCTTTGTGCCAACAAAGTCAGATGCTCTTGTGGTTGGTTTCAGGAAGTGGTTGAGAAAGTACTCAGGCGGCCAAGTTGAGTGGAGAGGAAAATATAGCGGGTTCCTTCCTCCGATTCCTCCGAGAGAACAACTAATGGATAGGTAGCTATGACCATCTGGTTCCTTGACTCAGTTTCAGTTTTATTTGTTTTTCAGAAAGACCGTCAATTTCCTCTTAAAAACGATTGGCAATTTTGGCAGGTACTGGTCTCACGTGGTAAACTGTAAGAGCTGCAAATTAGCTTACAAAAGTTTGAATGTGGTGGAAGTGGCGCTGCAGATAATATCAGTTGCTTCAGTAGGGCTTGTGGCGGCAATGAGAGAGGGTATGTTATCAGCAGCCGCAAGAAATTCCCTGGTTGTGATGGCAGTACTGTCATTTGCGTTATCAAGATGGTTAGCTCACTTCATCTACAAGAATTTCCGTTATCACGACTATGATCATGCCTTCCGCTGAAAAGGATGCTTCTGGTGACAAAAGCACTTCGCAGAACTACTAATGCTGCTGTATATGCCCGTTGTACAGTAATGCCTTGTGCGGAAGAACGTTTAGATAGCGTCGCATGTGGAAACAAACAAGTAAATAAGTGCATCGGCCACTTGTCTGTTTAAATATAAAATCACTAATGCCTGTGTTTGGGAAGTGTTACAATGATATGTAATTGTACTTGTTTCTGCAGCGATATGTAATGAAACAGCATTGCATAATCGTGTGTGTTGTGTGGAAACTTGAGGCGGATGGATTGTATACTCAGATTGTGAACAAGAAAAGGAGTTCGTGAAATCATGAGTAATGAAACATATTACTCCATATATTCATTCCATCACGCGAACTTTATGTTGATACTTGAAAGGTTATCATTCTGATAAAAAAAACGAAAGGCTCTTTGCCAGTTTAATACTTCGTAAAATCTTATATTGATATTTTAGTACTGGAGAGTACTTTTCGGCATGGATGAATCATGCACGTGACTCGTCTCTGATTCACGCTTTCCCTGTTTTTTTCTTCTTCTTTTTTTTTAAAAAGGAAGAAGCATTCTCTCCCTGTTTAATCAATGCAGGAAATAGTTTTAGGTGGGAATAAATTATTAAATTAAAAATGTGAATTGTGAAGCATATTTTTCACCCAATAACTTTTTTCTTCGGTCAGAAATATTTTCTTTTTGTAAACCACGGTGCGACATATGTCATGGTGTGATTGGCATGGTTTTATCGTTCCAAAAAAAGTAATTGGCCTGGTTTTTTAATGAGTGATCTTAGATTTTATTATATATATATAATCCTTTCCGTCTCACTCACTTTTTTTATTTTTAATTTTAGTTTTCTTTAGTATATCATTTTTAAAAATAATTTGTCTCTTAAAAGTAGAAAAGTGATTTATAGCAAAATCCGACATCAATTTCTTCCACTGCCTTGCATGAGGATTAAGAAGTAACAGCCCCCGGGGGATAAAGAAGGGAAATTATGCACAAGCTTTAGGTGTAGAATTTATTCATCTAAGCTATCAAAAAAAGTCAATATTAATAACAGGTCCCAAGAAACCTTAAAGTATTTTATTGTAATTGTAAAAATGATATCACTCTCTCTCTTAATTTAAGATTCCTAATTCACAGTTTTTTTGTCAATATGATTGACAACCTCAACTGCAAGTATTAACAACCCAATAAGAAGCTATTGGCAACCTAGGTAGTATCTGCTAACAACTGATTTTATAGAATAACATAAACTCCACATAAGCACAAAGTATAATCAAATAGTACTACTCCATTCCTAAATATAAGACCCGTTTTGTAGTGTAAATTACTACAAAATGGGTCTCATATTTAGGATTGGAGTCGTATAATATGACAACTTTAATATTAAAATGGGAAGCTGTTGAAAGGCATGAACATCTTTAACTAAACCCAATAAGATTATAGTAGAATTGTATTGCAAAGATCCACTGACAATATCAACAGCGAGTATTAACTACTTAATAGGATGCTGTTGACAATCTAAGCAGTGTCTGCTAACAACTGACTTTGTGAGATAACATAACATTCACATAACATCAAATTATAACCAAATAGTATACTATAACAATTTTAATGCAAAAATGGGAAGCAGTTTCAAGATATTAACAACTTTAACTAAACCCAATATGATTATAATATAATTTTATGCAGAGGTGTATTGACAACAACCTCAACAATGAGTATTAACAACATAAGGGAGCTACTAACAACCTAGGCAGTTTCTGTTGACAACTAACTTTATAAGATAACATAACATCTACATAAGATTAAATTATAATCAAATAGTATAACATAACAATTTTAATGCTGAAATCATTATTGTATGAAAACTGCATAGCAATATTGTACTTATATAGTGTTTGCTGGAGGGTCACCGCATTGGGAAAAATGTGTCCTTCCAATATGTTGGAGGTGTTGTGAGAACAAAAGTGAAAAAGAAAGGCACAATATATGAAGAATTTAGAGCAATGATAGCATCAATGAAGAAAAAAAAGTAATGAAATGGTTATGAAATTTACAGTAACCTTTAATGAATGTATATTTGTAAATCTTGCAGATGACGAAGAAGTGGAACATTTAATTAACTTTAATAGAGAAAGTAGTCATGTATATATAGAAAATAGAGGTGCAAATTCACAACTAACAAGGGATGGTTTAATAGAAGAACAACATGTGTAAGTAAAATTTACTTATTTTGATTTTGAAGTAGTATTGACTATTATCAATTGTTCTGATTAAGTTGTTATTGCAATGGTCGAAGGTTGTCATTGACGGCCTTATGACTTGTCTGTTGTCAATTGTTCTGCTTAAGAAGGATTGAATTTCAATTTTAAAACAAAAAGCTTTACTATTGTGAAAGATGTCACAAGCTAGGCCATATTGTAAAGACTTGCAAGAATCTCAATCCAAGTTGAGCTTTGTTGGTGGCTTCTTTATGTTTTTTTTTTTTTGTGAATGCATGTGATAATATTGTTTTGTAAATATTATTACACACACCTCAATTAAAGGGTCATTAGGTACACATGCAACTCGTATACTTTTTTGAATGGGTTGTAAATTTGGTGTAGTTACATTGTAGATATATATATGAAGGGTAAATAACATCTGCAAGTAATATGATATAATGTCATATTTTTATTTCATTATATTTGTCAATAGGTTGTTATAGACTTGTTATTACATGCTATGGAGGTTGTTAATGGCTGTCTGAATTAAGTTATTGATATAAAGTGACAATTTCATGTACTTCCAATGTTCTATGATTTCTTCACATATGCTTTTAATGTTAAAGTTGTTATATCATATTATTTAGTTATAATTTGATGTTATGCGGAGGTTATGTGATCTTACAGAGTCTGTTATCAACCATATTGCCTAGGTTGTTACTAGCTTCCCCTTGGGTTGTTAACACTCGTTGTTGAGGTTGTCAATGGATCTTTGCAATAAAATTCTCCTGTAATCCAATTTCATGTACTTAAAACTGTTAGTACCTTGAAACAATTTACTATTTTATTCTTAAAGTTGTTATATATGATAATAACACTATTTGGTTAGAGGTTGTGTTATACCATAGAGTCAATTGTCAGCAACACTGCTTAGGTTATTAACAGCTTTCTCTTGGGTTGTTAACACTCACTGTTGAGGTTGTCAATCGTATTGGCGACATACAATTTGTAATAGGGAGAGACGCAATATGACGATGTATAGTTTGCGACAAACAAAGATGTCGAGAGGCTCACTATAACTTGGAGAGATGATAAATGGCAGACTGATTACAAGAGGGAGAGATGACAAAATAGGGAAGCAATTGTATCACGACGAGTGACCACAAAGGGAGACATGATGCTTGGGAGTAACTGCGAATAGAGAGACGGCGAGTATGAGAGGTGCTGTGTGGCTGATGCCTTTACTTCAAATGCCGAAGCAAGAGGCAAAGAGCAGTTTGAATGCTGAGGCGAGATGGAAAGTGTCTGAACTGTGAATTAAGAACCTTCGATTAGAAGGGATAAAAATGTCATTTTACAATTGTAATATAATACTCTAAGATCTCTTAGGACTTATTATTAATTTTGATATTCTTTAAAGCCCTGTTTGGATGACACTGGAAACCATGGTTTGGAAGGCCAAACCATGGTTTGCACAAAATGTCATCCAAACAGGCACACATTTTCCATAAACCGTGGTTTTGCTTGAAACCATGGTTTCATCAGAAGCCAGAAATTCTCGCTTCTGGCTGAATAATTGAAGGCAACCGCATTTGACCCAAAAATACCCTTGAAATCTGCTGGCCGACACCCAATAATTGAAGGCAACGGACTACTCTGCTCAGGCATTCTCTTCGCTTTTGCTCTGCTCGCGATTCTCTCCGCTGTGCTCTGCTCGCATCGCTATCACTCTTCTGCTCGCTTCGCTTTGCTCTGCTCGCGATTTCCGCTATCTCCAATTCCACCAGATGTCTCTCTCCCTCCGACAACCTCACTCTCGACTTCAGATACGATATGGCTCCGAACCAGAAGGAGGTGCTGCTGTTCTTCGATTGCAACTTGTCGTCGCTGCCGGGGGAGATGAAACAAAACGTATTGGGGTGTTCTGAAGGGAACAGAACGAGGTCGGTGCTGGGCATGGCGGTGGATGACGCAGATAAGAAGTTGAAGTATGCGAAGGATAATTGTAGGGGTGGGCCGGCTATTAGGACGGTGGTAGAGAATGTGGAAGGAGGGATAAGAGAGGCTTTCATGTTTAAAATCTTTAAAGAAAATTAATATTTTTCTGTTAGTAAAAAAAATTCATTTTCTATAAACATATTTAATATTATGTTTTATAAATATATACACATATTAATCATGTACTAATTATTATCTTATATATTATTAATTATGTTAGTAAAAATTTTTTCATTAACAATTTTATTTTTTCAAATCAAAATATATCATAAAATCTATCCCTTTTATAATTATCATATTAACTTATACCTTTTTTGAATTTTCACATGTAAAAAGTGCTTCTGGTAATAATCATCCAAACACTCTCACTTCTCAAAATCACTTTTTCTCAAAATCTATTCTCCAGAATCACTTTTTCAAATTACGGTTTGGTTTCATCCAAACACATCCTAAGTCTGAGGTAAATAAATTTTGCTTCTTGAAACTGTGTGTAATTTTCCAATAAAGAATAAAATGTTGTAAGTCGTAAATGTGAAGACACGCGGTAAAATGAAGTCGCAGAGAGAAGTTGAACTGACTTGATTCAGATCGGCCATCAACGTCACGGCCACAGCCACACCTACCGCCTCTGTAAGCCCTTCTCTTACGCTCTCTTTTCCATTTCCTTCCGTCTTCTCTTTCTCCAATAATCCCCCGTTTTCTCTGTCACTCTTAGGTCCTGACTTGCCTCAGATTCTGGGTTTCCATAGAAACCCATGAAAGAATCGAATCCTGCTACTGAGCCCATTGGGCAAAACCTCATCAAACTTATTAGCAATCTCTGCTTTTCTGTCTTCGTTTTCTCAGTTCTCATTTTCACTGTCATTGCCATCACCTACCAACCCCCGGATCCATGGCTGGAATCTGCTCCAGCTCTCACTAGGCTCTTCACTGAATCCGAAAACGCCACCTTCCAAACTGACAATTCCATAATCAAAACCGGTGAAGATTTGCCGTCCGTCCTCCCCCCGGCCGCCTCGCCCAAAGCTGCCTCAACCCCAATCACGGAGGCGGCAATCGAGAAGATCGAGAACCAAATCACGAATTCCACCCCGCCGCTACCAGACTGCGAGGACTTGGGTTTCGTGAATTGTTCCGATCCTCATGTGTTGATTGCAGTCGAAAAGTTTAATCTCAAGGTCTTCAAGTCCATTGCATTCTTGGATTACCAGACTCCGGTTAATGGGTCAAAGCCTGACGAGTGTGATGTGGCATGGAGGTTCCGGAACAAGAGGGAGAAGTCATGGCGAAAGTATAGAGATTTTAGGAGGTTTAGGTTTGGTGTTGGAGAGAATTGTACATATAAGGTAGTGCATTCTGGTGGTTGGCATTCGGGCTTAAATGCCAGGCGCCCCAGGAGCAGAACCAATGCTACAAGGGCTGGTGGAAATCCTAAAGTTGTCCCTCAGATCCATGACGATGAGATCAATGACACGATCCCCAGTTTGGGATCAGTGATGAATTTTAGGAAGGGGAAATACTTGTATTATTCACGGGGAGGGGATTACTGCAAGGGAATGAATCATTACATGTGGAGCTTCTTGTGTGGCTTGGGAGAGGCAATGTATCTGAACAGAACATTTGTGATGGACTTGAGTATGTGCTTGGCTGCAACTTATAACCCCAGTAACAAAGATGAGGAAGGAAAGGATTTTAGATACTACTTTGATTTTGAGCATCTAAAGGAGACAGCATCTGTTGTGGAGGAGGGTGAACTTTTGAGAGATTGGAAAAAATGGAATAAGAGCCATAAGAGGAAAGTGCCAATTAGGAAGGTTGTAAGCCATAAGGTGACACCATTGCAGCTAAAGAAGGATAAAAGCACGATCATATGGAGGCAGTTTGATGCCCCAGAGCCAGAGAATTACTGGTATAGAGTATGTGAGGGTCAGGCTGCAAAGTACATTCAAAGGCCATGGCATGCTTTGTGGAAATCAAAGAGATTAATGAATATTGTTTCAGAGATTAGTGGTCGAATGGACTGGGATTTTGATGCAGTCCATGTGGTTAGAGGGGGAAAAGCACAAAATAAGGAGCTATGGCCTCATTTAGAGTCTGACACATCACCTGATGCTCTTCTTGAAAAGCTTAAAGGGATGATTCAGCCTTGGAGAAATTTGTATATTGCCACCAATGAGCCATACTACAATTACTTTGATAAATTGAGATCTAATTATAAGGTCCATTTGCTTGATGATTACAAGGAATTGTGGGGCAACACGAGTGAATGGTACAATGAAACTAGGCTTCTGAACAACGGAAAACCCGTTGAGTTTGATGGCTACATGAGAGTTGCAGTGGATACTGAGGTCTTTTATCGGGCGAAGACACGCGTTGAAACATTTTATAATCTCACTAAAGATTGTAAGGATGGAATTAATACATGCTAATCAGGTTGGCGAAATTATATATTCTCCTTCAAATTAATGGTTTAGCATTGTCTTCCTCATTGATCCAGGTTCAGATTCATACAATGGGGTTCGATTTAAGTTTCTTGAGTTCTTGTTGTACTTGCATGTTTTTTTATTGTATTGGTTACTGATGAATTATGTTAATTGTCTTGATTCTATATACCTTCAACAGAATCTCTTCTTTCCATCGTCTTTCTTGACTTTCTGCATTGCCTTAGAAGGTGCTAGATTATATCTCTATTTTCATCTCATTAAATATTTTGTTGACTCCACGAGCTAACCAAATAGTAACTCCATGAAGGCTTGAAGGCAAGGGTAACGTTAATATTTCAAAGCTTAGACTTCCATTTGATGTTTGGAAAATGGTTTTGTAATTAACTCAGAAAAGGTTAGAAACAAGTAATGACCTATAAACTTTTTCTTGATCATCAATGCGGGTAATCAATAATTGGACTGCATACTATGTCTTTGCGATGGGTAGTATGCTAGGTTCAATGGATATAGTAGTTGTATTATTTCATCGTTAAACTCAGAAAGTAGTTTCTTGGTGATTCTTCCAATCAAACTTACCATCTTGTCTCGGGCTATGCCTATTTTTCTTATTTTGGTGCTTACAGCACATGATTTTGTTTTTTTTTTGAAAAAAGAAATGTTATTGAGAGGAGAAAGATAAGGAGGACATGGTATCTTCCGTAAAGCAGGTCAAAGAATGAAACTGAATAACAAAAATAAAAGAGATAAAAATTTAACTACGCGGCAAAACTGCCCCAACCCTTAGCAGACCTTGAAAGAGACATCCTCTTGAAGACACCCAAGCAAAATCCTTGCCCATAGGGATAGGGCATATTAATACAAGAATGTACCATTGAAAATAGTAACATTCTGCTCTAGTTAAATATTCTCAATTCAACAAAAACAACACATGGCAATAGATTGTCAACTCTCTTGATTCTGCCAAGTCTTTTGAATCATATAAGCAAAAACCTCTCTAAACCTATGGCCATGCTCATTTATCTCCAAAGACCCTGAACAATTTATTCCAGAATGAAATATCCCCTCAGTAATATAAAAACAATTGAGCCTCAGTTTGGTCATTATTGATGCACATTATACAATGTTGGGAGACAATTATGAGTTAGGTCTGTGAATTTGCTCATGTCGTTCATGTTTTTCATTGGATAATCATTGTTGAATCAATTTGAATTTTGAAGGAGCTTTAGATTTTTCAAATGGGTTTATCAAGAAGAAAAACCTCTTTAGTATGAGAGGACATGACGAAGTAGGACTAGGTTCCAAGCTGGAAAAACAATGTCAAGAAGAGACGATGGAGTTTATAATTGATTTGAATGTGTACTAGAAAGATCATTCGTAAAGTGAAAAATTGCAAGAATACTTGTTCACCTAGTTTAGAAACAGTATTGAAGTTCTTTATCTTGATCATGTGAAATTTGCTTTAGGCCAATGGGGTGGTCTGAAATCGTTGCTGGGTTCCCACTTGATGTCCGACACGAGTTTTGAGTTTTCTTTCCACATTGGACCATGAAAATCGATAAATATAAGGATGGAATTGCGTTCTGAGCTGAAGCCACCCCCCTTACATTATCTGAATAGGGAAGGGGTTTAGTCCGCAATAATCTTTTTGTCTGTGCTTTAGGTCCTCATGTACGATTAGTTGATAATTTTTCCCCTTGAGAAAGTTAAGAATTTCCTTGGACAATAGGTATATTTGCTCCCGCTTTTTCTAATTTCTGTTGGCTCTGGATATTAAAATATTGATTCAGACAGCATTTTAAATTATTTCAATTCTTGGGGATCTGTTCCTTATAAAGCCCATCATGGCTCATACTCACATTACTGCCATTAGTGTACAAGGACAGACAGATCCTTTTTCAAAGTACAAATTACTGCTTCAGACTTCAGAAGCATGGAGACACAGGGCAATTGCTATTTTATTCAAAAATACAAATTACTGTGAATCTGTACTTTCATTTTTGCTCCAGCTCTCATGCGGTGCCACCTGTTCATGCACGGGTGTGTATTCCTGCAAAAACAGAAAATGCTTGTAAACCTTGAGCTCAGTTGTTAGTTGTTAGCAAAGCCCATGGAGAGCGAATTTTCACAGAACTGATTTGCAGATTGGAAGATGACACTCATCAATGGAGCTGGCCTCTGCGTCATGCATATTGAATCACATTTACTTTTACTGTAGTTGAGGAGAGGAATGAATCCGCCTCTACTTTCATTTTAGTTGCATGTGAAGTGGCTGTAACGATGATACAAGTTTTGTAACAGCTTCTGGGTGCAAGGGTAAAGAGGCAACGAAGATTTGATCCTTGCTAAGGAAGTTGGAAAAGTCAATTAAACAGAGAGCGAGGGAGTGTTACCTCCATCTTGCGGAGCAGCTCCTCGGGGGTGGTTGCAGATATGACGATATTCCTGGCGGCGGGTTTGATGAATCCCTCTTCAACTCCTTTGTCGAACAATGCAAGCAGGCAATCGTAGTAGCCGTCCACGTTTAAGATCCCAACCTATTCATTCGGAAGCACAGAGCATCATGGTTCATGTCCAAGTTGTGTTGTTAACATTGTGGAGTGTTTGTCTTATTTACTGGTAGTGACCAGGCCTGTTGAGGGACTACTGAATTCATTTCAAGGCCAACCAACTTCATGTCAGTTTTGTGACTTGTGTTACCAAATTCCTACTTCAACTACAAGGATTAGTATTTCAATCATGTACCTAAACAATGGTTGTTACGTCATAATCATGGCCGTTCCTATCACACATACCCACAATGAGAGGAGACCAATTTGAGACGCAAGTGCTAAGCAGCCCCATATCAATATGATTAATTAATGTTAACGCAATCGCGTGTGAATCAATTATTTTCTTAGACTGAATAATTAAAAATTTTCGAGTTATATGCAATCGGAGCGCGAGCGTGAATTCGAAGACATCCCCTTTGGCCAGAATCAGTTAAATCTAGTTTGTCTTCAGAGTGAGTCTAAACGGCTGTCCAACTGATCCTGTTCCTTCAAACATTTATCACGTGTGTGGAGCGTGGCAGATTATTTTCTAGTTAATGACAATCATCATTATAAAGACTGCCCGCAGTAACGCCACTCTTTGTTTTAAAACAATTCACTCCAACCAATAGGATTGGATCTAGCAAAAGGTTAATTGTTCATGACGTGCTGAATTAATATTTAAGTTTCCACTGAGAGAGTTTAGTACTGGTAATGCTTCAAACAAAATTATTTCTAATAGAAGAATACCTCGCAAAAAAAATTCACAGTAAAAGAATGATTAGCTACCTGAAGAAGTATCATATGCTTAAACTTATGCATTCAATATACTTTTATTAAATCAAATCAGAAAAAATGAAAAAAAAATCTAGAATACATAATGCATGAAAAAAATTCACTTACTTTGATTTGATTGGAATTTCAGTATATAAACTTAAGCATCTCATTTATTAATTTCCATTAAAAATGGTGATGCGGACATTTTTACAGAAACAAAAAAGGTCATCATAAAAAAATCTTAACAAACATATGGTATCTAATCAAAGAAAATAATTAATCATGTGCCGGGAGGGCGTGGAGCGAACGAAGATTAACCATTTCATAATCCTAGAAAGATATAACACTTCTCGACTTGGTTGTTATTTTATCGTATTTCTTTGGTCAGATCGAGGCTTTATATTATAATAGCGTGGTTGCGTTTACTAATCTTAATACTAAAACTTTCCAATACGGCGTGCGTAGAATTTATTCCAGATGTAGCTATTGATATACGGTACTATTTCTTTAATTTTTATTTAAGGTATTGATAGCATGCCCACGTTATATCAACATTAGCACATTATTATTATTATTAAATTAATGTACGTGGATGGTCAATGGACGACGGCCAAAAGATATAGAGAGCAATATTTAATATAATAAACCACTGATATCTCTATACGTCAGTCTCTCTTTGAAGTTTTATTTAGTCCAACGGAATTATACAACAAGGCGTATACAATGTGTCGTCATTTAGAAAAGACTACAAGATTTAATAATTGGCAACACGCAAATTGAGATTCCCAAATTAATTTAAATTGATATAAGATTATTAATAAATTATCCAAGGAATTTCAGGTCCGAACACGGTTTCATGAAGGGGGAGGAGCACGTAATAGATCAGAAAACAAAGTCCATGAGGGGATGAAGATTAGAGAGAGGAGAACTTACTGGTTTGTTATGGATGCCGAGCTGAGACCAGGTTATGATTTCCAGCATCTCTTCCATGGTTCCGTATCCTCCTATACATACGAGTATGTATGTATGTATGTTCAATAATTAAAATGATATATGGTAATATGATTGGTATGAATTGATGAAAGAGATATGAAGTTGATTAATAATTAAATAAGTACCGGGGAGTGCAATGAAGCAATCTGCTCGACGAGCCATCTCGGCCTTCCTTTCGTGCATACTCGAAACAACCAACACTTGTCCCGCTGCATGCCCTGATATCTGCGCTACCTCACGTACACCCCATAATCAATGACTCAAACTACAACTCCCTCATTCTTCATGTCTATTCTGTGTTTGTGTGTGTGCATAATACAATCAGGCTTAAGTTTTGATCCTCAGAGAGATGAGTTTGACTCATCATTCATGTGTACGAATACGATACCTCAGCAGGAACGAGTGCAGCCGGGATGATTCTGTTTCAAAAAGGGAAATGATGAATCAGAACTGGAATCACTTTAATTTATTGATGAGTGCTGGGAAAGTTGAATTTAGGGCCACGGCGTGACATGCCAATGATGTCTAGAATTTCTGGTTTCATTCTATAGGTACGGTGTGAGTTAAAAACAAGTTTAAGGTTTTACATATATGGGTGAGAGGGAGTCGTCTCACCCTACCACAGAACAGCCGCCTTGGTGTGCTGTCCGGGAAACCACACCCATTAATCCAGTACTGCTTCCTCCGTACACCAAATCCATCCGCCTCTCAACCTGCACAATGAATTGAATTATATATATAATATATATATATTGAAATAGGGAGAGAGAGAGAGAGAGAGAGAGATGAGAGATCAGAGAAAGAGGGAGAGGAGGAATTACGTACGAGGTGTGTAGCGAGATGGAGGGCAGCGTCACTAAATATGTTTCTGTTGCCAGGTCTGCTTCCGCAGAAAACACACACCCTCTTGAGTTTAGCCATGACATGAGCAGCGATCCAGCAAAGGCCGCATCGCATCGCGTCTCGTCTTATAAATAATACTGAATGATGGCAACGTTGAAGAAGTAGGTATAGCTAAGGAGGGAGCTGCATATGTATGACGCGTGAGAATTGAGATGGCCGCATCCGATTCTTAATTTCAGTCAAACCACATTCTCACTCCTCCCTTCCTCTTCATTGGTTCCGTAATGCTTTTATATACATATTCTCCCTCCCCTCTCTTGCTTGCCCCTCCGTTTCCATAAAGTGGTTCCTCTCTCAATTCAAAAAAAGAAAAAAATGGTTCCTCCCTGTCGTCACTTCTGCATCACCATTCACCCACACCCCAACATCATTCCTCTATATTCACCCCCCTCCTCCTCTAGCCTCCGCACACACACACACATATGTATCCTTCTCCACGTGCCTCCATTTCTCTCATTGCCTTGGCTTTTAGAATGCTATTCTTCTTCTTCAAGGCAAGAACCGAACCTACAAACCTAACACTTGGCTCCACTCTATACATTAGATCGTGATGAAGGTATGGCGCGCATATATTTATATTTATGCATACATAATTACTCTTCCGGTTCTTAATATAATACCAATTTAACTAATTTGATTAGATTAAGAAAGTTAGATAAGTTAGTTAATTATAAAAAATATAACACGTTTTTACTAAAATACCATAATCATCTTTCTTAATACCTCATCTTTCTCTTCTACTTAATTAATTATAGTTGAGGGAGTATCCATAGGGATAATTTAGAGAAAATTGATAAATATGAGAAATTGATCTTATATTTAGAATCAAAACTAACTCAACAATTAGGTCCTATATTAATAACTGGAAGAGTATCTTAATTCGTGATTGGCTTTCACATACGATAGATAATTAATGGACATAACGGAAGGGAATGAAGACGCTGATTTTAGCTTTTTTTTTTTTTTTTTTTAAGTTCTTGAAAGATTAGGGCTGCGGAACTGCATTCGCACCATAATTAACATGCACGACCTGCTTATCCTGATATAGCCCCATTACCCTAGTGGCTGTCATTTCTCTTCCTTTAATTTTGTGCTTTCCTCACAATCTTTTTCTCTTTTTTTTTTTAACAAAAAAAAGTGAATACCTTTATCTGACCAATACAAATTCATATAATTAACTCCCATTATATTGTGTATAACCACCGAAACGAATTATTCCTCTAATTGCAAAATTGTGATAAACAAACTTTTCCTCACAAAAGTCTAATATGCACGATGTTCGGCCAGTGTTTGAATCTGACATTAGGCCATCGGTGGTCCACCATTTTCACACAAGTTTGTTTCATATATCTTGGACTCATCATGACTGACAGCGGAATCATTGTAACATATGACGAGAAATCCTTGACAAGAAATCGCTTCTTCAACTTCTTGGACATTATTATCAATAACATAAAGAAAGAATGAGCACGATGATGATCGTTGGTTGGTTTTCCTTTTTCCTTTATAACTAGAGGAGGAGTTGGTGTATGTCATCCGCCAACTAGCTGTGGAGCTAGACGCTTTATGCCTTTACTTTGCAACATAACAAAAGCAATATATACCATATAATGGCCACTACAGAATAGAACCATTAGCTTTAATTTCAGTGGCTTTTGTGGAGTAGACACGAGTTATAACTGGGGATTCCCTTTAACAGCTTCAAAATGAATCACTTAAAGTGAGAGACTAGATAAATTTAGAATGGTGGTAGCTCCTACTTCTATGAGATTCAAATATTAAAAGACAAACTCGTGTGTATATCTCTTCTCTCATTTTAGATAAAGTTATTTCGAAGAATCTATCTTAAAAGCACCTTTTTTAAATTACATCACATAAATAAATGCTCGAAAGAGATCAAACCTACAATCTTTCATTGCTAAAAGTAGACTGCGACGTGCTATTAGGTCATAAAACCATTAGCCATTTTAATAACACTTTGGGAGAGGGATGCCCTGTTTTTGGGGTCATTGATGATCGCATTAGGGAGATCAAGCGTGAATTACAAATTATGATGGCCAGCGGTCCCACCACTTATTAACTCAATACTTATTCAATCCCTATTCTCATTAATCTCCTTGCAACATAAAGCATTATCTTTTTTTCTCTTTCTTTTTTGATTACAAGGAGGCATAGAGGGTTGGGAGTGATCAGGGCATGTCAAAGTTCCAAGACACTTCGGTCGCATCAAATGAGCCACAACTCTTGATAACTCTACCAAGTAGAAGATGCACCGACCATCAGTTGGCATAAACCTATACCCGTAACACTCCCAATCACCTTCTTTGATGATTACAAGAAACCAGGAAAAAAAAAAAAAAAAGATTTTTCTCCCATGCACACCTGCGCACACGCAGGCATACGCGAATAAAAACATAGACACACATGAATAACCAAATTAAACAAATTGACAAAAAGCTTCAATATCACCCTGTGCGGACTGCATTTTTAACCAATCATGGTATCAGAATTCAGAAATGAACAGAAACTTCAACTGGTTCCGGAAACTGGAACAACATGAGGTCAAAGAAGCGCCATATACAATTCCCAAACGGATAAAGTATGATTACATGTAAATACATCGGAAGACATTGAAGGACCACAAAATTAGTGGTGGGGCCGGCAACTGGCAGATAATTTTTTCACATTTACCACGGATATGTGACACAAGTACGTGTGTAATGCTTGAATATATACAAGAAAAAATGAAACGCATTCCCGACGGCTTCAATTCTGATTTGAGAAACATACACCACTCCAGTGCATTGAGCAGCATCAACTGACTAACAGCCAAGTCCAATCAGCTAACTGTTGAGGAGTTAATAGATGAGGATTCAGCATGCTTTGCCACAAAGGACTCCACAAGTGGGTTCACAAGATGAGGTGCTTCATCCTTCATGCAATCATTTGGATTTAATAATCAATGACATCATAACCAAAAACAAAATAAAGTCGTAAAAACTAATAGAAAGAGAGAAATTATACAATGAGAGAATGGAAGAGCGGGAGATTTTCTGGGTATTAGCCAAAAATGGCACCCAAGAATTAACAGGCAGTTTGGTACAATTGGAATGGATTATAAATAAAATAGAATTAAAAAAGGGGTTTTGTGTATGAAAAGGGTGTTTTGTACATTAAATACACGAAGCAATGAGAAAGGACAATTACTGTTAAGTAATGATGATAGAAATATAATAGATATTGCATATATCACATTTATATAATGAGAAAGGATTCTCTTTCGAATACTCAAGCCATGTAGAAAGAGCATGAACATGACACCGCTGTAACACACAGCACGAACCTGGGGGCAATGACCAACATTTGGAAGGACAACGAAGTCTTCTACAGAATCAAAATCCTGAAAGTTTCTTCCAATCTCGATTGGTTCCCACGGATCCTTATCACCCCATGCTATCAAAACTGGGCACTGGAAAAAAAAAAAAAAAAAAAACAGAGAACTTTAAATAAAATATCTCATTTTAGCTTTTTAACTTGTATTCACTTGTTTGATTCCCCACGAGACACATGTCTAGGATTTTTTTATTTGAGAGCACAGCGGGAAGAGGAAGCTTACTTTCACTTGGGGTAGTAGTTCCTCAGGAAGAGGACCACCTGAATAACATATAAACTCAAGAAATACTTCTGCTGCTCCAGGTTGCAGCCCTGGATTAAGGATGATTTGCACAAGTTCATCTGTCACTTTGGAGGTATCGTGGTAGCACTAGAAAAAATTTGAAGGCAACAAGTATCATTACAGTGGAGAGTATTTACTATAACATCTGCATCCAGATGTAATCATTCGACAATGACAGGGTAGTACCTGGGAAAGAATGCTCCTCACAGATTCTTTAGTTGCAACAGCATTGAAGAACAACTTGCCAACAGCAGTATCCCTGTAAGGTCAGGAAGGGAATAGTAAAAATTTTCCCTGGCAAATTTTACCTGAAAGTGAACATGAAGAATCTTGCATTTCTTTTGTACCTAAGCAATTTCTGGAATGTTCTAATGAAAGGTCTTCCATACCAAGGCTGCTTCTTAATATGAAGCATACGCAGAGATATATTGAGAAGGATAATGCCCTTGCAGATTTGTGGATCCATTACTGCCGCCTGAAGACCAACCACCCCTGAAAAATAAGGAACAAATGTGTATTGATAGTATAGAAACTGAAATCCCAAGTATTGTGTATGACTCATGCGATACAGAAAGATAGTCGCTTTACAATAACCTTAGGAAAGAGAAGACAACTGATTGCACACCATTATGTTCCGTCAATCAACTCATAATAACTCTATGTTCTAGTGCTTGTCAGTCAATATTCTTCTTTTACATATAACCATCAAGACTTGTCCTCAAGATGGAGCAAAGAATCATACACCCAGCTTATAGACATTTGAGGAGAAAAGATCTTCTAAGATTCTTAGGAAGGACATCAGCAATGAGTCCTTCAAAATGTTTATTTCTAAAGTATATTGATAGTATTCTATCTAACTCCTCCAAAGTGAAGTTCTAGTTTATTTCAAAATGTTATGCTTGATTTGGCTAGACTAGGTTGAGATCTTGAAGGATGTTCTTGTAACCTTGAGGACATCAATTTAAAGCAATCTGTACACTGAGTTTCGTTTAAATGACTCCCGCTAGCATTTTGCATTTCCAAGGGACGATTCATGCAGTTCCATTGAGTAAATTTTTAGGATTCCAAAATAACATGGTAATAATCACATCAATCGGTGGATTCTTTTTATTTTAGGTTTGTATGGAAGACTAATCAGTCATAACTATTGATGATTTTTTATAAAATTTTCAAGTGACAGGTGCAAACAAAGAAGTAAAATGAATAATTACAACAGAGAATAGATGAAAAGGAGTAATTGTCAGATCCTTGCGGGGAAACATGATGAAAAATAAATCAGAGTTTCGAAAGTATTCACCTCCAATGGAATTGCATACAAAGAATGCTTCATCCTTAACAACATCAACACAAAACTCATTTAATTGAGCAGCCCATGTCTCAAAAGTATAAAATGAGTCATCTATAATTTGACGAGGATTTGGTTTATCTGAATATCCATAACCAATAAGATCAATGGAGTAAACCCGGTGAGATTTTGCAAGAACTGGAATATTTTTCCTCCAGTGATCACTGCAACGATGTGTTTTCTCAGTTACTCCAAGGAACAAAATAAGCATGGAACCAAATGGATCAAACGGCAAAACTTACCTACGGGCAATACATGATGGGTATTCTCATTAAAATGTCAGAGCATGTATGCATTAATGTAAGAAAAAAATCTCTAGTTAATAGCAAGTCATTTCTCTATTCTTCATAGAGGTCATGGGAAGAGAAAGGACAGCAAGGTGGCTTTAGTGTTGTGCTCCTTTTGCTGGAGCTTGGTTGTGTTTGGCTGGAGCGCAATCCTCACACCCACGGAGAATTAAGGACAATATTATCATATTCATATTTCATAAGTATGTTTAGTTGTATGACGGAAAGCGGAAAAATGCTTGTACTACAGAGATATGTGAACTATTTACTACTGTATTTTATAGAAAAAATGTACTATTAACTCAACATATGTGACTGTATCCTGCAGAAATTGCCAAAATCTGTTGAATCCATGGACAATTGATCACATTGACTGACTCGGTTCCCTGTTGTAGTAACAAACTGACATCGCCAGAAAACCAGAGGCCTTACCATTTTATATTTCACTATAAAAATGAGTTAATATCTATGTCATGGACCACAAGACGAAAAATAAGTGAAAAGGAAGCTGCTTAGGGTTTCCAACCAAAGATGGTGGACTTTACTTTTGGAGAAATTAATTCTAGATTGAAACTAGGAAAGATAACCGTTCCTATCTATTAACATGGCGAAGTAAAATAATAAAAGAGGAATAAAAAAAAAACCTCATTGCTTAGTAGCTTGATTGATAGCTTCACAATTAACTTAACCCTGCACCTCATTTCTGACTTCCATAAACTTCATAAACCACTTTAGTAATTCACTTCCATTATAATGGAACTTAAAATTGCATATGTCATAAGTGGCTTTCTTATGAAGCTTCTATATCAACAATCACAATCAAGACCCCAGTTTGATTTCAAAACAAAACCAATGTAAGCATCAAACATTTCTATACAAATTCTTTCAAGCAATTCTTCCATTAATGGCTATAGCATTTAGTTGTCAGTTAATGAGAAGGAACGTATGAGCAATGTGCACCTGTTTGCTCCAAAACCATGCACTAGAACCAATGCGGGGCCATTGTTTCCACAATGTTGATAGCGAACAGAGTAACCCCTCCAGTTCCAAATGCTGAAAGCCAGAAACATAAAGCATAAGGGTATATTGAGTAAATCAAAGTAATGAAACTCCAGGGACCGACGCAAAACAAGCAAGAGGGCGGAATGGATAAAAATAACTAAGTAGTCCTCTGGTCCTGAATATAAGACACTTTCGTAATGTAAATTATACTTAAAAAAGGGTCTTATAGAGGAGTATCAACATATCATAATGGGAAGGGAAAAAAGCCCTTAAAGCTGGAAGCACACGCCTATTCCATTGGCCACACAGCGTAGTTATGTTTGAAAAGTTGGGAAAAAAATTATATTCCGATGCTGCAATAATAAATTTGAATAGAAACAGAAAAGGGATAAAAAGACCAAACTTTTAACAACATGGCTGAACCAACGAAACAAAATATGCATGCAGGAAACGAGAAATAACGCCTCGAATGCTTCTTCACAACTCAAGTAAATTTGCCAAATGAACTCGACCTTTCGTTGAGGCAACAAAAGGTACAAGTCCTGGCTCCTGGTTTTCTAAGCCGAAAGTTACTTGTAACCAAAAAAAGAAGCCCACGATGAGCAAAAACACGAGTGAATCCATTGAAGCTTGGTTAAAACAACTACCGGGTTTGAACCTCGAACTCTGCGTCTTTAAAGTCCAACGGTATTTCAGGAACGGGAACGGTCTTCTGCTGGATTTGACCATGCAGACCAGAAAATCCGACAGTCTGAATTGATTTGAAGGATTTAAATCTCCGGAGTAGACGTTGAGTATTTAATTTGGGCAGACGGGTTTTGAGGTTAATGCAGATTGACGAAGCAGTTTTCTGGTTTCTCTGAAAAGAGGAGCAAGGCAAATCAATCTGTGAAACGGGCGTTGCATGGAGAGCTGTGCGCGCCATATGGTTCGATAAGAGCGACTGAGCGAGCGTACAAGCTCCAATCTCCGAAGTGAAAAATAACGGTCCTGCCCCCGGCTGAGCTCCTCTGCTGACTTCTTGAGGAGCTCAATGCCACAGTCAAAGCATGGGACTGGCAGCGGAATTCAAGAGCTAGAGGTTGCTAGCGAGCCACGCAGCTCAATCCCAAAAACCTCATTATACCTATCGCACAACTCCCTCTAAAATCTTCAGCCACGAAAAACAAAAAATAATTATATTTTACAAAATATCCCTACTTATTATAATTCCTTAAAATAGATTCTTCTAATTTATTGAACGATAAAATTGCCCCAAAAAGAGTAATGCTTTCTTGGAAAAACAAAGCATAAAGTGACAATTATTTGCGAACAAAACCAAGACCTCTAGATCAAGAGTCAAGAGTCATTTCTCAAAATTTGTAATACACACACATGCGTATATATCATTCACAGAAACAAATAAATTTAATTCGATTATCAACGTTAAGCTAAATTGAACTGGGATGACACTACAAAATAATAAGCAATTCGCTAATCTAATCCGTCGTAAATTCTGTCACTAAAATTAGAAATAAAATTTAGTGACAAAAAATTTTCATTGCTAAATTAATGAAATGATAGATTATTGACAAAATAAAATTTTGTTGTAAAAGGATTAGTGACAAAAAATTTTATTTTGTCACTAAATTCTGTAATAAATCTGTCGCTAAATCTGTTGTAAAAGGATTAGTGACAGAATTGTTCTGTCACTAATTTTCAATACTAATATATCACTAATTCCCATAACAAAATATTTTGTGATGGAATTTCACTAATTTCTGTCACAATTACGTTATTAATCAGTCACAAGAAATAATATAATATAAATATATAACAATTATTTTTAATATTTATTATAAAATAAAAATATAATGTATCATAATTTTTAAATAATACTCCTCCGGTCCTTATTATAAGACCCAATTTGACTTTTTATTTGGTCCTAATTATAAGACCCACTCCATTTTCTCTCTTATATTTATGCATTTTTTTCCAAGATAATCCTTCTAATAATGATAGTTTTAGCCAATATACTTAATTAGCAAGGATATTTTAGGAATAACAACATTTATTTATTATAAATAACCAACTTAACTTACTTCCTTAATCTCTTCAAATAAGTCAATTGGGTCTTATAATTAGGACCGGAGGAGTATATTATATAAAATACAAATACAAATATTATAAAATAAAATAAAATAAAAATATATAATATACTCCTTTAGTTCTTAATATATGAACTAATTGTTAAGTTAATTTTGATTCTAAATATAAGACTTATTTCTCATATTTATTAATTTTTTTAAAATTACCCCTATGGATACTCCCTCAACCATAATCAAGTAAGTGAGAGAGGGAGGATATTAAGAAGGATAATTATGGTGTTTTAAAAAAATATGTTATGTTTTTTATAATTAACTAACTTGCCTAACTTTCTTAATCTAATCAAACTAGTTAAATAGGTTTTATATTAAAGACTAGAAGAGTACTTATTATTTAGTTAAATATTTGAATAAAAATATTAATTATTAGAATTTTTTACTAAAATACAAAAATTAAATTGAAATAAATAATAATATATTAATTTATATATTATATTTATTATATACAGTTATATTTGTTATTATACATATTATATATATTTATTTTTGCATAAAAATTTTGTAGAAGTTTCTTAGCTCAATTGGCAAAAGCTTCAACACACATGGAGGAGATCTTAGATTTAAACCAGCATCATCCCTTCACAAAAATAGCCTATTTGTGATGTAGCGATGATGTGAACGAGAGCATAATGTGACAGCTCACAATGATAGACACGCGGCGATGACACAAACAAGGGGATGACGTGGCTGCTATGGGAGGGAGAGGAGGACGTGAAGTGGCAGTGGCTACATGAGAGGGAGAGAGGAGGAGGTGAGGTGGCAGTCACCGATATGACATGTGGTGGTAACCAGGGATTGCTATTTTGGGACAGAATTTATATAAGATATCGGTTATTAATTAGTGACGAATTAGTTATTAGTATTTTTTTCTCACACATTCCCTCTCTCTTCACCTTTATATTTGTCTCTTTTAATTAATAAGGGTAGAATTAGAAATAAAGTATTAAAAAATTACAGGTGATAACTAAAAAGAACCAAAATCTCTTCCAATAAATCACAACTAAAAAAAGAGAGAGAGAGTGGTACGGTCTCTAATGAAAGCGGGTTGCGTCCTGTGCTTATTTACCATCCCTCAGCGGAAAGCAACACCAACATGCACATTTGCTCTTTGGTTGATGGATGTGCCGCATTCATTCTGCGCTTTCTCAAAAATACGTGCAAGCTTAACTCAATCGACATCATTTTCACATTGATTAACTTAATGTTAGAGAAAAAGCGCATGGAAAAGCATCCGCATTACGGCTTCACTGCATGAAATTTATTTCAGGTGCTCTTTCCAATATTGCATTTGATGATATGCTCATTTCATAGTCAGGCTTCATTGCGGGCATCCCAACGAGTGCGTAATGAGAAAGCGGGCATCTCCCTTCATATATGATATGCTAGTATCTTGAACTCAATTAACGTCATTTTCAAAATGGCGAAAAAAATTAACGTCATTTTCACATTAATTGTGCGAATTAAACCGCGGAGTTAATCTCAGATCAGGACAAAGAAAAGGGTGAAAAGGACAGCATTGCTAGCAATTCTGAAGGCCAGTTTATTTCAAGTGCTCTTTCCAAGGTTTCAATATATATACTACCACTGAACCACCTTCTTTTTGGATTTTTGGCGTCTCTAACCCTATCATTTTCAGAAAGGCCAGTTTATCTGGTCTTTAGAACCCCGGTGGCTGTCAGTGATCGCCGATGCCAAGCCCAGCCACTGCACGGCGAGCACAAATCAAAAGGATGACGACAGGCTACGCTTCTTACATCGCAATGATATTCGTTCAGATAGCCCATGGAGGATCAAATATCCTCATCAAAATCCCCTTCGACAAGGGCCTTAATCAACTCGTCCTCGTAGCCTACCGCCAGCCATGCTTGTTCTATTCCCCTTCGCATTTGTGCTCGAAGGCATGTATACGCATCTCTTTATGCATAAATGAATAAATTAATTTGCAGCTAGCGCCCTGCTTATGAGTTCAAATTCGCATATGAAGGGATAATCTGTGAAACGCTGTTGAAGCAGGAGATCGCTGCCTTCACTCTCATTCTCGGTGATGCTGAAGATCTTCATGATGTCTTCGCTCGGAACTACAGTTCATCTAAATGTTTACTCCTCGGGTCTTTACCGCGTTTCTCCAAGAGTGGCCAGTGCCTTGAGCAACGTTATTCCTAGTTTAACTTTCGTCGCGGCAGTTATTCTGAGATAATCCTGGCTAGCGAATTACTACGGTTACGTTCCTGGTTATATCTCCTGCTTTAGTTTGTGTCCACTCCCTTGTAAAACTGTAATCAATTCAAACCTGATCGGTAACTATATGGATGGAGACGGTGAAGATTAGAGAAGTTAGAGGGCAGGCCAAAGTGGTGGGCACAGTGATTTGCGTAGGTGGGGCCCTTCTCTTTACGTTTTGGAAAGGAGGGGTTTTGTTGAGAGCATTTGTGGAGAGGCCCCAGATTCCCGTTCACCCGACAGGCCGTCCCGAGGTTAATTGGGTCAAAGGATCGTCTCTTATTCTCGTCAGTCATGGAGTGCATGGCTCATTCTGCAGGTGCAATGTAATTAAGCAAGCAACGTTACCATGTTAGGGATTAAATTATCTTTTGCAAGACCGAGTGTATCCGGCTCGGTTGTCTCTTAACGTTCTGATATGCTTCTTCGCATCACTACAGTCCTTTGTCCTTGCCCTGTTTTTTGCCAGAAACTTGAGCTTATGGAGGCTGAACTGGGATGTGCAGCTTTTGACTGTTTTCGATTGTGTGGGCTATACAAATAATAATCCTGTTTTCTTCATTTATTTTGAGTCTACTAAATCGCATCTAACTTTCGGAGGCAGGATTTGCTCGGCCAAGTGATAGTTTTCTGCATAACTTCGAATTTGGAGCACGGACTTGGCCTCCACTTAAGATGGAGTTAAAGGCCTGTCTTTGTATCTCAAAACTGATCGCCAATCTTCATCTGATATGTGTCGTTTTGGCTTGTATTTTCTATAAGGTTATTTGGAGGGAAAACCTCACAAAATTGGAGGGAAAAAAGGTTATTTGGCGACGACTCAGCGACTTGTTAAAAATGAACAATTAAGTTAAAATGAAACAAGCAAGTTGGTCGGCCTGTTGGATATGGTTAAATATATAGCCTTTTCGGGGAATTTATATTGGGTGACGCCAAATTTCTTTGAAAAAGGTATGATGGTATCTTTCGTACCAAATTTCTTTGCAAACATGGTGTATCAGCGTAAAAGGCCCCTTTTTCGTGGCCATGTTTATTCCGTTGTTGCTAGTTTTCGTGGGAATCTTCTCATCCATTTGCTTTTGCAGAGAGACTTCATTTGAGCAGGTGGTTTCATTTGTATATATACCTTAAATGTCAAATTCGATTCATTTCCCCCCCTAATTCTCATTGTTGTATACGTTGATATGTGTCATTATTGCACATATATATATGCAGCTTAGCGGGTGCATTCCTGATCAGTGGGGGACTTTACTGTGTGCTTTGCGGCAAAAGTTTCGATGCGGCTTCTGTCACTGAAAAGGGAATAGAAAAGCACACGAATGGGAATGAGGTGCTCCGAATTTGTGTCCAGCAGCAGCAGGAAACTTGTGACAACACCTCCTGAGTCACAAAATTATCGAATGCAGACAAGAATCAAGTGACCCACATATATAACAACATGTCAACAGTAGCGTACAATGTTGTGCTTGTTAAGCATGTAGCCTTCAGAAACTAAATTAGACACCCAAATATATATTTATATATATAATCACTTGTGCTTTCCATATATACTCATGAAGACTAGACTGCCCGCCGCAAGGTGCTCAATCAGCTTTGTTCCTTGTCTCTTTTTCTGGATGTGTCAGTCCTGCCCTTGTATCCTCGTCAGTCCAATCGCATGCTTTGGAGTAATGCATGGCTTATTCCTCAGGTTCTATCCTATGAATACGTACACGTGTAAACACACTCAAGACAAACGATGTATCGATCATTGTATTGTTAAGGAACGACAGGCGGTTTTTACCGTTCTTTGCAACTTTATTACGATCATTTATAGATGTACAAGCACATGGACACGGAGCTATAGGCCATCGTGTTTTGTTTCGTCTAAGGGAAAAGGGGAAGGTTGGCTAGTTGGTGGACGCGAGGAGTGCTGGTAAATTCAGGGCTAGATTATTAGGTACGTACGTGGTACCTGCAAACAAGGTGCATCAGCAAGAAAGGGCCCTCACCCATCATATATCATTCTGTACCATACCCATATTGTTGGTATATATCAACTGTCAATCCTTATCTCCACTTCTATTCCTGATCTGATGCCGCTGATGTGGATGTATTGGTTTGGAGAAGGCGAAGAGAACGAGAACAAAGTCAAATAGCCAGCTTGGTGAATTGTATGATCAAAAGAGAGAAGAGAGAATGGCAGGTAGGAATTAATAATAAATAAATGAAAATAGTGAAAATAATACTCCTCCGGTCCTTATTATAAGACCCAATTTGACTTTTTATTTGGTCCTAATTATAAGACCCAATCCATTTTGTCTCTTATATTTATGCATTTTTTCCAAGATAATCTTTCTAATAATGATAGTTTTAGCCAATATACTTAATTAGCAAGGATATTTTAGGAATGACAACACTTATTTATTATAAATAACCAACTTAACTTACTTCCTTAATCTCCTCAAATAAGTCAATTGGGTCTTATAATTAGGACCGGAAAAGTAGTTAGTTGTGGGGTCGGTACGAGGCGTCATGGAAGGAAAAGGGTGAAGCTTGGGGGACGAAAAGCCAACATCGTGCTCGGCTCCTTTTGGCTTGCTGCCTACGTACGTACGTACATACGTACATGCGCATCAAATGAATGGCACTCCCCTAGTGCCACCTAGCACATATTATAACAAGGTATTATTAACTAATTCACACATATTTAAAAAAACAGTTAAAAATATTAAATTCATCATAAATTTTAATTAATTTTCAATTATATGATCATCCTTAACTGTACTAAATTTTAACATCATATATTAATTGTTACCATTTCACCACCCTTGTTAAATATGGGCATTATGTGAAGAAAAAAAATATTTAACATTCATTGAAACTGGCACAGGCTCTTGTAAAAAAGGATCAGAAATTTCTTTTAAAAAGAGTCTCATAATAAGAGCCAGAGGAAGTATACAAGTATGAGTAACCGGGGGGGGGGCTAACTATATATTCATCATTCTTGTCCGGAGAGTATTAACGATGTGAGAAGCTACACTAATTAATAACGAAAAGGAGATGTGGGCGTTGACTAGATTAATGAAGAGGACCTCTAAGTGGGGGACGCCCGGGAGAAAGGTTGGTGTGTGGGGACCGTATTTTGTGCATGTAGACTTTGAGAACGTTTGGTTGGTTCATCGATCTAACGGTCAAATGCCTTCCCTTCCCTTAGAATTTCTCTTCCATCTTCTCACCCGTGATATATACATATACAAATGTATGCGCGTTTTAGATGTCGTGCCTGCCTATATATCTCCCCAGTTTCCATCCACATACATTGCCATTGCTTGCTTCTTCTTCATTCAACACCACTGCGAAGAGGATCCCCAGAGTCAGTCGCACATACACGCATACGCACGTCTTGCCTTCGCCCTCTCCGGAGCTAGGCTTTCCGTCAGGTGCGTTTTCCGGACACAAATCAACGCATTTTATTGCACAACATATCTCTTGTGTAATTGTCTCGATCTCTCCTCCACACGCACACACGCATATACATATATATGGTTGTTTGTGTGTGCAGTAGCCTGGGCACTTGCCCTTTACTGGGTTATGTTTGTGATGCATATCCCGAATCTTGATGACAATTAAGGTAGTATGTATTATTATGGGGATTCTGGAGTTGGGTTAATGCATAATGCACATTAATTAATTAAATTGCGGCAAGTGATTTTGAATGATATGTATATGATCTGGAGTGATAGGGTTAATTAGTGATGGATGTGGGAGGTATTATTATTATTATTATGAAGAGGAAGAAGAAGAAGGAGAAGGCATATAGATAGCAAAGCGGATATCAGAATGCGCAGAACTCTTAAATCTGTGGTCAACAGCCCATTCCTGCATCCGCATCGGTCTTTCCGCTCTTCCTCTATCTGATGCCCCAGAATAGTGGTTAATTAGGAATATATATATCTGGAAAAATACAAACACATACACATATTCACATGCATGCATCTGGGTGGATCTCAGGATGATTTACGATTGAAACTATGGGTGCGTCAATAGAGAAAATAAGGATAGGAGAGGGAGTGGTGGAATGGGAAGAAGCTACCAATCAGATGGGAGACTGGTAGTTTTAAGGAGAGAGGTCGTGATCACTGGTCACTGTGGAGCCGTTCATCCAATGGGTCAATGTCATGCCGTATACTATCGCCCAACAAGTCAAAGGTTGCCTCTCTGACTGTTAGTTTTGTCGGCCACCCCATCCCACCTCTATTAATTCATAACCGGACAAAGCTTTATTTGAGGTGGAGGCCCGGCCTTTATTCGGTTGTGGCTTCCCGTGGACCCACTAACGTCCAAGCCCATTCCCCGCACCCCATAATTTGCCCCAAACATAAACAAACAAAAAAACACAGCCTTTTCGTCGCTCCGGGCATGCAGCATGGCTGAACCATTGGATCTTTATCAAAAGATCCAATGGCTGTGTTGTAAAATGAGGGTAGAGGAGCAATCCCCTTCCCCCGCGCGCACCTTAATTTACCGCATCTCGTTTGCCTCGTGCGATTTGAATTTTTCTTGCTTTTCTGACCAAATTAATTTGCACGGATCAAGCTTATTATTCCAGATCATCCTAATTAAAGACTCCATTCTCATTTTTCTTACTTCAGCATAAGGTAGAAAATATATTTGTTTTAGATTATACTACTTTCGATCTTTAATATAAGAGCTAGTTTGATTTTCAATTTGATTCTAAATATAAGACTCCAATCTGTTTTGCCTTTCATATTTATCTATTTTTTTAATATAGTCTTTGCAGTAGTTACACATGTTAAATATTCAATCATATGATAGTTTTAGCTAATACATGATTTGCAAGAAATTTTAAAAAAGATAACACCTAATTATTATAAATAATTGACTTAACAAACTTTTTTAATTTACTTAAATTAGTCAACTAGCTTTTAACTTCAGCAAGAATTATATTATATTTCTCACATTATGCACAGCAATCCAATTCGGCTAATCTTCATGACTACCATTGGCAGTTAAGCCTAAGATCAATAATGTCATCTCCGAATGGTTTTTTACTCCCCACTGTTTCAGGAATATAAGGTTCCACAACATGCGAGGCAAACATACATGTCAGGGGACAGCTACCCTTGTTTTTATGAAATTTAATTTGGCTATTCATTATTTCAGTTGCTAGCTATATCAACACAATATATGTATAAATGTATGTGTAGAATCTCACACACACATATGTATAGCAAGCTTCATGTAATAGATCAAGACCCACCTAATTATATATAATCTCAACATTGATGTTTAATCTTTGCGCCATTACTCCAAGCACACTTACCTCAGCCAATATATAAACGTATATTGTCTCAATATGAGTCTTATTAGTTATGAGCGGGTCTGAAATTTAATTTCATATTCTATTTTTTTCCCCTCATCGAATGTATTCAATTCTCTTTGGCTTGTTTTTGAGATGGAATGTTTTAACTGAAAGTGGTTTGGTAGCCAGTATTCATAGTCTCAACAAATAGAGGACATAATAATATTGGTTTCACTTTGACCCGAGGGTCTGAAGGAACGTGAGAAGCATCTATTGCAAATTTGAAGGACTGGTTTAGGAAACCAAGATTTGCAACAACATCAATGACTTCTTTAAAAAACGTGAGAGATTTTAACCTTCGAATTGTATGCCATACATGTGTGTGTGTGTGAGAGAGAGAGTGAGAGGGAGATATAGTTGTATATTTACTACCTTCCTGGCTGGCTGGTTGGCTGGCAGCACCCTTGCGAATGGAAGGGATATATCCAAACCCCTACATGTGTCGCCCATATTTATATGGTTTAATTGACATATATTATTTAAAGTTGTAATTTTATTTTTGTGTGCGCGTCACCATATTTGATATTATAATTAATTTCTTATCTATGTATAGTTCCACGGTTAACTTTCGTTTGATCTAATCGCCACATGCTAGCTGGTAATTAATACACATCGCACACGTATATTGTGTAACAATAAATATAGTTGATGAATCATAAACAAGAGAGAAAGAATTATTTGAATTTGACATTATGACATGGTACGTGCAGAATATTACGAGTGACTGCAATGCATGGAGAAGATGGAAGAGCTCATACGGTCATGCCTCAAAGTAAGGTATGTTCGAAAATCTCTTCTACTCAGATCTGCACATTAGTTTGTCCGTTATTACCTATTCGCTTCTTAAGAGTCCAGTGAATACATAGCTATTACAGGGACTATCCATGATTGCTTGATTCTTCGTGGGAGGAATATAACTGGTTCTGTGTGTAGCTTATAACTTCATTACACACACGCGCACACACACATGTATGTATATAGGTAGCGGGTTCTGTTCCAAAATTGTTAAGCTACTCTGGGTCATATATTTTCATACCGGAAAGTTATAATTAGCAATATATATGAGAGAGACCAGATCAAAGCGAATTAATTTAATACTTCCATACTTCCACATTATTCCTTTTTATGTAATAATTAATGTGGCCTTAGATCTATATAATCACTTTGCCGTATAAGGTAGTCGTCGATCGACGCATATGGAAAAGGTTGCCTGCAGATTGTCCAGGCCTTTTCACTCACTTGGATCTATGTTAATATATAATAGCTCCACAGCTTAATGATAAATATATAATATATATTCAAATCAATGCTATTTTCCACAACACTTTCATCAACATATTCATCATTCCATGCATGCTACTTTTTCATTATAAATTCTGAAAATGCCCCTCAAGATATAATTTTTTGCTGGATGTATTAGCTGCACCATTAACTGCCTTCTGCTTTAACCAAATCAATATAATTTCAACGTTCCTTAACTGAGAAGGACCTTTTTTGTCCCATCATTTTTTGTGTTTCCATTATTAACTGCTCATCTTCAACTTTACGCGAAGAGAGTTCTATTCTACAAAGCTAAAAACCTTAAAAATGGGAACAGACCTGGTTTAAGAAAACCACACAATTACACAGCCCTAGCAATTTTTATTGTTTTTTTTTTGGGGGGGGGGGGAAGAGTATGGTCTCTATAAAGTAAAGACGCCTTCGAAAGCCTTTTGATACTCATGTTATATACTGAGATGACAACACTAAACTGATTTCTATACGTACCATAGAGAGTTGAGTGATTCATGTAGTAGATATGATGCTTCCTGTCTAGGCGTAAATCTATGGTTCACAATAGTTATACTATCTTTGGTTTTTAACATAAGAGCTAGATGAAGATTCAATATGATTTTAAATATAAGACGTCAATATGTTTTATCTCTAGTATTTATCTATTTTGCTCTTAAGTCACCCTTATAGTGATTGTTCATCTTAAAAAGTTTTTATAAAGAGATAATTTTAATGTACATGATTAATAAAAGTATTTTAGAAAAGAAAATATCTATTAATATCTTGTAGGTATCATGCGTGTTGATGTTTATCTGGACACACGCCTATATATGCATGATTGAAGGCACATATAGAGCGCACATTGACTTGACCTGCAAATGTGTGTGTGTGTGGATCAAATGCTAGGTAAGGAAAAAAAAAACAATTAGAATAAAAATTTGTTGTAATTTGCTGCTGCTGCTGCTATTTGTGTGTGTAGAAGAGGACATGGACTGTTTATATTGCAACATACATCTGGGCTGGAAAACACCATGAGTTTCATATTACATTGTTAATTTACGAGTAACATCTAATAAATGTAGTCAAATTGACTGATTGATTTGATTGCGATGTCTCAGTAAAACATCTGTGTGAACTAAGGGCATGGCATCATGCTGGTTAGAATTGATGAATGTTGATAGATGTGAGGGAGGAACACCGTACCATATAAAGACTGGGGATGAATAAGCAAGCTAATTAAGACTTCAACATGATTAACTTTAATTTCTCCCTGGCGAATCATGAAGTCTTTTTAATTTCGGCACCAAGTGGTATCTAGCTAATAATATGTTTTTAAGATGTGCCTGCTATTCTCATTGCTTCTATAATTCATATCTAATACTATAAGAAGATAAACTAATATCTATAAATTGATTAGGCCACGTACTACATGGATTTCTCAGTTTGATAATCTGTGTCCGTGTGTCGTGCCAGTATTAGTTGAACTAGTTTCATGTCCACCATGCTCTGGGTATCCCAGCTGATAATTTACTTCGATCGAAGCATGCATGTCTTCATTCGTCATCTGTTGTAAGTTCACACTCATAGATTGGAATAAATTATTTGACAGGACTGTAGGATAGATCAGTAAGTCATCTAGGTAATATATTTATATATATATGTATATATGTATGTATATGATGATCTGTTTAGAAAGGTAATGCATGAATATATATTTGTAGAGAGAGAGAGAGAGTAGAATTAACATATGCATTTTCCATATCCTGCGTAGATATAAATTGAATATGTGATACATAAAAGATGCAAATCTATTACACAGTGGAGACCGGTTTATTATACAACAAAACTGGAGAAGACAATACACAGGTGAATACATGCATGATACAAGACCCATTGAATAAAAACCCTAGGTACATGCGTAGATGCTGACACGGACATCCCCAGTGTGTCATGCATGTACTGGACAACTACTTTCCTCTCTTGGTCTCTTCATTGTTGCATATGATATGAATACACGAACCACCAAAATATAGAATACATGATACACACAAGACGCAATAAATAAGTGCACTCCGCTTCATACAAGTACTGAATTGGATGGAGGGCGACTGTGCTAGTGGACAGCATCTGCATCGGCTGGCATACTGTTGGGATCTTCGTCCCAGGCCACACCATTGATGCCACTACAAGGAGGCGGTGGGGGCGCCTGCTGCTGCAGCTGCTGAGCAGAAAAGGCATCGTCGTTGATCAGTGAGTTGATGAAAGAGGAGAAAACATCGTCGGCACAGTAGTTGATATCCTCGTCCTCCTCCTCATTGGGATTGCTGGGGGTGTTGGACATGGGGATTGCAGGCAGATCCCCAAGGGCCAATGCTTCATCATATGGATCCAAGGAGTGACAGTATGGATTGGGGTCCTGCTCAGTAATTGGGGGTTTGTCATCGGGATTAGGTTTAGTAGTAGCGCTGGGGTTGGATGATGAGTTGTTACGGTCATGAAGATGATGATGCGAACAAGGAGCAGCACTGGTTGATGGGTGAGTATTAGGCTTGAGGGGCTTGTGGGTGCGGGGATCAATGCCTTGGCTGATCAGCTTCTTGCTGAGATGGGTATTCCAGTAGTTCTTAATCTCATTATCGGTTCTCCCAGGGATCCTGCCCGCTATCAGAGACCACCTGCCACCACACACAAACCCTAATTTGATGAGCTCGAGCGGAAATTAAGAAATTAAGAAGATATGCAGAGGCGGGTGGGATTGGAGTGAACAGAGAAGAAGAAGGGGGGGGAGTGCTCACCGGTTGCCGAGGAGGCGATGGAGGCGGAGGATGAGATCCTCCTCGTCGGGGGCGATGTGGCCGCGCTTGACGGAGGGGCGGAGATAGTTCATCCAACGGAGGCGGCAGCTTTTGCCGCAGCGGAGGAGACCGGCTCTCTTGGGGAGGGTTCGCCACCTGCCCTCTCCCTCTTTCTGGATGTACTTGGAGAGGAGCTCGTCTTCCTCAGGAGTCCAGGGGCCTCTCTTGATGCCTACTTTGCTGCAGCAGGGTGTGGTCTTAGCAGATGGATTGGGAGGGGCGGCTTGTGCTGGGCGCGACGACGCCGATGAGGGTTTTCTCATATCTTAGGCTTCGGAAATGGATCTGTGTAATTGGAGAAGGGCGACGCGCGCAAGAAGAGATGAGATGATGATATAATATATACGCAGGAGGCATAGTATACCATTTGCCCAGCCACGTTGTCGTTGTTATGGTATGACAAACATTTGTGAAGACTGAAACCCCCCTCCCCTCCACTCCACTCCCCACATTCACTCCCACGCGCTGTCCCGCTCCCACGCCCTTTACTTACTTTCTTAGCCGTTAAGCTTTTCCTCCCGAAACCTGGAACAGTTACCGTGATTTAGATTATTTAGATTTTATTTGAATGGTGTAGATTTACCTTTTTATTTTTATTTATTTAAAATAATTATTTTAATAAATATAGAATATAAAATAAAAATAATTTTTTAGCTATTATTTTTTTAAAAATTAATTCTAGAATACTCATCATGATAATAAACACTGGAATTAGTTTCCAAAAGCTGCCATCTTCATATTTTCTTCTCCTTGTTTCCCCACCTCTCTCTAACTCTTGGTATTAATCCAATTTAAAAACTCCCCCCACCTGTTTCAAATCCTTTCTTTTTAAGTTTCTCTGCTGACACAAAGTGAAAGTGCATTCCTTTTTTTTTTTTTGTGTAATACTAACATAACAAAGGAAGGAGTTCGATATTATTCACTTGTTTTACGGCAGGATGCGGGCAAAAGCTTAGAGCGTGGATTTTAAGCTTCTTGTTGGCGCGTAGAATCCATTGTTGCTGGGGGCCCACGGCCATAAATATGGGCCTGGAGCACTTTATCTGAAGTGATTCGGTTGGGCTATGTGGGCCGGTGACATCAACCCGTCTCATGTCTGTTTCCTTTTAACAGTTTTACTTTCACTTGTACCCACAAAAAATAAAAAAAATAAAAAAAAAATTCATGTACCGAAAAGGTCAAGAAAAGGGTTTGACTTTCACTGTATCCATCGCCCATAATTTCTTTGTCATGTCGGTTAATGCCATCCACGAGGAAAAATCTGCTGTTCGGGTTTTACATTTTTCGTTACTAATTCTTCTATAATTAATTATATCATATTTATATCTCTCATAACTTTAAATTTCATGATTAAATTAACGCCTCCCAAACGTCTGTTTGTGATCCAGTTACCCAAAAAAAAAAAAAGGGTTCCCTTTGTCTGTTCCAGACTTCCAGTTCACCAAACTCATTGCCAAAACAAAGATGCCGCCAGTGGAGAAGATATTTCGGATGCTGGAACGAGAAGATGGATTCAATATCTCGCCACGGTGTAGAACTTTATTAGCAAGTTAATTTATTGACATTTTAAAGGAAATCCAAAACCCAAATTAAACTAATAAGATACCCCATAGAAATGGCTCCCGGGAATAATAAATGCAAGAAGTTGCGGCTTATTCAACTCCATTCTCCTCGTTTTATCTTCAAAACATCCCTGACTTCTCACTCCATCATTATCATCGTTACCTTAGTTACTTTATCTGCCATTTCTTTGTTCTACTACAATTACATCAAGGAAAAGAAGAACTCCAAAAAGATGCTGGGACACCCAAAATTTGCTTTCAGAAATTTCAAGGGGATAACTTGATAAAGGAAATTGGGAGATTGGGGGGTAAATCTGATGAAGAAAATCGGGATTTTGAGGGCAAAGAGGCCCAAGTATTGGACATCTCCTTCAGATGTTCTAACCGCTAGCGTTAACAATGCTTCATCTTCAAGCAGTTCCAAGTTCGCTCTGAATTACAAGTGGAAGAGACAAGAGATAAAGCTTCCTCTGATTCTGAGTTGCCCATAATTATAATCGGTGCTGGCTAGGAGCCACAATGAGGAGTAATGAAACTCGTTGGCACCGCCATAATTTAAGATATCGGAGAGGTTGAAGAAAGAAGGCGTCATCCTCATCTGGACGAACTTGACAGCGGTGAAGTGTCCGCTTTCACCTCGTGTTATTTGGGTCGTTTGGGTCCTTTGACCAGTGGATGTCCGAAGGGGACAAAAAGCATTTTTTTCAAAGTATTTTTTTAAAAATTAAGATAAATTTTTTTTTACATGCTTGCTTTATATGTGTGTGTGTGTGTAAAATCAATAAATGACGTTTGGAAGGTGTTAACAGAGGGGTGAAATTGATCTTTTTTTTATTAGGGGTAAAATTGCATCTTAAAATTTTAAGACGCTAAATACACCTTTAAAATACTCCTTCGATCCTTAATATAGGACATAATTCTTGAATTAGTTTTGATCTTAAATATAAGACCCATTTCTCATATTTATCAGTTTTCTCTAAATTACCCCTATAGATACTCCCTCAACCATAATCAAGTAGAAAAAGGAGAGAGGGTATTAAGAAAAATGACTATGGTGTTTTAGGAAAAATATATCACTTTTCTTATAATTAACTAACTTACCTAACTTCCTTAATCTAATCAAATTAGTTAAATGGATCTTATATTAAGAACCAGAGGAATAAATTTTAAGGTGCTGAATACATCTTAACTCTTAAAACATTTTACCAAATTTTAATACATAATAATTTTACTGAAAATCCCAACAACAATATAATATGTAATTATGTATAATATCTAATGATAATAGCCAAGAAAATGTCACGGCAATCAACCGCTGGGAATGAAGCCGTGCTCTTCGTTTCACCTCAACGTTGGCTAAATAGACCTTCACCGACACATTTTTTCTCCAAGCAGGCGACGAAAGCCTGAACAAAGGGAAGAGAGGATAGAAATAGACTACCTTCTCCTGGAACCTGAAAGTGCTTGGAGAATGGAGAACCTTTACCAACCCAATTTGCTTTTGGGGGGAAGGGGGGGGGGGGGGACTATAAAATCCGTTATCACTCACAACAAATAACCAAGGGGACAAACGGTTGATGCGGCTCTACTGATTCGCTTGGCTCGAGACAAAAGATATAACACAGCCAATATGAACCAATTCAAAATGTGAAACTAATCTTTCCATTGAGACAACGTACAAACGAAAACAAGTGAAGATGAACAGATATGACCTGACTAAAAATAATACTAAAAAGTCTAAATCTCGGAATAATTTAACAGAATTCAGCCGGCTCTCCAGGCATTAGTTTTGCAAATCAATACATTGATAAATTCCGTACATAGGTCAGAAAAACAGCCTTGGCAGCAGGGAATCCTATCATACTGGTAATGTCTGCACTCTGATGTGCTTGTACTTCTGCTCTCTATTGAACCTTCTTGCACTCTCTGTCAGACCTCTTGATAAAAGGAGCTTCAATGCCTCAACTCCCTCTTCCAAAGCACCGTCAATCTGTCCAACAAGCATACAGCAATTCGCTTACCGATGAAAGTGCATCAAAACCATTTGTTGCACTTAGTCTTAAACTGAAACCTTGTGTAACAACATTCCCAAGTTGAAACTCTCATCAAACTGAAGAACTACAAAACAAATTCCTCTAGTAGAGTTCAACACCAAACAACTTACTCGTTGCCTGGCAGCTACATTGAATTTTTGAAGCAAGAATGCTTTAGGATCCATTTGCCCCGGAGGCCTCCCAATCCCTTACACCAAAGAAATTGAAAATAATAACAATAATGGCTACTTAAAATGTAGGGAAAAAGTAAATGATTTGCACCAAACGTACTAACCAATTCTTAACCGAGGAAATTCCATATTTCCTCGGAAGTGATAGATCACACTCTTCAGCCTGGTTCAGTGAAAAGAACTGAGTACAAGAAGACACATGACTGGGGGGAATGAGAGTGGAAACTAATCATATCTCACGATCTCAATTCCAGGAATAAGCCATATACCATAATTGAATGAAACAGACCTACTTGAAAAAGAACTCACTATTTTTTAAGCTACTTTGAGTTCTTAATGTATGCACAAAGACAGGGTAATGGTGCAGGTATTCCTTGAAGGTACGTATGTGTTCTCATCTTTATCTTCAGTATGAGAGAGTTAGTTAACAAAGCATATTCATCAGATTAACAGATCACAAACTCAATATATGTAGAAAAGTAGCAGAGACATGATGCATTGGCTTGTCAAGTCATAATGTAAGCTGTCATGATCAAACAACTTAAGCACACAATTGTCACATGTTATTGTACCCGTTGTGGCTTCCATGACCTCCTTTGTCATGAAGACGAAGCACCCCGCATGGCAAATTCATGTCATCATGGATCTACAAAGGAAGGAGATGACTGAAATGAGGAACAACGCACTTATTATCCGTTGGATGCTTGAAAGGATAGGGGTGAAAGCAACAAATTACCACAAGCACACGATCAAGAGGTAGCTTGTAATAAGCAGCCATTGGTCCTGCCTGCAGTTACAATGCAAGAGATATTATCTCATAAATTCATATTGAAATAAGGGATCAACAATCCAAGCAACTAACATCCTCAGAATGGCAATAAACCTATAGATTGAACCTACAAGGCTCGTACAAACAAGCACACTGACCAAGGAAAGGAAACAGGACACTGCGGATTAAAATTATTAATATGCAGATAACAATTGAAGTTTAATATTTCCCATAGTCAGTTCCAAGATATTACTATAATAGCTGCCAAGACATTATCTACCTTGAATTTGTTAAGTGCACTTGCTTTTACCAGTGGCGCAAATTGATCTTATATTAATGTCAATCAAGGAATAGATTTTCCAGATTCCAAGTAGAACCAGACAAGCTCTCTCTCAAACTAATAAATTTTATACACCTAAATTAACAATCCAAGAAAATAATAGGCCATGTTTAGGCAAACACCAGAGACTAAGTTGAATATCTTCAATCCTTACAGATTCACCACTAAGATTCATGTAAGTTTGAGGCTTTGCAAGGAAAACAGGAACTTCACCAACAATACCTGTAATAGATTACCCCACAAATTATTCAGAAATACAATGCATACTGGGATTAAAAGTTTAAAAACAAAAAACAAAACAAAACAAAACAAAAGAGGTTGAGTAAGGGAGATTGAATGACACGGAGAGACCTTGGCCAAAAATGGCTTTGCAATGGACTGTGTTCATAGCAATCCCATGTGATTCAGCAAATGCATCAATCATCTCAAAGCCCACCTACTTTCAATAACATAGCATTATCTTTCGAGAAAACTAAAAGCAAAATCACTAGTATGCATTACATTTTAGATTACAGTATACATTGTGTCTAGTTCCCTTGTACTTTTCACCAGGATTGCCCAACCCAACAAGAAGCCATGGCCGAGAAGCAGCAGTACACAAACAACGCCTATACAAATGATTAAGCATCCTGTCCAGGAACTCAGGCAGTCTTCAAATTGCCATACATTTTCTATGCACTGAATTGCTTTACCTGCAATTCTGCAACCAAAACCATGAGTCCTGATAGAAGTTTCAACTTGCGACCAACTGTTCAAATCTATGAAGTTATTTCCTTATATTAGAGGTGCTATAGTGCATAAAGAACAAATTTCAATAAAACAATAATTTCAATCATGTGGCTAATAAACAAGGCTTTCCTCCTGACTTCATATGTAACATATTAGAGGTGCTATAGTGCATAAAGAACAAATTTCAATAAAACAATAATTTCAATCATGTGGCTAATAACCAAGGCTTTCCTCCTGACTTCATATGTAACCATAAAAGTCAAGGCAAAGAAACAAGCTAAATACAACTGCTTGAATCTACCACCTTCAGCTACTAAGGAAATTTCTACACACTTTCTATGTTATGAGCAATTCCCATCAAACAATTTTCAAGGCATCCGTTTAAGACTTAAAATAAATGAGTTTTTGATCGAACCATGAAACCATACTCCATAATCAAATCAATCCATTGCTAGTGATCAAATTCTAAAATCTTTCGCGCTTCAACAAGCAGCAGCAAGAAATTGTTGATATTGATTCGAAAATAACGCCATAAAGTACAATAACTTCGAAGTTATGAGACCAACGAGGATTAGATTATCAAACCATCTAAAGCATCAGAAAAGGTAATGATTGGCCTATGACCAAGTCAACGAAGCAGGGATGGGCTTGCTGTAGGATGATGAGGTTCATAAACAATAAGCAGGAGGAACCAGCCACATCGACACAAATTTGTGATTAATAACAAGGGGAAGTTCAAGTTCCTTCATTTGGTATGACAATAAGCGAGCAACCCAAAAAAGTTCTCGTTTCCTTGTGATTGTCAAAACTATTTGTAGTCAGATTAACAAACCCAGATCATGGGTTTGGTGCCAACAACCACAGCTCAATTGCTTTCCAGCAGCAGTATCTGAGGTCCGAGAAGTGCATGATTTGTTGAGATAAACCTAGAAGGAGGTGGCACGTACAACGAGAAGAAAGGAGGTTTTTCTAAAGAGAAATTCCTTTCCTAATGTAATTACATATTCTAATGATATTATTTATCTAATAATTAATATTCAATATATATAACCTATAGAAAGCTGCACTATTTCCTCAAGGGAGAATAGACACCAGCCAATCATCAGGGAAGTATCACAAAATTGAATGGTGATTCACCTTTAAGACCAAGCATGAGGAATTGGGATGGAAGGCTATGATATTGAAGTAAATTTCAACAGTTGCATATTTTTAGAGATAATCTCAGAAGGTAAGAATGAATTATTGCTGGTGTAAAGATCTGGAACCAGCCTCAGTCACCAAAAATTGCCACAAGAGCAAACCCCCTCAATGAAGTGGTGGAATCTCATGTTATCCCTGACAATAATCTTTCTTTCCGTAATTTTTGATGCACCACACATGACGACATGGCAATCCTCACATATTCTAAGGTTTTTCATGATCTTTATAGTGGAACCGGCATCTGTATTCAGCAATCCATATGCCAGAGCCAGCTTTTCACTATGAGTCATTAGTATACGCTTCTTCTCTTCATCACTAACATCATATGGCACAGAACCCAGATTTGGCTGGTATCCAGTAGCCTTCAGTCGCTCCACTAGATCCTCTAGTGCTTTCCTTATCTCCCTGGTTTGTGGATGTGTTGCATCACCTGCAAAGAATTCTTGAATTATACCCTTCTTTGCTTCAACCCAGCTGCAGCCAGGGTTTTTCTTTAATTTCTTTCCTCTCATCAGTTTCCTCACCCTTGACACATCATCCCATCTACCAACTGATGCGTATGTGTTAGAAAGCAATATATAGTTTCCTATGCTATCAGGTTCAAGTTCAAATAAATGGGTCGCAGCAATTTCAGCAATATCAGGGTTCTCATGAATGTGTGAAGCTCCAAGAAGTGCTCCCCACACTCCCCCATTGGGCTTCATAGGCATTGTTTCTACAAGCTTAAGTGCTTCTTCTAAGCATCCAGCACGACCAAGAAGATCTGCCATGCAAGCGTAATGATCGGCTGTTGGAGCAACACCATGAGATTTTTCCATAACAGCAAAGAGCCGCCTCCCTTGGTTTACCATGCCTACATGACTGCAGGCAGAGAGCACTCCTACAAAGGTGACATGATTTGGTTTTACCTCTGCCTTCAACATATCAAAAAATAATTTAATGGCTGCATGAGCAAGGCCATGCATTGCAAATCCCACAATCATAGAACTGTAGGAAAATACATTTCTTTCCTTCATTGCCGAAAAAACTTTGTATGCCTCCTCCACATTACCACACTTGGAGTACATGTCGATTAATGCAGATCCAACAACTACATTATTGGCTGGCCTAAATCTGGAACTCTCGGCAATATCCCTAATCCAATTTGCATGCTCTGATGCACCTAATTGAGCGCAAGCAGATATAACACCAGCCAAGGTAACTTCATCAATCGCAATGCCAGCATCTAGCATTTGCTCAAAAAACTCCAATGCCTTTCTTGGCATGGCATTCTGGGAATAGCCATTAACCATGGCTGTCCATGCCACCATGTCTTTAACTGGCAATCCATCAAACAAATCCCCTGCAGACTTCATATCGCCACTTCTTGCATATGCGACAATCAACTCGGTCCAAGAAATAACATCCCTTTCAGCCATTTCGTCAAATACTTTACGCCCACAGTCCAAAAGCCCACATTTAACATACATATCAATCATAGTGTTGCCAACATACAAATCAGACGCGAAACCACCTATCAGTATTGTCTGTGCATGAACTTGTGACCCCAAACTTGCATCAAGAACAGCACCGCAAGCCTTAAATAGAGCTGAGAACGTAAATGATACAGGGCCAATGCCTTTCTTCCTCATACAGCTGTACAAGCGAATAGACTCCGAAAAGGGTCCTTGAACACCATAGCCCCAAATCAGAGCAGTCCAGAGAAATGGGTTGGGGTTCTTAACCTGTCTGAAAACAAGGTGAGGGTATGAGTGCACTGGAACGTCCATTTTAATGAGCATACGAATAAACTTAGTGACAACATAGCAACATTGATCGAGGCCTTTACGATAGAGACGGGCATGGACTTGTTTGAGTTGGTTCAAGGTGGTGCATCCATGTAAAATATAAACAATATCCGACTCCAAAATCTTCTGCTCTTGAGGTTCTGAATAAGGAGCAAAAATCCGAGCTGATAGCGGCAGCTTCCGTAAACCATCAAGCTTCAAAACAGAAATCGTGGACATTCTGCGACAGAGAAGCATAGCGACTGAGTCCACAAAAAGCCAATCTTTGGAGGCATTCAGAACTGCAAGCATTTTCGTCATCTTCCATGCTCTCACATGCGGCAGAGTATAAGCAGTTAAGATGTCAAACAAAAAATTGCTGGTGAGCAGCTAAACGACCTTTCAGTTTAAGCATCAAACCACGCTTTATAATCAAGTCAATCTATAGCTGGTAAGAAAATTCTAATATTTTTCAGGCTCCAACGAATGACAACAAAAGATTGTTGATATCGATCCTAAAAATGTGCCATGAACTATAACAATTTTGAAGTTGGGAGAAGAAGAACGACAAGGGTTAGATTATCGAACGACCCAAAGCGCAGAAAAAGGTAATGACTAGACAAAGCAGAGATGGGTTTGCTGCAGGATGATGAAGTGGATAGGCGATGAAACAGGAGGAATCAGCCACTTCAACACAAATTTGTTGGTGATAACAAAGTATATGTTCTGGTGACCTCGTTCGCCATAAGAATCGGTGAGCAACCAGAAGTAATTCTTGTTTCCGTACCTGTTATTGTCGAGGAAATCTGTAATGAGATTAAGTAACCAAGACCGTGGGTTCGGTGCTGACAGCCGCAGCTCACGAACTGTCCGTCACTGACTTCCGAGATCTCGGCGAGCGTATAACTGACGTTGTTTGAGGTGTGCCCAGAAGGCGGCGGCGAGTTCAGAGAGAAGGCGGGGAATAAGGATCACCTGCATTGAGCTCATCTAGACTGAGCCAGAGGTAAGTGATTTGTAGCCGTCCGATTCAGCAAGGGAAGGAAATTTTGCAATTCAGCATAAAATCAATCCAGCTGGGCAATGAATTCCCATAAGTAGTGAAAAATCTCTGATAAATAACTCTGAATATGTGAGATTTCAATTTAGATACCTAATTTTTTATAAAAGAAAAAAAAATTTCAGATAACTAACATTTGAAAATGAGGCTTGAATTAGTATTTTGAAAACATTGTTAAATTACTCATGTGTCTTTTTATAACATAAATGACGTTAATAAAATAAAAAAATGACAAGTATTGAATTAACAATAACAAATATTAAACTCCACATGACATAATAAATTTCATAACTTTTTTTTTTAACAAAAAGACATATAGATAATTTTATAATATTCTCAGAATGCAGTTTGGGTCCTGTTTCTTGACATTTACATTTTGTATCAGCTGTTTGAATTATAATTTTATATAGCAGTATTCAAACTTCTTTCTTTTTTAGGGATTTTTCCATCTAGTAACTGAACCGGGTGATAGAAACGATGGAAATTAATTCAATATGTTTTATTTTAATTTATGTATGACGAATTGGTGCGGGCGGAAGTAGAAAATTGTGTAGTGTGAGAGGGAAGAGAAATTACAAATTATTGAAGAAGGAAGTGAGGAAGCATGAAAGGATTCCTTCAAATGATCATGAAAGAAATACTCCCCCCATCACCTCAGATCGGCGCCGTTTGAGTAGAAACTGGAAATAGAGCTCTCGATTCAATTGAGCAACCAGCGCCAGCATTGACTCGAGACACGAAGGAACCTTGATTTCGTTTGCAGTGCATGAGTAACTCTGAACATTTTGGCGCAGCAGTTCATATTAGTTGGCGCCAAAACAAGAGGAAGAGCATTACGGTTGCATTTAAGTTGGTGCCAACAAAAGGTCAGTGCGTGGCTGCAGAGAGAGGGAAAGAGGAAGGGATCAAGATTGGACACGCGAAGGTGCATGGGAGAGTTGATCCAGGGAGTGCCCCGTGACTCAGGAGACAAGAACCGAAATTGAAGGGAGGCACGGAGCTCTGATGGGCAGCCGAGCATGTGGCGGGGCATGAGGATCTGTGAAATTGGCGTGACGCCAGTGTATAAGAAGTTTCATCGCATGTTGGGTCAAACCAACAATAAAAGTCTACTAGTTATCCAGCCCTTCTATTAGTGGCAATGTTCCTCTAAAGAGTGAAAGAAAAAAAATCTGTGCATGATGTTTTTAAGAGTGAGCAGCAATTTCCCCCATACTGAACTCATTCCCACATATTCTAATTCCAGGATATAAATTGAATTGATGGACAAATTTTCTTTAAATCACTTAGGTATGATTTGCATTGCCACAAGTCAAGTTAAAATGACAATGATTTTTACTTGGTAATAAACTAATTTTATCATTACATGCATTCAAACATAAAAAGTAACAAGTTTTATATTATGTTTTATCGTATGTTGTGCAAATAAAATAACAATGAAAGTAAACATAAACTATGAAATGATATTTTTAGGAGTCGTCTCCTTCCCATAAGGTATTTCTTCAATTAGAAGTTATAACCACATGTACTTTTGTGACCAAACACACATTTAATCACTAAAGGTTATTTTGAATAACGCTTCCATGCAGAGTCGCATCTTCTTTAGTATGTAGGGCTTTCTTAAATAACACAAGCTTTGACAGGTGCCCTTAGAAATCAAAGATACCCTACAACTCCTGATATAGTAACTCGTTACACAACTCTTCACATAAATCCCTTAACTTATGAGCATGGGACATGGTTTTGAAAAGACACCTCACTTCATTTTGGAAATATTCCATCATGTTCTTATTCTTTTTTTTTTGGGCACCGTTTTGATTATTTTAATTGTATCTGGGCGTATTTTCAGCCCATCAAATATAAATAAGCATGTCATGTGCATAACATATGGTTGCATTAACTAGATAGGTAGCATTTTTTTATTGATTGGGCTTTTATTTTTTTATAGTAATTTTGTCTGCACTGTTTATGTATTTTTCAAATTAATGTTTAAGCTTCTAATAGTCTATTACGAGCTTGTGGATTTAAGTTGTCAATTAAGATTTGAAATTAGAGTTCTCAAGGGTCATGGCTAGTTTATAAATATTTTATTTTCATATAAATTCTTTATCATCTAAGCTATTTAAATAAGAACATAGAGTGAAGGGAAAAATTAATTTTTGAACAATTTTTTTGTGTGTGACACAGATAGAATGCCTCACAGCAGTTATTTGGTTATCTATACGACCACATCATAAGATTTTGTTGAAAATTTTCTACACTTAATTTGGATTCCGATTTTCTTGTGGTTATGGAATGAGAGGGTTACGCGAGAAGTGTTAGGATTTGTCTGTAACGATGATTGAAGCTTTTAAAAGAATATTTTTAATCATAATTTATAAAATAAAAAATAAGTATAAAAAAAATTTTGTTTTAAGTTAGGTAAAAATATTTATAAACAGGCGCTTAGGAGCGTCGTGGAGCAGTAACGTGAAGGCAAAAAAATCATGAGACGCACCATTGGCATGCATTGAAGTGGAGATATGTGGTTGATGTGAAAGCAAGGCATTTATTATGAGACAGGGCATATATATACATATATATAATCATGCCAACTCTGATGGATGTGATGCGTGTTGGGGCAACGCCCGGCACCTCCAGACCCATTCCTCCATCCGCTTTCATGTTTCATCCCTCTCTCAAGTGCCAACCATTTCCTTTTCATCAATCCAAAATTACTTTGTATCATTATTACTCTATTTTAATAATCTCCTGCTCCAAGCCATTGATTGAATAACTGGCGCCAGAGCGGAGGGGGGGAAATAAAACAAAAGCCTGACTGAGTGGAATCGTCCAAAACCTGGGCTCGCCACGGTACCTCACGGTGACTGCGCCCGCACATGGCCACCCTGCTCCCTCATTCATGTTCTTTTGTTTTCCTCCAGTTGCCCCTAACGTTCTCCTGATCCCTCCTCTCGCCCCAGGGCTTATCCTGTCATTTACATGGTCGTGGGCCACATGATGGGCTGGCCTAATGTGGGGTGGGGCATCTTTTGTGCCGCCATCATTCTATTCTCATCGCTGATTGCTTATTTATTCTTAACCTACCTTGATTACATTATTAGGCTTCAACAAAATAACAAATACGTTTCCCCCTCTTTGACAGGTAGTTTTTGAATTATAAAACGCTCGTTACATCTTTGGAATATAGATTAAAAAACGGATCAAAAGATTGAGACGGTTCCGTTTCGGAAATATCTCAATTCCAAGTCGCGTCGCCAAAGAAAAAGCTAGGTAGTGCTGTGTGGCGAAGGTCGGATAGAGACAGACGATTCTTGATCTGCATAAGCAGTTACACGCTCCTTCCGCACTGACTCAGCGAGAGAAAGGGGAGAATTGTAGTCTTGATTTTCAACCGGAGAAGGGGATCGCAGAGACGTCGAAATGAGAGAGATCATAAGCATACACATAGGCCAAGCTGGTATTCAGGTTGGGAATTCCTGCTGGGAGCTTTACTGCCTCGAGCATGGCATCCAGCCTGACGGCCTGATGCCCAGGTAACTGCTGCCCCTCCAAATTCATCTTGTCTTTTCCTTTTCCCTCTCTGTTCCCCCCCTGCATATATGAGCGAGTATGGTCTTGATTTGTGGGTTTTTTTTTCGCGAATCACCGAATTTTATGCGTCCGTGTTCGCGAGAATTTTACTACATGACCGCGACTTAATTGAATTTGACAAGGCTTGACAATTTAGATAGCAGGAATTAATTGACGAAAATGGAAGAAAGGGAACGTATTGTGAGGACCGGATCTATGGATTTCGGCCGCTTTAACATCTTTTGGGTCCATTCTGGTATATCAGCATGCCAACCAACGGATGGGTTTATTATAAATATGTTAACTAACTCACCACTGCATTTGGAGGGGAAAGGTTATTATGAATATGTTAACTAACTCACCACTGCATTTGGAGGGCAAAGGTTACCAATCCAACTGGGTAAACTGTAATTGCGCATAATCCTATGGTTGACACCCCATCAGTGCAACCAGTTGACGCTGCATCTGTGTTTGATAAACGATAAGACATCTCATCCGGTTAACTTTATAGCAGATATTTGTCGCCTCTCAATTTTCTATTGAAGCCAGTTAGATGAACACTGTCGCATGTCCTTCCTTAACTCAGTCTTCACTCAACTGCTAAGATGACCGGAAAAAAAAAAAGGGGGTATCCATGTTTATGAGACTTCGACCAGATGACCAGAAATGAAGCGGGAAAGACCAAATGTGACAAGGGATGATAAGGTAGGGGCTAGGAATGGAATCCATTGACAAAAACAGAGGAGAGGGAGCTTATTAGGAGGACATGCAGGATCTATGGATATTTCTGGTTTACATTTTCGTGTTAAAATTGATTGATATATCACGAGTAGAAGCGTATGCTTTTAAATGGGTTTATGGCTGGCGAGTAATGGGTTCTTAAATATGTTGATTAACTGGTTAGAAACTTGAAGAAAAAGGAATCGATCCTACCAGGTTAAACTGGAAATGCCTATAACCAACCCAACAGTTGACAGGTCGCCTCAGTAGTTCAACAAATTAACAGTTTGCTTCCGTGGGTGACGAGAGTTGTCATTCAATGAACTTCACCTGCTTGAGTTTACATCTCGAGAAATTACTTAGTATGCTTTTCATGCCGTGTATCGATTCAATATATGACTGTTGCATTGCGTATAGCATTAGCTCATAAATTTCTAGTAAAGCCACTTCAGTGAAATTGTCACATTTCCTTAGGTCAGTTCTTACGCGTTGCCTTACTGAAAATTCTCCATATGCAGTGACACTTCAGTTGGTGTTGCCCACGATGCTTTTAACACCTTCTTTAGCGAGACTGGTTCAGGCAAGCATGTTCCTAGAGCTGTATTTGTTGATCTTGAACCAACTGTGATCGATGAGGTTAGGACCGGCTCTTACCGGCAACTTTTCCATCCTGAACAGCTCATCTCTGGAAAGGAGGACGCAGCTAATAATTTCGCCAGAGGACACTATACTGGTAAGGGAATTTGTTTCTATAACAATAAAAGAAACATATGGAAACTAATCCATTTGGTTCATACTCTAAGTTGTGGATTGGTGCTGCAGTTGGGAAAGAGATTGTGGATCTTTGCCTTGATCGCATAAGAAAATTAGCAGATAATTGCACTGGCCTGCAAGGATTTTTGGTGTTTAATGCTGTTGGTGGTGGCACTGGGTCTGGTCTGGGGTCCTTGCTATTGGAACGCTTGTCTGTAGATTATGGAAAGAAGTCAAAGCTGGGTTTCACCATCTATCCTTCTCCCCAGGTACTTCTCTGAGTAATTCACCCCTCAGAACTTGCCTGTTATATGGGCTATAGTAAAATGGTCATTACCATGTATGCGATTTAGCTAATTTCTCCTTCAATTTCAGGTCTCAACTGCAGTTGTGGAGCCATACAATAGCGTTCTTTCTACTCATTCCCTCCTTGAACACACTGACGTAGCTGTGCTCTTGGACAATGAAGCAATTTATGATATCTGCCGAAGATCCCTGGATATTGAGAGGCCAACCTATACCAATTTGAATAGATTGATATCTCAAATCATATCATCCTTAACAACATCGTTGAGGTTTGATGGAGCTATAAATGTGGATGTTACAGAGTTCCAGACTAACCTTGTGCCATATCCCCGCATTCATTTCATGCTTTCCTCATATGCCCCTGTCATCTCAGCTGCAAAAGCATATCATGAGCAGCTATCGGTGCCTGAGATCACAAACGCAGTATTTGAGCCCTCAAGCATGATGGCTAAGTGTGATCCTAGGCATGGGAAATACATGGCTTGTTGCTTGATGTACCGTGGGGATGTTGTTCCCAAGGATGTAAATGCTGCAGTTGCCACCATAAAAACAAAAAGGACTGTTCAGTTTGTTGACTGGTAAGAAATTTTGCATGTACTTTACTTAAGGTAGCATATTTGCTGGGCTTTGTTGATTGAAACTAATGGAAGAGGTTGATGACCTTCTCCTTTGTAATACAGAGGTTAATGACATTCACTTGCATAACTTTATGCCCAGTGAGCGAACGCGTGAACTGAATTTTCTGGAATTTGATTATTTTAAATGATCCACTCTGTACCATGTGATTTTTTTTCCTTTGCTTTGCTTAATCCTCATTCTTGGCATGCAAGAATATAATCTCAACTATGTTTGTCCTGTTCCCTACAGGTGTCCAACTGGCTTCAAGTGCGGTATCAACTACCAGCCTCCTTCAGTGGTACCAGCTGGTGACCTTGCTCGGGTGCAGCGGGCTGTTTGTATGATCAGCAACAACACTGCAGTTGCGGAGGTATTTTCCCGAATCGATCACAAATTTGATCTCATGTATGCCAAAAGGGCCTTTGTGCACTGGTATGTCGGTGAAGGAATGGAAGAAGGGGAGTTTTCAGAAGCCCGTGAAGATCTTGCAGCTCTTGAGAAAGATTACGAGGAAGTTGGTGCTGAGGCAGCAGATGATGAAGAGGAAGGAGAAGATTATTGATGCCACGAAGGCACTTTCTAGATAAATCTATCAACTTTTGAGTAAAAGAGTATGCTTGTCATCCTTCCTGCACCCTGTTGTTTCCTTCATCTTGTGTGATGCATGTTCATTATATCATGGTAACTTTATATTTCTACGTGGTGATTTAGAATGTGATTGTTTGTGGAATCAATAAAAGTTCATCTTCTATATTGTTTACATGTGATATGAACCGTTTGAAGTTTTCCGTAGTAAGATACTCCAAAATTTCATGGTTGGGAAATGTTATTTAAATATCCTTTCCCTACATGCCTTTTGGATTGATAAGCTTTGTTTTAGCTGTTTATTTGGGTGTTGTCAAGACATTAAATTTATGTTTGTTTAGATCAATTTTGATGTAAGATTCCTGACCAGGTCCAAACATCAATCATGAGTCATTGACATTCATCCCAAACCAAAAATTCTGGAGGAAAATTGGCATGATGACACCGTCAACACACAGAAACAAACCATGCCCCATGAGAACTTCCTACAAAGCGTTTGATTGGGCTGCATTCATGGATCTCTCCTAAGTTTAAAATGTTTTGAGAGAAGCTCAAGCAGCTCATCCCAGCTGTTGCCTATATTTGATATGTTATTCATAAGGAGCTTAGATCATAACAAAGTTTAATAACATTAGTTTAAAATATTCTTATATTGACGAGTTATTTCTAAATAAATACTTAGACTTCACTCGCCATCAGTAAATAAACTGGTATAAAAATTCTTACGTGATGACTATTTTAAAGAAAAATATTAACATCAAATTTATTATATCAAGTCTTTCAATAGTAAATGACTATATATCTTATTTTATTCATGTAAGTTTATAGTTTATAAATAATATTTTAAAAATAGAACACATGCTTATATATAATTATAAAACTTGACATAATAAATATAAAGTATTAGACATAAGTATTGTACTATTTTAAACCAAAACTAAAATTCCAAACTAATAATTGTTCAAGTAAAACTGAAAATAACCTCAATGATAATATTATCTTTAGTTTTTAATATAAAAACTAATTAAATAATTTGAATAGATTAAAAAAATTTATTAAGTTAGTTATTTGTAATAAATATGTATTTTTTTAGAATATTTTTACTAATTATGTATATTAACTAAAATTTTTTAACATAAACAACTATTATAAAGACTATTTTAAAAAATATATATAAAAAACAAAATAAATCGAAATATTATATTTAAAATTAAATTAAAAATCAAACTAGAAGTAATATTTACTTTTTTATGATCTATTTAACTTGATGTTTTTGGAACATCGGTAGTAATCACATTAATTTTACTTTTACTCAACAAAAAATTAACTAAATTATTTGCATTGATTTTTCTAAAATATTTTTATAATTATTTACACCAATGAAGAGAGTTTGAAAAAAACATATAAATTCAAGGAAAAAAATATATTGGAATTTCATATTTAGGGTTTAAAAAAAAAAACTTCAGTAATTCTTATATTTAAGATTAGAGATAGTACAATTTCTTTCAAAATTAGTAAAAGATTTTACACTTCTCTCTCTCTCTCTCACACACACATAATACTTTGTATAATTAATACTTTATGTTGAAGGGTGGTTGAGTGAGGTGCAATTGCTCTTGCCTCTTGCAACTAAGAACGAAGGAACACTGGGATCAAGTCTAGGACTAACAAAACAAACAGAAAAACAATAAAACAGAACCAAAAACCTCATAATCTACTATTTGACTTTCATTTTAGTTTTAAATATAAGACCACAATCTATTTTTTTCCTCATATTTATTTATTTTTTTCTCAAAGTAATCCATGTAATAATAGTAATTCTAAGCAATATACTTGATTAGCAAAAATATTTTTAAAAAAACAACACCTATTTATTACAAATAACTAACTTAACTAATTTATTTAATTTACTCAAATTAGCTAACTAACTCTTATATTAAGAAGAGGAAGTAGTATTATTTAGAGACAATTCTACAACCCACAACCATAAATAAAAGCTTAAGAATACAAAACAGACCATGATTTGAAAGACAAAGGCTGCTATCAAGGGAAAACTAACGTGAGACAGAAAATCAGCTACTTAATTCAGTTATAAACTGAGATCTCAAACCAAACATCAATAAACAACTTTTTATTTGTAAAACAACTAAGCAAACGGGATGAGTTAAATTTTCATTCAGCTCGGGGATCTCACTTTGAGATAACACGGAGAGAGCTGGGAGTTGAAAATATCTGGCCACAGCAATTTGAAATTTGGATTACCATTCCCGGAAAGAATTATTATCAAATAGATAATTCAAACAACTAAGAGCAAAGCACATGCTCTGGGTAAAAAGGAGAATAAGAAGGAGGATAAGGAGGAGTATAGGAGGTTAGGGAATCAACGACACCCGTAAAAAGGAGGGGAGAAAAAAAACGGAATGATGTCCATAAGAAATGAGCTGACCCATTCACCACATTTCCGTCACAATAAGTACTTCTCAACCACGGTCCGGCCAAACTTTTCTTGGACATCTCTCGGTGTTTCAATCTGAAGTAGTAAAACATTGCCCCAGTAAAATATCAAATCAAGTCAATTGAACTATAGGCAACATCAACATGAAGAGTCACTAACCGCATTAAGGGCTTTGAATAGAGCCTTAACCGTATTGTGAGGGTTTCTGGAACCAACAACCTATCAACGCAGTTGAAATTAGAGGAACTTAAACAAGAGGATGATCTTTAATATGAGGATTTGATCTAGGTGTCAGTTTACCTTAGATTTTACATTTTTAAATCCAGCTAGATGCAGTATGGTTTGGACTATTCTGCCAGCTTTCATGCCGGTCCTAGTCGGGGCAGGCCAAAGATACACCTATGGAAAAAATATTGGCATGAAATCCAAAATCGAGGATATGACTATTGAAGGAAAACACAAGTCGAATTTACTAAATCAAAGTTCATAAAATATGAATCATGAAAACACTGATAAAATTAACCACCTTCGTCTTTTTATAGTTTGTCTGCACTGCATGCGCAATTGTATGTTCCTCATGTCTTTCCACATAGTGAAGATTCTGAAAGCATTTCTCATATGCCTGATAGTTGTCAATTCAATCATTAAATATTCAATACACACTGAACACAAAATTCATAAATTCTTTTCAGATGATACATACAATGCCAAAACAAAATTCAAAACATTCAGAAGCAGAATTTATATTATAGGATGCAGCAAGACAAAGTCCGCTATGTCATAGGACATGTTTTTGTTGAACTCAGCTCATAACCGCAGCAAAACTAAATCTCCTCCTGTCACTTTCAATGATCACAATCCCGAAGCAGTATTTGTTGTTAAATTTCATCATGAGTCAATCGATATGTCACCTCAAAATGAAATTTTTCTTTCAATAAGGAGTTATATTGTCCAGTGTTCAATAGAATAAAGGAATCCAATGCCAAACCACCTTAAGAAGGTACCTTCTGAAGAGCAATTGGAATTGCAGGGCCCTTGGCTTTCGCAAAACCAATAACCCCATGATAGTTGCCACAAGCTAGCATTGCAGTGTACTTCACAACTTGTCCTCCCTACACAAAGAAATACAAACAAACTAAGAAAATCTGCATGACAGAGCCACAGCAGGGGGCCAGGAGGAAGAGATGGAAGGAGAAAGATTTGTGAGTACCTTTGTAACTTTACATGTCCGGTTCACATCAATCATTTTTACATCAAAACCCTGGCATCATATACAAAAACACAAATCATAGAGTAAACACACATATACACACATACAAAAGCCTCTATAAAATATAACTTACTAATGCAAAAAGAGTTATGAACAGCAGCATCAGGATAAAATTCAATATTCGCATGAACTAAACTGTAAAGTTTGCATCACATGTGATCAGCAGAAAGATCTATGCATATAATATACACACCTTTCGATAAAGAGGCTTTCTTCTAGTCTCTGTTAAGGAATTCCTCTCCTCTGCAAGATCTCTTATCTCTTCCTCCAGAACCTTACCCTTCCTCCCAAATGTATATTCAAGTTCAGCTAGCTTCTCCTGAAGCTTCTTGTCAATAGCTTCAAGTTTCTCCAGTAGCTTGCTGTCTTTCTCTTTCATGTCATCAAACTCGTCATCATCCTCATCCTCATCATCCTTATCACTATCATCATCATTTTTATCTTGATCCTCCTCCTCATCAGCTCCCCGTGTTAGTTGGTCCTCCTTTTCAAACCCAGCATTCTCCAGGGCATTATCAGAAGGCCCTCCTCCTAATTCTTCATTCTGAATAACTCCATAATTGGCAGGATTATTAGGATCATAAGCTTCCTTCCACTCCACCAATCTTATGGCTCTATTTAGTTTCTGCTGTAAAATGAATTTATCTTTTCCTTCGGCTACTTTTAGGAGATTCATCAATTCTCCAATAACCCTGTATTCAGGACGAAGACTGAAATGCTTTTGCTCGAACTTGTCAATTCTATTCATCCACTTGAAGGCATCATCAAGTGTCTCTATAAGAAAACGTGGAAACGAAAAGGTATGAAAAATTTACAGACATGCTAGAGTTGGAACGTAATTGAAGACTACTGAATACGCAATTAGGTGAACAGTCACAAAAATTGGAGAGAACTACGAGACCAATAGAAATGCTTTCCAAAAGCAAACCATACTATTCTATAGTCAGAGTTCTCCGTCGCAATTTTACAGAAAGTTAAGGTTTTAAAGAACAAAGCAATATGACAAGTGACCAAGGGATCAGATACCCAGAAAGACTAGGCATGAAAGTCTTCAATGAAAAATAATAGGAATGTAGAGATGAGGAAGAAGTAATGGTTTGTTTTAGTGGTCGTTGCACTATTTCAGATGTTCCACGAAAGACAACTTACTTTACACTGGACTGGAACAGATGCAGATTTATTTCTTTGGTGATGTTTTAACAGGCATTATCTCATCACGTCCTTTAGGAAGTAAGAGCCACAGAGTCCAGCAAAAGCGGCATTGATCAATATAATATGTATAAATAAAGATCAAATAAAGAGAAGGATAAGATACCAGCATCGGTGAAGTTTTTAAGCAACTCTTCATGCTTCTTGAACTTCCTCTCAAAGTCCTCAAACCTCTGTTGGATTGCCTCAGGGCTAAACCTCTCGTCATCGTCATCGCTATCGGAGTCAGTAGGCTCTTCATATTCGTCTAACTCCTTAGAATCCTTGATTTTGTGCCTTCGAAGCTTCCTTATGATGGGTCCAACACCCATATAGTCCTGCCGAGTTTCGGCATCGATATCCTTGGTATCCAAACCAGCCCTTATTCTCTGCTGTCTTTCACTGAGCCTATCCTTCTCGACCTCAGCCAGGAGGTCTTTCACTAAATTGGAAGGGAGAAAGTCAGAGTCAGGGTCACCGGCGGATGAAGTGGAATAATAGGCTTTCCCTGGAGAAGGGATCGTAGACACTGTGCTCGTGCAGGGAGGAAGAGGAAGAGAACATAGCGGGGAGATTTTGCGGGAAAAATAGATATGAGATTTGATGGAATCTCGGAGGAGTTGGCCGAGGAGCAGGCGAGAACAAGAAAAAGCTTTCGATTTGGAACTCATTGCGGTAGCTGGGAGCTCATCAAAATGCAGCGAGCAACAGCTTAGGTCGTTCGAGGAAGAAGGGAGTGGAAGGGTGAGGCCATGAAAGAAGGTAACAGCAAAGTGCAGAAATAAGGAAGACGAGAGAGAGAGCGGTGGCGCCGGCCACTACCAAAGAAGGGGCAGCAACGGACTCAAACTGTGTTCGGGTTGGGAGATGATCAAAATTAGTGGGGAGTTTCTTTGCTTATTTTCGCCACTCTTCTTTTTTTTAGGGCTTTTCTATGGGTAATGGACTAGGCTGGGCTTTCATTTTCTCCGAACCATATTAGGCTCTGCTCTTTTTAGGGCTTTTTAATGGGAATGGGCTGAACTAGGCTTTCCTTTTCGTCGTAAATGAAGTAGGTTTAGTTTCCTTCATAAATCATGTTGATTTTCGATTTCTCTAGTCAAAAGTTTAATATATACATAGATGATTAATAAATTTTATTATGCTCTTCCGTAACTTATTTCAATAGAATGATATATATTGTTATGTAGAAATCTCTAATATTGAAATAAATTAGGGTTAGTATCATATTTAATACCTAAAATTTGACTTCCTCTTAGCCCTTCTAGCTATTTTTGGTCCTAACACATTGACTGGAAATAGTATTGGCCCATTAAGGGGGTGTTTGGGAAATCCAAAACCATGGTTTCAGAAGTACTTTTCCGCAAAACGAGCTAATCTCCTCCACATATTTACTTCGTAATCCGTAAAAGCACTTCTGAAACCATGGTTTGATTTCTATCCAAACGCCCCCTAAATTATATGTTGGCCGGACAAAAAATATTAGATTGCGCATTTGCCATGTTTTGTCGCAAAAAAAAAAAAACCACGTATTCCATATCTTTAAAATAAAGGATTCAAGAGTTTGACAATGGAATTTCAAATATGTTATACGCTATACAGTCCTCTGTATCTCCATTTTTTAATCCTTGGAATTACCAATAAACAGAGTAGCCCGGTTGGTAAATAACTTAGACCTCAAATAGTATACGCATGGGACACATGACAATATTTATCCCCTGATTGCAAATTTAGGTTGGAAGAAAAGCATGGCTTGTAGTAGCGGTAGTGGAGCATCTTGCGGTAGCTATTCGGAGAGCCAGCAGCAGATGATGATGGAGGAGAGGAAGAGGAAAAGGTTGGTGTCCAATTGGGAATCGGCCCGTCCATCCAGGACGAGCAAACACCAACACCTTGATGATCTGATGGCCCAGTCAAGTCGGCTCAAGAATGACAACATCCACATCATCACAACCATTGACATCACCGCCAGGCTTTACTTAGATGTTGAGGCTGAGAATGCAGTTCTCCGGGTTCAGATGGCAGAGTTAATCAATAGATTGCAGTCTCTCAACCAAGTCATAGATTTCATAAACTCAAGGAAAAGGAATCAGCTCTTCGGTGACATTGGAGACGCCCAGATTAATGATTTTGGCTTCATCCGCCCTGCGCCTGTGAATCAACGATCTTGGCATCAGCTAACATGTTGATGTATTATATTAATATATTTTCATCTTCATGATCATCTATTTTCATTCTTGTGTGCTATATCCTGCTCACTAAACTGAACTGCTGGCTTCTATTTTCATTTGTTTCATCACTTTTGTATTTATATTTATTAATTGTTCTTGTGCTGTCCTTTGATTCTTTGAGCAAAACTACAGTTATGCTTCAATTATTCATTGGCAAGCAAAGGGCAACCAATTTTTTCGCTTGATGCTTGTTTTATGAATAAGACTGCACATACGCGTATCAATCCAGACAAACAACAATAATGCCTCGAGTTCAAGCCATCTTGATCTAATTTGAAGTAAAAAAACATTGTCAAACCTGGATATAATAGCAAATTCTAGCTACTCACAAAATGTTCTTCCATGAAGCAAGATGTTGATTCCAAAAGGGTTTCAAAGCAAAAGCAACTGTATGTATGTCGAAGTCATCTTAATGTGATTCCCAATGTGGGCATTGTTTCCACAAGCTGAAATGCTTCTTGTAAGATGTCGGACGCAGAGAACCAACCCTCATCGGCTTGCCCTCTGTGTTTGGGGAGGCACAGGATCAAATAAAATCATAGGCGTCTTGAATGTTTATTTTAATTAGTCGGTAAAGGGAGCCCTTCCGATGTGACCGGCTGAACACGCCTAATGCTGTGTTTGGTTCGATGGAGGGAAGGGGAGGGGAGGGATTTTAATCAAGGGAAGGGGAGGGGAGCTACAAAGGGGAGGGGAGGGAGGGGGAAGGAAGGGGAGGGATTTTAATGATCTCCTGTTTGGATTAATTGGAGGGGAGGGGAGGGAGCAATTTTAATAATACTTATTTTGTTCTAATAAAAAATTGACTATTTTAGCCTCATAAAATTTAAATGAATTTTCTCATTTTTTTATTTTGTTAAGATATAACTATATATATAATACAATTTACCAATTTTGATTTACAAGACATAGTCACACACTTATAGAATATCAAGATAAAAAGTCACGAGTGATAGATTTCAATCAGAGAAAAGACCTTGAAGGTGAAAGAAAATACCAACAACCTCTTGGAATTAGAAGAAGAGAAAAAAAAGTTTACAAATGCTCACTAATTTTGGAGACAATTATCTTAATAACCTCTTGTTAGATGCTCAAAAAAACTCTCTTATGTAGAAATGTTTACGACTGATTAGAGGTTAACAAATCAAAAGGGTATATAAGGAATTGAAATATTATCTCTCATCTCCCCTCCAAAAAACCCCACTTTTGGAGGGGAGGCTAGAAGGAAGGGGAGGGGCTCCCCTCCCCTCTTAAAAAATTACACCAGCCAAACAAGGAAGGGGAGCAACTCCCCTCCCCTCCCTCCAAAAATCCCGTACCAAACATATCGTAAAAATGCGCTCTTTGTAAAAGCTTTTCATTTATATATCTAGAGGCGCTCGATGGCTAGAGACATCACTTGAAGTTTTTAAGGCAAAATAAATAGAAGATAGAGCTTTTAATCATATCCCTCCCAATCTCCTCACTTTGAAGGGGAAGGAACAACAATAGGCACCGTCCCGGTTTGCTTTTGTTGAGTAATATTTTACTATCCAGTATAGTAGTATTTCATGTGTCAAACGCTCACCTTTGTATGGGATTTGTATCGAAACTCCGAATCGGATTTCTTTCAACTTTGGTATCAATTCTCGTCGGATAACTCGAAAAGCTAATTGGAATTGGAACCAGTTCAATTAGTATATATAAACAAAGCCATCTTTAATAAGGCACGAGCACCTGATCATTTACTTTGCTGTCATGCTCCACGTAGGAGAGAACAAATGCTCAGTTAGGAAAAAAAAACAACTACATTGTGTTAATGAAATTACTCAAGAGCCACAGCTCACTATAATCAGAGATGCTAATTAAGTGCTAATTAAGTGTTAAAAAAAAACACTAGATAGGAAGAGAGGAAAATCCCTAGGGTGGTACCGTAGGAAGCACAAGAACATTAGGGAGAAAAGATTGTTCCCCAAATTCTTCACACCTCCCCCTGCCCATTGACTAACTATGCTACTCTATATTCTCATTACTCCTGATTAAGCCCAATGATCCCATTAACTCAATATATTCTGATTTAAATATAAGACTCATTTTGTACGGTATGAGTTTTTTATTTAACAGCGAGGAGTATATATATAACCATTTTTAGTAGTCATTATCTTTATCCATCTTTATACAGGATTCTTCATATGGTTTATATTATTAATATGAGGTCCGCTAGTGATGATATGTACTTACAATACAATTCAAAATATTCTATCTCGAGCTGAACACATTAATATTTCCCATCCGTACGTTCCCCTCCTTCTGTGATCTCTGCTGTGACCCAACGAAGAACTGAGAGTATCTCGCTTCTATTCATTTTATTAAGAAAGGGGTGATGCATGAATTTTTGTGGTAGATATAACAAATATAATTATCCTGTGGTTATTTACGTACGTGCGTCGCAAACAGAAGGCCACGTCGCATGCGAAGTGTTAGGATTCAAGGGTGGGACACATTCTTCGTCTTATCTTCTCAGAATGCCGAAGCTAATCGGTACTTACGATTTTGGCTGCAGAGCGAGAGTGATGAGGTGTCACTGTCTCGACTCACTCACCCCACACGCGTCGCAAACCACAGCTGCTTCGCCATGCATGCACGCACCCTAATTAGCTTGTTTTTATACCGGTCTCTATCCCTATATATAAAGCAGCACGTAATAGTACCAGTATCTCACGAGTTTCAGAAACAAGACATAATAAGGAATCGGAGCAGTAGTGTGGTGCGCGTTTTTTGTGTTGGGAAAATATGGCACACTATCAGAACCAGTACGGGGATGCCACAGGCAGGTCGACGGATGAGTACGGGAATCCGGTTAATTATTATGATCAGAGGAGCGGCACGGCAGGACACGGAGGCACCGAAGCCGCCGGGAGGGGTCATCATCAGGGGCTTCACCGGACGGGGAGCTCGAGCTCGAGCTCGTCGGAGGAGGATGAGGTGGTGGACGAGAACGGGGTGAGGAGAAAGAAGGGAATGAAAGAGAAGATAAAGGAGAAGATACCGGGAGTAGGAGGCCATCACTCATCTCATGTCCAGCACACATCCACCACCACTCCTGGCGGTGCTGTTTCCAGTGAGCATCACCACGACAAGAAAGGTTTCGTGGACAAGATCAAGGAAAAGCTTCCCGGTCACAACTGACTTCCTGCTCCGATCCTATCTGTGCTTTTTTTTTCCCCTCCTTTCTTTTTTTTTGTTGGGATCAAAATAAAGGCAACTGCTCTTCTGTATGTTGTGGCTACTTCCATGTGTCCACATATGTAAGATTGCCCTTCATCTTTGTGTGTAACAATTTTATTTCTCAAAAAAAATCCTTGGATGGGCGGTTGATTTTTGGGGGCTTCAGCTGTTCAGGGTCGCGATGGACTATATATATTTTGGCCCTGGTCCTATGCTACCAGAAAAGTCATGGGAAAATCAATATCGTTCACTAAAAATAACCATTAAAAAAAAAAGCATGATTACTCATTCAGTTGTGCGTCTCGGAACAAGCTACAGTACTTATCATTTTGATAAGTTTAGGTTTGATGAGCACCCTAAACATATCAAATTATTTTTTCAAGAGATTATCTTTATTTTAGACTGTATACATATTAAAATAATTATTTTGAATAAATAAAAAAATTAAATCTAAATCATCTAGATAAAATATGAAGTGATAAGTATCTAAACTGGTTTCGTGGGCTGGTTTAAGCTTTTAGCCCATGTCGTTTATTCTTTTTGGGCCTAAAGGCTCTTGGAGTGATGAAAGCTGAACGCCACGATGAACATAGGCGGAAGATAATGGATTCCCTTCTTGAAGCAGGCCCAGTAACTCATTCACGGATCTCTCTCTCCTTCTCTCTCTTTCTTTTCGGGCTCATTTTCAGTCCATAAGTATTTCTAATTTTTTTTATAATTAACTGTTAATGATAATTATTTAGTATTTCATACATAGCACGACTCTGCTCGAGTTTTTTTTTGGTCGTGGGATTTTATTTAAGAGGTATAAAAATTATCTTCATTCGAGTGCAGTGCTAATGTAGCATGTTTCATATAATCAATTGATAAAGAAATGGAATATTGGTGATGGGGACTGAGAGATGAAGTGCGGGCGGGTGACCACAGGTTGGATGCCGCAAGGAGAGGCCCTCGTTACTCCAAAAATTTCTCCAAAACGAACCCAACTGACCCATATTGCCCTCCCAATTTCCCTATATTTATGCAACCCGGCCATGACCCCAAACAAACAATATGTAAAACGATCAGGCGCAGCATTATAACTTTGTGCGAGTCCCGTCAGTGTCATCCAATGCCTGCCTCAATCATGTTCCACTTGCCCATGATGTTCCCTTCTCGCGCGCACACTGCACATTCGTTTCTAGTATCACTTTGACGTGCGTGAGAATAAACAATTAACAATATTCAATCATTTTATCCTGCTTGGTATTTTAGCAGTGACGCAGGGATCTTCTCAAAAGACAACGTCAAGTGTGTTCGGGTGGGGGAAAAACAAGAGATTAACACAGCGGCCCCTGCTGGGAACTGGCTACGGGGACAACGGCACTTCTTTGTTTCTCCACCTCATTTGGGTTTTGCGATGCCAACCACGCCTCAAACTAAAATCTGCTCAGCCAATGTTTCATTTGTATCTCGTAACGTATAATGCCTGGGAAATATAATCATTGGACAAATTTGTCTTCGTCTTTTTAAACAAAAACATTACATCTTTTAAAAAGGTATAACTACACTGGCTTGTAAATTACGCAATAGAATTTTTTCTTCTTCCCAAATAAATTATGCAATAGAATTATTTTGAGTAATATGGTAAATTATGTGAAATCCAAGGTCAATCGTCGAATAGATTAAAAATTCTTTCCAAAAAAAAAAAAACACTAAATTCCACGAGAGCATGTCCCCTCTTGAGGGTCGTTAATTGTTGGGGCGGACCCTGTATTAGTTTTGCCCAGCTGCTGTCCTCAGCTACGCACTTCCCCTCTCTGCCCCTCGTTTTCGTCGCTCCGGCCTTCACTCTCTGTAATGGGCGACGAGAAGAAGTCCAAACCTGCTGGTGTCTGGCCTGCCGTCAAACCTTTCGTCAATGGCGGAGCCTCTGGAATGCTCGCCACCTGTGTTATTCAGCCCATTGATATGGTTAAGGTAAAGTATCACCCTCTCCTTCCCTCTGTTTATCTGTTTGGAATCCCCATATGGCTCTTGATCCTTTTTGTTTCATTTTCTACAAAAGATGCCGACATGGACTGGAATGTTTGCCATGAGATTTTAATCTTGGAATTTCCCTTTTCTGTTGCACCGATTGATTCTATGAATGCTGCTCTCCCCTTATTTATTTTTTATTTTACTGGGTTTGCATAGGTGAGGATACAACTGGGTCAAGGGTCCGCTGCTCGGGTGACATCCACTATGCTCAAGAACGAGGGCATCGCTGCATTCTACAAGGTTTGATTCTGCACATTCTATGACTTCGATTCTGTTCAAGACACGTCTTTATGACTGGTTTTAGAAACTATTCCCGTCAATTTTGAAGCTGCTTCGTCATTGATGTTTCCTTATATTCATTTTGGTGCGATTGGTTCGGGATGTGTTTCCTGAAGTTCAATCGGATCGAGTCCGCTCTGAATCGAGGTCCATCTTCGTTTAAAAAAAAAAAAAAAGTCCATTCGAGGAATGGCGGAGTTTTTTCATTGCAACTCCCGCTTGCGGGTGCATTGTTTCTGCACACAAACACCCAGACCCCCCCCCCCTCCCAAAAAAAAAAAAAAAAGGAAAAAGAAAACCAACCGAGACGTCTAAGCGAAAGTAAACCTTATAAATTATTATTTTCAGTACACGAAAATAATATTTTGCTTTGAGGTTTGGCTTCTCTTTTACTTTTTTAAATTGTTGGTTGTCTTTTGTTGTTTATTTTTCACTGATGCATAAAGTTACTGATATCTAGACCAAATCCCTTTGTACAGGGTCTATCTGCAGGATTACTCAGACAAGCTACATACACTACTGCTCGACTAGGATCATTCAAGTGAGGATTTTATTATCACATTTGTTTGTCTTTATGAAACACTGAGGAAAAATTTCATGGCCTTTTCTGCATGTGGCATTATTACTTGCTCCCAACCATCGTTTCTCCAACAAATAGTTTTTATAACTTGAGGGCTCATAGATTTTACATAATATGGGATGTAATGATCTATCTTCATGGTTTAATCTAATGCCAATAATCATTAATTCTTCTTGGGATGAGTGATCTTATGACATCATCTATATGATAACTTTTTACAGTTGAGCTATCATATGATTTGATTTCACTTTTTGTTAGGATATTGACAAACAAAGCAATTGAGGCTAATGATGGGAAGCCACTGCCACTCTATCAGAAAGCTCTATGTGGGCTGACTGCTGGTGCTATTGGAGCAAGTGTTGGCAGTCCAGCTGATTTGGCACTCATACGAATGCAGGCTGATGCAACTTTACCTGCTGCTCAGCGCCGAAATTATGCAAATGCTTTCCATGCTCTTTATCGCATTGTTTCTGATGAAGGGGTTTTGGCACTTTGGAAAGGTGCAGGCCCTACTGTAGTAAGAGCTATGGCATTGAACATGGGAATGCTTGCATCCTATGATCAAAGTGTTGAGTTTTTCAAGGATTCCCTTGGTTTCGGTGAAGCTGCTACTGTGCTAGGTAAATAGCCATTTTGTTATGATTGATTATCTTTTAGTTCTGGGCAACGGAAAGATTGCTGCCATGTGACCTGAAGGTCATGGGTTCAAGTCGTGGAAATAGCCTCTCCGCTTGCAGCGATTAGACTTTGTACATTTACTCCTCCTCAAACTCCACCAGGTGGGAGCCTTGTGCACTAGGCCGCCCTTTTTGAATTATCTTTTAGTTGGAAGCCATTGGCTTCGGCTTTGGCTGCTGTTCTAATAGGACAAGTAAATACAACTATGCATGTCAAAATTTGACTAATGGTCTAACATGAAAGCCATACGTTTGGAAGTGGAGGGTGCTAGCTATGTTGGCTTGAACTGTTGATCATGTTTTGACATCTAATTGTTAGTTAACCAGAGTGCAGTACAGCTTGGGATGTGGTGCAGGTATGGGGGCAGGGCATGAACTGCTTAGTAAAGCGCCTGTTTGGTGTGCTGAATGGAAAAGAAAAATGGAATTAAAACAAGTGGATTTGTAGTTTGGACATGGCTTTTGTTTCCTTGAATAAAAATTAAAAAATAGTAAGAAAAACCGAGTCACAATTAAGTAATAATAGCAGGCGTATGATGCATATTATATATATCTCTTTTTTTGTCCAAAAGGGAAAACTCCTTTTTGGCTGCTTCTTGCCCCCTAAATATGAGGTATATGTTGGGTTTACTTTGTCAGTATTCACTTAATTTTTTAATTTTCTTTTATAGGTGGAGTGAATATCCATTAATTTTATCATTCTTGAGTTGTAAAAAGGTTAGACTATGCTAATTAAAAGGAAAATTGACAGCATTGGACTTGAAATTATTTGGATACCAGAACGTGAATTTTATAGATGTTAAAGCTGATAAATGGAAGTTATTGAAATCTGAGATATGAGATCCAAGATACCATGATTAATCCACAATATGTAGTAAGTAATAGTAAGGGGCTTTGCTTCGGAATTGAAGATCGGATTCTTGTCATTGCTTGGTTTAAGGGACTTCGATGGCTTTAATGAAGATTTTGTGGTCTAATGCCTGAGTAAGTAGTGGTAAGAGGTAAAAGTTCAGGAAACAAAGGAGATATAAGATGGTACATTTGGAATCAAAACAAACTCTTCAGTTAGCTTCTACATGACTGGAGGGAGTACCTAAAACTCAAGTTACAAGACTTCCTCCTTATTTATAGACTAATAGGAAGTATAGGCGCTAACGATAACTAACTAACCCTCCTGACAAACACTCTTGCTCGTTTTATTATTGTCATATCAACACCATTTTTGTACCATATTTTTTGGCTATCAATTTGGCTGATTACTGGATTACCGTTTTGAGTGCAATATTTGATACTTCATGTTCATGAACCTTATCTTCGATACTTAATGCTCAGTAACCCTTTCTGCACTTGTCTAGTTGGGATTATAGGTGCAAAGATAACTTTATGTCTGCATTGTAAGAGGCAATTTTAAAACAAATTAGGAGTCATAGTTTTTTGCCCTTGTTTGATGTTATGTCAAGATAGGTAAGAAATCCATACATATTATAGAAGTTGAAATGCACTGTTTTGTTGTTGCGGTTTTTTTTTTTTTAATTGCCGTGTGCTTTATTACTATTATTATGTAAGCTTGAATCCCTCCTCACCGGAGGAACTGCAAGTACTGGAAGGATTTCTATTCTGTGCCTTGGTTCTCGAAGGGAGTTCCCTGTAATTCTGGTCTCATTTTTATATATTTGTCATTTACACGTCCTCCATCATATAGGTGCGAGTACTGTATCTGGATTTTTCGCATCAGCTTGCAGTTTGCCATTTGACTATGTCAAGACGCAGATTCAGAAGATGCAGCCCGATGCTGAGGGGAAATTTCCATACAACGGCTCTCTCGATTGTGCTCTCAAAACGTTGAAATCAGGAGGACCCTTTAAATTTTACACTGGATTCCCTGTGTATTGTGTCAGGATTGCTCCTCATGTCATGGTATGCGATTCTAACTGTGCACGTTTCTTTTCATGTTCCCTTTTCTCCATTTTTCTGATTAAGGGCCCTTAGATTGTAGGGTCCATTCCAGTTTGTTTCCTAATATTTTATTTTATCTTATGCAGATGACATGGATTTTCCTCAACAAGATTCAGAAGTTGGAGAAATCAGTTGGGTTGTAGGTCTCCCGAGTGGTGGGCTTTTTGTATTTGATCCAGGCTAAGCTTTAAATAATCTGGTGGCAATTTCACACTAACGAGGCTGTTCATTTTTTGAGATTTAATCATATAATCGTGCGACTTAGGCGGGGGTCTTAACACACCTTGTACCAATTTATGGATAAGGGTGTGACTGAAGTAACATAGTATAGTTGAAATGATGAGCCGTCTCACTTCTATAAGAGGAGAATATAAATTTGAATCCTGAAAAACACATTTGTTGAGAGAGTTTTAATTTTAATGTTTTCGACTTAATAGAGATTAGTGTCAAATTCAAAATAACTTGAGAATATTTTGGGTTATTAAAAAATGAAAAGCAATGACATGAGAATTTTTGAACAAGATCAAAGCGTCTTTGTCTTGTCATGCGCGGCCTCATCTTATGCGGAATTAGAATTGGAATAGAATTATTTATGAGAAAAAGAAAATGCAAAAAACGCGTTACTAAATTCATTCCTAAATGCAAAGAGTACTTAAATAATTTCAAGAAAAAATAAAAAATCACCAACAAAGTTTTCAATTAGGCTGAAATGACACTTGTTCCCAAAAGATTAAATTAAGTAACAAATTCATCTAGACTAAAAATTTAACTCAATTTATTATTTTATTTGTTAAAAATGTGTATTGATTGTTGTCAGCAGAGAAAATGTAATGACTCGCCTAAAACGCATCTTTTAACTATTTACAGTGAAAGTCACCTTATTACATAAATTGATATGTGCAGTCAATAGAAGTACTTACGTAAAAATATAGTAAATATGAAAAATAAAATTTATTGATATATTACATTTGAAGTCAAAACAAATCACATTAGACCATACATTCCCAAACGAAATGACTAATTTATTACATGCGTCGGCCCCTCTGTGCGTTTGGACCCTTAAATGAATCTTTCCCTCCTTTGCTTCTCTCCAACCCCAACTACGCAACACATCGATTGGGACACGGTCATTGCTTTGCAGCTTAAACCAAGCTGCAAATTTTTTTTTTTTTATCAGATAGTTTCAAACCAGAGTGTATGTTGTAAGCTGCAACTTAATAAATGTCACAAACAATCATCGACTATTAAGTTCGGAAAACAAGGAGTGCATCCTCCGGCCACCTGACCGAACTGCAAATAATGATATCTATAATTTGCCCTTCAATGGGCTCCGACAAATTAATGTCAGCGTAATCAAAACACTAATCGTATGCTCATGTCTATCTGTCAAATAAATTCAACTTCCACCAATAAAACAAAGGGACTTTTTATCATCAAAGACAAACGAAGTAAAAGTAACCGAGCTGGTTCCGTCCTTGTAACAAACATTAACTTTGGATGTTTGTGCTGCTCAAATCCTGAATGAAGACGTGCTATGCCTTGGCCCTGAAATGGAAGGACAATACACGCTTATTGGCAACGCTGAATTGCAAAATACTGACTCAAACAATTCATAAAATGATTTAAGATCCATACGTCATGGTAGGCTGCGAATAATTCATAACCTATTCTCAAATTATTAATTCATCAGAAAAAGAGGAGAAACATCACTCTCATAAGGGAACTAGTTTCAATGTTCATTACTTTGATAAACACTCTAAACTTATCAGATTTAGATCATTCACATCTTATTTGGATGGTCCAGATTTAATTTCTTTTTTATTTTTATTTATTTAAAATAATTATTTTAATATGTATAGAATACCAAATAGAAATAATTTCTTAACTATCATTCTTTCAAAAAATAATTTTTTCTATTTAAAAATAATTAATTAAAAAATTTAAATCTAATGAGCTTAAGATGCTCATCAAGGTGATGAGCATTGAAACTAGTTCCATTTCATAATTGGGATCTGGGGTTTAATGCAGCTATGATTTGTAAATATTAAATGCTCATCCTCTTTAGTTTTACTTTTTGGTAATTGCAAAGACATTTAAGCCTGCCGTAAAGTTCTCCTTCCTTTCTCCAACAGCATTTCATAGAAAGCAATTTCCTGCCTTATAAATTTTCAGTGATCGAGTACACAATGAGAAGGGTTTCAGGAAATAAATAAAGGAATCCTAATCATGCAAATATGGCTCAAGAATCTGGCAGAAAAAAATCATTCTAGTAATGATCACAACTAGAATGACAGACTAATCATTCCAGATCTCCACATGGTATCTAAGATCAATTATAAGTTCGTTTCTGTTTTTTCAGAGAGAAAAGAAACAAGTTAGAAAAGAATTAGACATAGCAAAGGAAAACAAATAGAAACAAAAGCAAAAGAATCACAATCATCAATGGAAAAAGAGGATTTTACTAATTACCCATTAAAGAAAGAAGGAAAAAGAAAGAATAAGAAAAAAAGGATTGAACTAAAATGAAAAGAAAACATCATCAATTTAATCATGGTAACCTATAATAGAGCAAGTTACCTTTCCATGTAATAGTCATCCTCTGTATTAACAACTATTGCATCACCAACCACGATGTGGGGTGGCACCTAAGAGCCATTTGTCGGGGGGAAACAAGACAAAGGCAGTTAACATCATCAGCTTTGAAGATTCAATAAATTTCATAACAGGTAATTACAATGGAATAAATTTCTAACAAAATATAAATTGACAGATCAAAGTGAGGGGAAAAAAAGGCATAAGCATATGTACATACTTTAATTGTAAGATATCAAAGCATTATTGTTTCACGCATGACAAGCTATTGGGATGTGTTGAAGTATGCATAAATCACCCTAACATACTCTAAGACCCCATCATTTACAACCCCAAAAAAAAGCCCCAAAACCACTTAAAGTGATACATGGCAAACCTCAAAATAACATAATACATGATGTCATTCACACATTATATTTGCATATACTCTATTTATAATAATGGAAGTGTGGTTTGGTTTTCTAACAACATCAAGCCCCCTACTACCCCTTACATTACTACACTATCCTTAATTCCTACATATAATCACCATAGGGGTTGTTTGGAGGCAAAATGGATAAATAATAGAGACAAACTGACTGGAGTTTTATATTTAGAAACAAATTAAATCTCTAACTAGTTCTTATATTAAGAACCGGAGGCAGTGTTTTTGACAATGAATCCTCCCCAATATATCATGCTCATGATCCAACAGACAGGCTTCCTAGCGATGAAGTGTTGGATTGCAACTATTAATTCGTCTAGGCCTTTCTTTTTCCATAGGCATCAAGCCTATAAATGCTCCAATAGGCCAAATTCTATGCTTTCCACCAAGGTCATTTTGAACCCCTGCTACCCCATTCTGCTTCGTTGGTTGCTCTTGCCACTCATGCCATAAGCCCCCAACATGCAGAGAGGCATCGGTTTTGTCAATTATTTCCTCCTTCTCATTCTCTCTCCTTGTAATGACGTAAAATGTTACAGCATTTCATAGCTGCAAATTGATATTTCATCCTTCTTGGAGTTGCAAAGTTCTGCCCTGGCTTGAATTGTTATTTTCTGGTATTTAGTTAATTTGAATTACAATTGAGATGAGGCAATAGTGTAGTGGTCTAGATGCGCAGGTTTCTTCTGCCCCTTTTTGCCATTGTAAGTTTTCTGTGTTACACAAAGGGGGCTTTTATAGATTCAGGATGGATTTTAAGGGGTGTTTGGCATCAAATAAAAGGCAAATTCCTCCACATATTTACTTCGTATAACATAAAATCACTTTTGAAATCATAGTTTGGTTTTCATCCAAACACCTTCCTTAGTGTCACAAAATACTGGGCTTGGCTTCAATTGTCTCAACTCAGGGGAAGTAGTACAGCTCTGGTTGTGGTTTTGGCCTTTATAGGTCATTGAACAAAACTGCGTACAATTCACATTGGCTATTGATTAAATAAGCAAGGGGATAATCATTAGACTTACTTCAACTATAATGCCATTGTCCAGTGCTACTTTTTTATTCCTGAATTCAAGAAAAAACAGTAAGTATAGCAATTTTGAATTTTCTAGCAAAAGAAGCAGATGACAAGGAATCAGGTATTTTAATTCAAAACTTAACATTATAACTGCCACATATTTCATTGAGAAATGGAATAGTAAAATGCATAGATGATGTAGTAAAGTCATAAGTTTCAAATGAATTAAGGTTTATTGTAAGTATATCGGGACAAGTTCGTTACTGTACACATAGGGAACAGTTACTAAGGAATCAACTTTAAGATTTAGACATTTACAGTAGACTCAGGCAAGGAGGAATTAAGCGAAGGAAATTCGGACAGGATGTCAACTTGAAAACACCATAAAAATTGGAGGAGGATGCGGGGAAAAACCCAGTCTCCAAACTCACAATTCTTTAGGCAACACAAGTCGTGTGCAGGCTTGATGCTTACCATCAAATGGAAGATAAGCTCCAAGGTATTAAGCAAAACCTTGAACCAATTAAAAGGGAGCTTCTAAGTTACTACTTGCACATTTTACCAGACAACGTTCCAAAACAGACATTAACAAGAATGAAGACAGAATAGGCAGCAAATGACAAAGGCAGCAAGACAACTAGATGCTTCCAAAAGGGGGGGAAAAAAATTCTTTGTTCAGGCAATGATATATACCGTGGCGTGGCTGCAATCTCTTCCTTTACAGTACATGTTACACGCTTGGGAACAGACGCAGATAGTGGTTTGTCATCATAAAACTGCACCTTAACTTTCATTTCATCTGTTAATCAGGCAACAATTTGTGATTAACTAGCGAATGAATGATGGAAATAACAGGTAGCTATATTCATAAAGCTTAAAATGCTTCCAGCAAGTTAGCAAAGGTTGAGACCATTATAAAAAGATATACAAAAGCATGTGAATAAACACTATGCTGACAAGAACGGCCTTTTTGGATGCTTAATGAAAACATCAAAGCTTAAGTAGCTTGCAGCAATATATCTGATAATAAATCTTTGCAATGCTGACAAAAGTCAAACAAAACAAAAAAGAAAAAGAAAAGATCGGCATCACACTGGTAGCTAACTGAAGGCAAGAATGAGTCAGAAATCATGATCACTGGGCCTCAAGCTCGCTAGATTTAAATTTGTAAACATCAAAGCGTGAAATTGAGATATCAATTAAGGACTATTTTGTTAGCTCTCGATTTTTGAATCCTACTATATATCTATCCAACTAGAACAGTCGAACAGAGTCACAAAAACCCTCAAATCCATATATGCTCTCAGCCTGACAAGGACCCAATGAGAAAGGGCGGGGAACCTGAAGCTGTTTGAACCATCATCAAGGAAGGGGAATCCGAAGTTGGGTGAATCATAATGAATGCTTGGGCATTTATCAACTAGAATAAGGAGGAAAAGAATTACAATCTTATTTTCATCATAATGTTAACCCTGGGGTAGAAGCTCAATTCGGCACCCAAAAAAAAAAAAAATCCAAATCAATCTGCTATGAACCGTCAGACAGGAAAAGAACAGTAAACACGGATGACAAGTAATAATTGTTTACTATTTATGGACCTCGTAGATATGCAGCATTCTTGCCAAACAAGTCTCTAGACAACTCCACTTGATCCAATGTATCAGGGCTGGCAGCAATTACACAAAGAAACCACATTTATCAACTTGACAATGATTTCTAGCACAGAAAAGCAAACTAGGATGAAAGAAGCAAGAACTCACTCCATCAATACTACTGTGCCATCATGATCCATGCACATGTACATGAAATTTTTATCCTGCACATAGACTCCTGCAAATATTTACATGATTTACAAGCACAGAAAACTTAACACAAAGCAATTAATAGTCAGCACTCAGCAGGAATAAACTTAAGTCATAAGTAATTAGATAGAGCAAATTCTTTAACTATTCAACTTTCAAATAATCATCTTCTAAACTACGAACTAACCAAGGTATAGAAAAAAGCATTGCCTGTGAAGAGTATTGGATCAGCAGAAAGAAACAAGGCGGCAAATGGAAAGATCCACTTCTCTATTTTTTAATTTTTTATTTTTAACCAGTTCATTCCTTTAGTCCGTCTGCTCCTTCTTGTAGGGAGGTCAACATACAAATTAACACAGCAATATATTTAGGGAAGGACAGTCTAATTCAGCTGTCCTGAATTCAACAGAAATGACTGAAATTCAAGATTAACGAGCATAATCAACTCGCAAAAACTAATTTCTCTCTTTCCAACCCCCATGCACCCACAAATAAGGTTTGTTGTTTCATACAAGATATATAAATGTCTTGTGTATGGCTTTGCTTGCCTTAATTTATAATTCTTAATTCAAGCTGAAAACTCAGATTACTTGGGAACACAACTATTATGGCACAATATTCCATTGGAATTCATGAATAAAAAGATGTTTCCTAAGTTCGTGATTTTCATACAAGAATACATATCACCATTTAAAAAAAAAAAATTGCGTGCAACCCAAAATATTTTGTGGTATAAGTTTGCTCTTAAAGTATTAATTTTTCTCAAAAGCAATTGTGCTTTTAAAGTATTGTTTCATTAGCAATTTTAACTTAGTCATTAACTCCTCAATAGGTCCTTAAATGAATGTATAACAAGCACCATAAAGTATTTTTTTTTTAGTATTTTTAAGCTGCTGAATGCACCTTAAAAAAATACTTTAGGGTGCTGGATAAACTGCAAAATACTTTAGGGTACTGTATGCACTTGAAAAAATACTTCAAGCTGCTGGACACACTACAAAATATTTTATGATGCTGGACGCACCTAACAAAATACTTCAGGGTGCTGGACTCACCTTAATCCTTTGAAAAATACACCAAAAAATATATATGCTCCAAAAATCAAACTACACAAAAGCCATGGAAGGGGTAAAAAGAATATTAACATCAACTAAGCAACATTTGCCAATATATTTGCAAACTTGCAAAAGAGACTACTTTAAAGTGTCCACATATTGAAAACGATAAAGGCCAAAAGCCAACTTTTTCCCTAAAAGAGATCTTGTAGCAAGCTTCATCTTTGGAAATTGGGAGAATTACAATAGAAATAACTATCAAAAAGTCTTAATGACAAGTGAGGAATTGTCATTTCCCACTTTAGAACTTATCATTGCAAGCTACTCAATTGTCATTGGGACTTATAGTAATTATATTGTCTCCTTGGAACTTTATTGCAATTCTCCTTTGAAAATTCAGATTTTACTTACAGATTATGGGGGTGCTTAGATTAGCTTTTTGGAAGTGATTTTATAGTATACGAGGTACATATGTGAAAAGAGTTTTGTCCCGACTTATGTAAAAGTGCTTATAAGAAACTAATTCAAACACATCCTATAGATAAAACAATGGAAAAGCTTGCGCGTAGTTGAAGACAGAAAAACCCTTCTTTCTTCTTCTTCTTCCTCCTTTTTGTTGTTCTCCCTCCAAAACCTCTAAAATGACAGATTAGGAAGAACTCCAAACTAGAAGGGCAGAATCCGTGCTTACCAGAGACACAAGGCCTAAGATACCTTCCAGTTATGAGTTATGAGACTGTCTCATTTTAGTTTACTCAATCCCTTTGTATCACACATTCCTTCCTCTATGGAATTTTAGAATCCTATCAGCCTCAAGCTGCGCTCGGCTTTTCGTCTCTCGCTCTCTTTATTTCCTCATGATTCTCTTACTTTGACTAGTTATTCTGTACAGTCTGGGCACAGAATCAGCGCTATGCAATTCCTTGACACTAACTTGATTTTTGCTTTAAAAAAAAGGTGAGCCATAACATAAATTTATCAATCCATGTATCTAAATCATCAAGTAGATAGACAATCTACAAACATTATGTACTGACTATTTAGTCTAGTAAATCATACTAACATCTAGAAAGAGAGGGGCATACTTTCCACATCCTCATCTGTGCCGAACCGTTGGGTTAACTTGTTTCCATAACCAATGTCACGAAGTTCCACCTATTACCAGAAATAATAAAGGGCTCCCTCAAGTTTGCCTTATTTTGGTTTTAGTCTTTTAAGTTTCAAATCATAATTTTTGGTCCTTCAAGTTTCTTTTTATTTAAAGCATTGGTCCCTATAACTCAATAAAAACCTAGACAATTTTGTCTCCTAAAGGACCAAAACCTATGATTTGAAACTTGAGGAATTAAAACCAAAATGAGGGCAAATTTAAGAGATCAAAGATTATATTAACACAATAATAAATATTGAAGTTCTATAATTTAAAAAGAAAAAAAAAAGAAAAAAAGTAAAGCAAGTCCACAAGTTGCAAGTCTATCACATAACAGCAGCATAAAGAAGTGAGGCGTTTGGCTAACCAAGCAAAGAATTGCATTTAATGATATAAGCACTTGACAGAGAGGATTAATCCTAAATCAACACCCTTTTGGGAAAATTTCATATCTATTCAAACGAAGAATAAGTAAGGCATTGTCCAGACATCTGGTGACAAATGTTGTGAAAATTAACTATTACTTGTTTCCTATCAATACGCCCAGCGGTAGTGATTATTAGTCAACTCAAATCTCTCAATGCAGTCGCTTCAAGGGCGAAATAATGAAATAGACCCAAACTAAAGGATGTTAAATCTTCTACGTAAAACTAATACAAAGCTACGAGGAGCCAATTGTAGTACGAGATGACTAGGTTGGGCCAACCTATGGTGTACCAATTGTTATGCCAATAGCAGTGCCGGGCAGCTAAGTTGGCATGGAAGAACTGCAGTGCCACAGGAAATCCTTCTCTACTAATGAAAAGATGTTTCCATTTAACTTTTAAATCATCTATAATTCTGCAACATCCAATTTATCAGTTCAATTGCTTCCCTCTATGGTCTATAGTATGGGTTAAAAAGACAAAAAGGAATATCTCTTGATGCAAACTGTGCATTACATGAGGAGCACATGCAACTTTGTGAAGACCTAGAATTGGTTGTAGGGGTTAAGTAAGACTTGAAAAGAGCGTGTAAGGTGCCCAAAATATTTCTCTTCACATGACAGCCAACAAACCTTACTCCTACATACACTACGTTGATGCATGGAAGCCTTTAACAATAATTCACCATGCTACTTCAATATCCTGATTCAAGACATCTAGAAATACACGCCTCACGTATGTGCAAAAAGAAAATATACACCTCATGAACACTATTCTATTTCAATTAAAAAAAGCTGCCAAAAAATAAAGGACCAAGTCATCTAAAAATGGAATGAGAAAACTTAACCATTGGAGGAAGAAAAAAAAAAAAAAAAACCTTGATTGTAGCTTTCCCTCTTCCTTCATGAGAATGATCTACTTTAAGGACCTAATCCAAATTAAACAGCCATATCAGAACAAATGCTGGGTAATCAACGGATATAATTTTACAAAATAAGTTCCTTAATGAATAAGTACCTCATATATCCGCCCTAACAGCAGCATATTCACCGCAAAAGAAATGCAAAGAGAAAGTGTCACCAAAAAGACAAGAGGGAAAAAAAAAAAAAGTAATGCAGAGTGAATTATTAGTAACTATACATATTATAAGAGATCGCCCAAATAAATAATATTCAAACTCTGAAATACAAGGAAACCTTGTTTTTCAATGATATTTCCAACTCTGACCTGCATCACAAGTAAGAAAATCCATGAATCTAAATTTATCCCACAACAAAAAGTAAAAGATTGAATATATTTTGTTTGGGAAAAAAAACCCATCTACGTAATAATGACCAACAAAATCTGAGTATTGCTCGCCGGTGCCCGCAAATATTTACCATCACAACCATCAACAGATTTCTCATGACTTCAATCAAACATTTCCTTCATTTTCTTTCTCTTAAAGTGCTGGTCTTTACAAACATACTTAATGGTTTAGACTAAAAAAAGGATCAATTCAGAATTTTCAATGTTTGTCAAAAGCTTAAATTGCCAGCTCTCACAAAAAAGTTTCCTTTTGTATGCTTTTTTTTCCTTTAAAAAAAAGGATGATCCAATCATGCATCTGAAGAAACCCAGATATATAAATATACACGATTGCAGCAAGCTGTAACCTCAACAATCGTGTGAGGACATCTTTATTTTCAAAATCTCATTGGCATAGAGACTCTAGATTGTATAAATAACTTACATCAGAACCGGAGACTTTCATCGCCCGACACTGAATGGCGGACCATGGAGAGTTGAGCAGGTGGATGGGAGACGAAGTCCAGGTGGTGCGACTGGTGGCGGGAGAGGAAGCAGAAACCAGAGAAGTTTGAGAGTTCGACGATGACGGGGGGAAGACAGAAAAAGCAGAAGAGAAGGTTGATGATAAAAAAACGCGAGGGTCGGATGAAAGTCGAAGGAATGAAGTCGATGCAAGGAAGACAGGTCTGCCCAGCCTCTTGCTCCGCTGCACTGCTTGCATTTTAACTTCAGTCTACAAACGTCCGGCGGCGTCGCGTTCGGTTTTGTAGACACGCCAAGGCCCAACAAAGGACTTTGGGTCGTTATGTAATTTTGATAGCAACCCCACTAGCCTTACCCTCCGTTTGGATGGGAAGAAAAAAAAAAAAGGAGAGAAAATAAAGAGGAGAAAAAAATTAGAAAATAAAGAGAAGAAAAAAATTAGAGAAAAAATATTATCACTTCTCATATTTAGATAGACAAGACAAAACAGAAAAGAAAAAAATGAGTAAATATATGGATAACTAAAATACCTTTTATATTATATCAAAATATATCTTGATTAAAATCAAATTAAATATCATAATGAAAAACCATATTTACATTAATATAATGATATATATAATTTAAAATCAAATTATTTGATAAAGATATATTATCATGTTATTACATTTTAATATCAAATAATTTTGTAAAAAAAGAAAAAAATAACATTTTGTGTAATGTAATGTTAAAAAAACTAAAACAACAATTCTACTTGTTTTTCCTTTCAATTCATTGTAGAAGGATTTTTGTAGTTTTAGTTATTTTATTTTTCAATCAAGCAAACATAGAAGAAAGACTTAATAATAATAAATAAAATGAAAAAAATAAATAAGTAAAATACGTTTTCTTCTCATTTTCTCTCCATATATGGAGAGAAAAGTTGGGAGAAAAATGGGCTATGGGACCCACCTCATTTTCTCTCTAACTTTTTTTTCCTCCCACTTTTCTTTTCTCATCCAAACAGAGGAAAAACCACTTCTCTTCTCATTTTCCTTCCTAGTTTTCTTTCCTCCTTTATTTTCTCTCCATTCAAACATAGCATTAAATTAGTTGTTTTGTTTTATTGTTAATTACTTCCATGGACGTTTTTTACAACATATTACCATGAATATGATGGCCAAAAAAATAATATGTTTTGTCTAAAATATTTATAATAATTTTTAAATATAATTAATTAATTATGAAGCTTTCTAATTAGTTAGCTAAATTATTTTAACTGATAATTTTAATGACTTCATTTATTTATGTAAATTTATTATTAAATGGTTATAATAATAGTAATCAGGGTGAGTATAATTATAATTTGTTGCCAACAAAGTTTATTACAGGGAATGTAGCACTCCGAATTGTTACCTATGACATTTTACAATAAAAGGAGTATGATGCGAAGTGCAACTAATTATTTGTCCGTGCCAAAATTCCTGGTGAGTAGTGCCATGGAGGCGACAATTTCCGCTCTTATTGGTGCCAAGGGCTGCGTGCAAACTTTGCCATGAAAAGAAGCCTGGGGTTAAGAGTAGATGCTGACATTACGCCGTTTTAATTTGATCGTCAAAGCCTCGGTTATGCTATAATTATTGATTGGTTTCAAACGCGTTAATGTTACGATATAATAGTTAGTCGTCTAATTTGAGTATATTAAGCAATTTAGTTAAGTTAGTTATATATAATAAATATGTGTTATTTTTTTAAAAATATTCTTATATATTAGTTAGAGTTAACATTTGATAAAAAATATTTAACATGTGTAGTTACTGCAGATACTGCTTAAAAAAATGAATAAATATGAGAGACATGATTGATTAAAATCTTATATTTAAAACCAAATTAAATATTAACGTAGTTCTTATACAAAAAAGAATCCGAGGTAGTAGCTTATGCATGTTACATGATTGGTTGTTTTAGAGGTGTTGGGGGAGAGGCGAGTTTGAGAGGTACGGAGCAATGGTCCATTTTCATTGTGAGGCAAGAAAGCGAGGCTTGCCGGTAGATGAAGACTACTATTGTTTTTGGAGATGAAGACCAACATGACTCACATCAACAAGACACCAGAAGGCAGCTGATCTCTTAGTCATGTTTATTCATCTGATAATGATTTTTTACAACAAAAGACACCCACCAGTGAACACGCTCACTCGAGCCTTCCATTGACATTGTTTATGATGCCAGTTTAATTACTATTGTAAGGATGAAGTTATTAAACGGATGGGGATGGAATTATACCAAAAACAAGCTTTTTTTTTTAATCTAAAAATAATATTGTGGGTACGCAATTTTATCTTTATGAAGGACTATAATTTTTTTATTTATTTGAATTTCAATTTAGTAAGTTTTCATTGTGTAACAATTTAGGTTAATAACATTGTTAGTCAATTTTAGTTTTGATCTCTTCAATTTTAAATATTTTCTTTTAATCTTTATAATAGTTAATTTAAAATGATTTGGTTTGAGTTTAGCAGGCAATTTCTGTATTTTTAATCACTTTTTAATTTTAGTCCTCATATTTACATCATTAAATTTTTAATTTTAATTCATATACTTAAATTTAAGTCAATTTTTTTATGAAAATATTGTAATCCATAATTTAAAAAGAGGAGGGAAAACAAAATTTGATGGAATTCTAATAACTAACAATAACGATATCCTAATTTTTAACATTGGGTTTCCAAATGCTAATGTTATTTTCCCCGGATCTTAGGTCGTGCGTTGCCGGGAGTCCGGGAGTCCGGGTCTTAGGTCCCGCGACTCCCACAACAGTTTACATGTGTGTGCACATATTGGGCATGCATGCGTATGTATGACTGCTGTCGCGTGCATGTCCGCGAACCGGGATCTCTGGTTGAAACGAGAGTGCAATATTCGTTAGCCTCTGCGAAAGCGAGCGTCCTTCGTACGGATCCCCTAGTAGGCGCATACTTAGATCGAGCAAATAGATCATCAGTACCGCCGTGGCGCTTGTGTCCGCTGACCCAAACCCTAATCTCTTCCGTCATGTTTTCGAGCTGAGTCCTGCGTTTAATGTACCCATCCCGCTTAGCAGCTGTTTGACCAAACCTCAGCTTTCATAACCGTAATCAAGTCATGTGGACTAATGTTTTCAAAATCGTAAGTCTTTATTTTCTGACCTGTCTTGGCTTTTACAAATTTACATCTCGTTATGTTATGTGTGCTTTGAGACCGCTTCTGCCTTCTTGACTCCTCACATGTAGCGGGAGCTTGATAAATTAGGGGTTCGAATCCAGTTTCTCTTCCCAAAATTTTCTTTTTCCTCTCCCATAAAGCTTAAATTACACTTGGCAAACTGTTGTAACAGAGCTGAGCATGCACACATGTTAAACCAACTTTAAATACAGGTAGTGGACCCGAGGAATAGCAACGCTGGGAATGAGCTATTCCCCCTCCCTCAAATGCGGGCGCTTGTGTTTAACGTCCACATGATACATTTCTTCCTGCTTCGCTGAACTCGATTCATATGATGGATAGCAGCATACTTTCACTAATTTGAATCTAAAATATGGTAGATTTGTTAATCACTTAAAACTAGAAATAAGAGGAAATTGAATATGATATATTGCTTTCTTTAGTAGTTCGGTGTAATTCAGGAGATAATTTTGTTATAGGTAGTTCTAAATTCAGCATCTTTCCAAAGAGCGTTCCTTTCCTTTAAAGCTATGCTCCAAATTATTTAGTTAAGCATGGTTTTGTGCAACTTGAAACCAATCATGCTATTAAGTGACTGTATATTTTCACTCAATCTAGGACTATTGTTCTGAACGGGGTAATTCCTACGGTATTCTTTTCAAATCTAAATATAGTGTCCTTGTAGTTATTTTGCAGAATTCTGACCTGACACTGCTGTTCGTCATGTTGTGGTTATTTTCCATTTGATTAACGTCATTATTAGTTTCTTTTTTTGGGGGAAAATCTCAGCAGGAGCGTCAAATCTAAGAGCGTGCATGTTATTGTTTACGGTAGTATGATTTTCTATCAAATAATCCTTTTTGTTCACGATGATATAATTTTTCCACCAAATCCGATTTGTGGAAAGATTCTGGACTTGATCTTGTTTTATCACCTTTCTCACGAGGAACATACATGCTGTTACTTTGTATTTGTCTATGGGCATTTATGTATATTTTCCGGATATACACGCTTATATGCATCTATGTTGTTGGCAATTTGCTCAGGGAGGTCTTCATCAAATGTCATGGTTCCAGTTTCTCCCACATGAACCTGATCTGAACCCTTTACCTGACAAAAGGTTATTTTACAAGGCATATTCTTTCCTTTTATTTTCCACTTAACTGCTAACCAATGGAAGTTATCATACGCTTTGTTAATTTTTTTTCCATTGCAGTTTAAAAGTGGAACAAAAGGATGCTGCAATGTTACTGGTGCTTTCATCACATATGCAATTGCAGAAGGATGGGTTTCTCAGCGCATGGACCAATTCCTTTGTTGGACCCTGGGATCCATCTCAGGGATTGCATAATCCCGGTAGAGATATCAAATCCAGCTGTTATAGATTAATTATATGCTATCAGTTGTGTTTTTGATGGAGGAAAGCGTTTGCTTATTTCATTAAGTCTAATTTCCGTCTTACCAAATGTGCAGATGAAAAAATCAAGCTGTGGCTTTTTCTTCGTGGGCGCCACTCCTCAGTTGTTGAGACTGCTCAGCCTGCAGTATCTAGATTAAGGGGTATCATACAAACCTAAAGTTTTGTTGTGATGCATCATCTTCATGGATTGCTTTCAGATATCACCAATGCAAGATACTAATTCTAATTTGTTTTTGTTGATAAAACTTTAGACTTACGTTGATCTCTATGGAAGTTTTCTTCGGGCCCTTTTTTTTTTTTTTCAGGTTTTATAACTATATTTCTGCTCGTGAAACATTTTTATATGTAGTTGCTGCATCTGGATTTTGGCTGGCTCCTGGGGATTCGGAAGAAGTTGCAGCAGCTCTTTCTCAGGCTCTAAGGAATTGTATAGAGAGGTGGCTGATAATTTGTTACAGAACTTTTTAGAGTTTAATTAATCTTGATATTTGCTTCACATATCTTATAAAATTTGGCAGAGCACTGCTTGGGCTTTCCTACATGAGATTCGGTGATGTGTTTTCGAAGTATCATCAATGTCAAAGTGAACAACTGTTCAGGTATGTTGTCGATCTATTGAGATTATAATGTTATTATAATCAAATGACAGCTTCTAGTGATAGATCAAGAAAATTATGTTGCGTAGTGTTAGGAACCTCTAAACATAGAGACAGATATGAACTGGAGGAATCAGGGGAAGATATATTGAGTAGGGAATCTGCCTCCAAAAGGGAACAGCCTGTGAAAAACACCACACTCGCACAGAGTGCATCACAGAAGGTGTTCTGAGTAACTAGAAAAGGCTCAGGGTCACTGGGCAAAAGCAAATGCATCACAACACCAACAAAGAACATGAACACTAGCTTTTGAGAGGCTAGTTTTCTCGTCATTTTAGCCCCCCTACTCCACTTATCCATCTAGGTGGTGAACAGTTCCCCTCTTTAAAAACCTTTCCCAATCGCTCTCAAATACTACTACTACTCTGTCGTCATTTGTGCCCCCTTTGTCTCCTCCCTCTGTTTTTGACCAGCTTGTGCTCTCCATCAGTTCGCTTCTCATTTCAACTTCACAGGTCTGATGCTTGCGCTCTCTCTACTTCCATTCCCTGTTCTGACTCTCTCTCTCTCTCTCTCTCATCTCTTACAGGTTTGGTGCCTGTGAAATTGTTGACTTTATGTATAAATATGTACGTGTATGTATAAAAATATTTCATTGTATATGTTTCCTTATAGGTATCCTAAAATTTTAAAGATTGCCTTGTCTTCCGTATCATGCTATCTTGTATGTGATCCATGTACTTGTATTGGTAATTTTATATTTTAGATAATTATACTTGCATATGGAATGTTGAAATGCAATTTCTAAAATCAATATTATTCTCAGGGTTAGGTTTACTGACTTACTAAAAAATTCTGGCATGGGCGAAGTTGATGAACATGCTACTTGGGTCCACTTAAATGATTTTCCATAAATGCATCCTATTTTTGTTTTAGTGAGGTCACCCTTGATTTGAAGACTAGTTTTTCGGGGTGGGAAATCCCAATTTTGTTGTAGTTGTTTTTGTATGATGGGTAGCTAGTTAGAATCTCTACTAATATATATAATTTGCAATCTGACTGGAGATGACTTAAAGGAGTTGATAGTGAAGCTTTGAATTCTAAGCGCACTATGTTTTCTCTCATATCGTTCTATTATCTTTTCTCCTATAAAAATGGGATCCAGATCACACTGAAACTGATTGATCTGAGCTAGCTTCTTTTCGTGCTTTCTATTGGGTCATTGATCTGAATATGAAATTCATTATTGAATTTTTTCACTGCTTGCTTTATTGTCTACAGGAGAGGACAACCTACGCTTGAGTTCGTTTTTGCTGCGACTGAGGAGGCAATCTTTGTACATGTCATAGTGTCTTCGAAGTATGTTAATCCAAACATTTCGGTTAGTCAATATCCTTTGTTACACTGATTGTTAACATTGTCTTCCTTCATATCAGGCATATCCGAACACTTTCCACACGAGACCTGGAAAAAGTATTAAAACATTCTGTGGATTCTAAATATAGACTTCCAGGTCGGTATGCATTCTCTTGCTTTTTTTTTTTTTTTCCGGTTCAAAAATAATTCAGAGGGCTACTGTCCTTTTACGTGCTGGCCATCCCTCTTTCTTGTTTACTTTTTGATGGGTTGGGAATAGAAAAAGAAGTGAAAGATCTTGCGAATGTGTCTGTTGGGAATTTGTGAAGTTCTCTAACTAAACACGGAACAATATAAATAAAGTTCAAAACCAGCCAATGAAACTTGATTCTATTTGACCGAACAAATATTACAGTTACGTACTTTAAATGACACTGGCAAGTGAAGAAATTGGATGAACACTGCACATAAGATGAACAAAAGAACTAAAGTATTTATGCTACACTTATGCCATGAACACAACAATACAGCGTTTAATCCTCAAGAGTCCAACAGGTTTGCCAACTTTCAAGATGTTGGCTGTCGCCAATACTTGACTCGTATTTCTCCTTCCATATCGTTCTCGGCTATTTTCTTTACGCACCTATTCACAACCTTTTCTGACAGCCCCTATCCTCAGTGTTGCTCCCTTCTCTTACTCCTTCACATCTGGTATATAAACCTTTTTGTTCTCTTCGGGACCGGTAGTCCCCCTTGTTCTGCCCTTTTGCCGCTCCCGTGTTTCCTTCCATGTATGTGTCTAGTGGCAGTGCGTTGGAACCCATCAGTGTCCTATGTTTGTTAGACCACTGTGCACTTAGATTGCATGTAGTGTTAGAGTCTAGAACCAGAGAGTCTTTCTAACTTGACCTTTTCAATTTTTATGAGCAGATATTTCTTCCTGGTTTGTTTGAGGGAATAAACTTATGGTTTATCTTAGTGGCTCTTTAATGGCTTTGCGAAATTATTATTATTATTTTTTTGGGGGGGGGGGTTTGGTTCCTTTCAACGTAATCCTTTTCTTTTCCCATGTTTTCATTGCCCTGTATGTGCTTAAGAAGACTGTATGGCATTCTAAGGAGAGAGGAAGGGGGTTGATCCTTCACGGTTCTCACAGTTTTTTAGTACATTATGGACTGGACTGCTTTTTGACAAAAAAAAAGTGCCCTGATTTATAACCAATGATATTCTGAAGGACTAATAAGTTCATTTTGGTTTCTTGGTTGGCTTCTCTGGGAATCTCTTCTGATTTTTGATGTCAAAATATTTTGTGGCAGTGATTGTTTCTCCTCATGGCATACGTGGCAGTCTTACTGGTTGTTCACCTAGTGATCTTGTCAAGCAAGGCTACCTGAGGTCCTTTCCTTCCCTTTCATCTGTATGTTTAATGTCTGAAAATATCACCCAGAACTAATATTGGATTTTTAATCTTTTGATTGCAGTTCTAATAAGAACAGGGCGTCAAATGGAATCATAGGTTTCCCGTATCACGTTTCCCACAGCATTGGTTGCCAGCTCAGGGGACAAAATTGTTTTGTTGAAGTAAGTCTGGGCTTCCCTAGGTCTGGAAGTGACAGGGCGTTGCAGACAAACATTAATAACTTACGGAATTTATCCAAGCATCATGCTGCTGAATCTCCTGCTTTGGGAAGAACTGATCGCAAGGGATCATCGGATCAGTTGTCAGATTATGAGAAAACATTTCTCTACCCGGCTGAGGCAGTGCTTGTACCAGTTTTACAAACATCATCTGCAAGGTCTTCTTTAAGAAGGTATTTTTGTGGATGTGTGCTAGTCTCCTTGATGCTTTTTGATGTCTAATTTTGTTTTCTCTTTCTTTGATTTATTACTTTGAATTTTATTTTTTGACATATTTCTCTTCATGTACTTTGACCTTTTTGATGACAAAAATACATTTATTCCCTTTTACATTTTCATGTAATGTACAAACATGCGTGCAATGCTCATAATATTGAGAAAGGATTGTTAGATCTTTTCGCCCTTTGGATACTTTCTACATGTTTCTTACTCTATGACAATTTCAGATTTTGGCTGCAGAATTGGATGGGACCATCCCTCAATGGTTCTTCTTTCTTCATACATTGGTTGGTGCTCTCTCTCTCTCTCTCTCAAACACACACACAGAGACACACGAGCGCTTGCACATGTGTGGGGTTGTGCACACATACATCATTTGTGCATTTTGTTGCAGGGTAGTTAATATTTGTTGTTACTTTGATGCATGAGGTTAATTGGGAACTTTTCTATGCAAAAGATTGTTGACATGTACAAATATATAGCACAAATCTTATGTCTTTGTTTTAATTGGTTCATATACTTTAGACTCTTGGAAAGAAGCAAAAAATATATCTGCATGAGTCTTGCTTAACAGCTTAGTCATTTCATAAGGATCTGGATATTTGGCTATTGTATCCTGAATTTCCTCATATTAGTCTGGTATTTTTGTTCTTTCTTCTGCAGTGCTGGTAATGAATCAGCTGAAGATCTTTGGACTGAAAGCAACGGAACCTGCATGCAGCATGGTTATGACAGTAGTAGCAATAGCAATAGTAGCAGTATCAGTAGCTTAAGTGCCAGTTCTAGTGATAGTGATTTGAAGACTGCAGGACCAAGTGAGCTAGAGGCTGATGCAGATTCTTTAACGTGTAGACAGTCTGTGGTATCTTCTGGTGATCAGTTGGAAAGTGATGGCCCCAAATTGGTATTGCATCATTGTGTTCAGCAAAGTGCTTTTGGTTATTTTGTGCACTACTAATTGGTTTTCCGTGGATAGTGATCTTAGCTGTCAGAATTCAAATTAAGAAATGTGGCAATTTTTTGAATCCTTTTTATTAAATGCATATATTCTTGCCTAAATAAGTCAGCTGTGGTCGGTGCAGGGTGCTAAACGAACTCGAACAGGGGCCGAATCAAATAATCAAGTGGGTACTACTACAAATGTTCCTGGGCAAGATGCTTACATGTCTGATTTTGGTTCCATGGAAATGAACAATTCAGCCATTACACGAGTTGGGAATGAGCAAATGGGATCTTATTGGGATTGGGATGATGATGATAGAGGCATGGAAATGGATATTCAAGCTCTTTTATCTGAGTTTGGTGATTTTGGTGACTTCTTTGAAAATGATTTTTTGCCTTTTGGAGAGGTATCTCGATATCTTAACTGCTAATTTAAAGGATATTCCTTTTGGTGATATTCCTAAAACCCACAGTCGGATTAGTGTTAGTAATTCCATGTTGAAACGCTACATTCCCCATGCAAACTCTGCATTCAAATGTTACGTTTTGAATTTACGAACCCTATTTTCTCAGAGTAATGAGATTACATGTTAAAAATCTAACTTTTGGCGCGTCATTTATTTTTATAGAATGAAAAAGGATATGTTTATTTTAGATTCTTTTCAATGTCTTTTCTGTTTTTTTTTAAAAGAAATGGAGGTTATCCTGTTCTCCTATATTTCATGTCTTCTGTAATTAGATATTTTCAAGAATATGAAGAGCCCTGTTTTCCTTACTTCTTTTTAAAAAGAATTGAATGAATGCAAAATTGTCTTTCATGGACTGACTGCGTTATAACTCGTACTAAAGTCTGTAATTCCCTTGGATTTATTTCTTGCACTGTATAGCATGAATATCCTTGATGTCCTAAATTTCCTTTGACTCGCATACCAGTCTGCTGGAATCTTATTTTGATCATTGTCTGGTAAAAGCCCCCAGGAACTGCGGAATCTCAGGCAGTCATGTTTTCTGCTCCAGATTGTGGAGATGTCAATAGTAGTCCTGTTGGAGTTATGGATGCTTCAGATCCAATGCTTTTGCCAGTTGGATTTCCTTCCTTTGAGAGCTTCAATCCTCCTTCGTCAGTAGCTGTTGAGGAATGTCTCAGCAAAACTCAAGACAACTTGAATACTGCTGCACCACTTGGTCAAGCAAATCATACTCCTGTGTCTTCTTCGGGGGAGTTTGATCACATAATAAAAGCTGAAGCAATGATGACATTTGCTCCTGAATTTGGAGCTGTTGAGACCCCTACTAGTGAGATTTCAACATTATTTAGAAGTCCATATCTCCCTGAATCTCGAAAAGCTGAGAGTTTAAATTCAAGTTCAAACAATTACTCATATGGTGCAGCACCACCACCCTCTTCTCCCTGCATTGAAGGATCAGATGGGAAGAATGGCATGATAATTAATACAAAAGCATGTTCTGGTAAACAAGGTACTTGTATGGGGCTCCAGTCAAAAAATTACTACACTTACATGGAGGGCAAGAAAGAGGGAGATGATAAAAGTTCAATTACATGTAATGATAAAAGCATTGGAAAATCTGAGGGGATGGTGCCTCCTTCACTCTCTGCCATCGGTTCTAATGCTGTGGTCAAATCTGTCCAAAGGAAGATGACTGATCCTACACTTGAAGCAGAGCAGTTCCTTCTATCTGCTAAGACTTTGTTAGCTACTGATGTTGCTTGTTTATTGTTTCAAGCATCCATGTGCAGGCTACGGCATGTTCTGCTATCCTACAATATCCTCATTCCTGCTGGTTTGGGTCGGTCAGTTGGGGATGCATTGTTGAATCAGCTACCTGGTGACCCTAGTGCCACCCCAGACAACATATCCAGCAAGTATGAGGTGAAGAAGAAAGAGAATATCCCAATCAGAATAGCAGGAGATATTGATGGAGGAATGCTTGATGGGCATCTCAATGTGCCTGTTGGTGTCTGGCGTACTCCCACTGTGGGAGTTTCAAAAGTGGTAAAATCTTCAAATTCACCAAACATGGATGTTGCTTCATCATTTTCTCATAATTCATTCAACGAGGAAGGCATCCTTTCTTACGGTCAAAGGCAACCACTTCAAGAGCTTCTTGACGGCATTGCACTCCTCGTCCAACAGGCATTATCGTTGGTTGATTTAGCTTTGGATGCTGATTGTGTTGATGGTCCTTATGGTTGGCTTGCTTTACAAGAACAGTGGAGACGTGGATTTTGTTGTGGGCCTTCCATGGTCCATGCTGGTTGTGGTGGAACTCTGGCCTCTTCTCATTCACTGGATATTGCGGGTGTGGATTTGGTGGATCCACTTTCTGCTGACGTAAGTTTGTTTAATATTTGTTTTCAAAGTGCTTCTTGTGGACCCTGCTTTTACTTATAAAAGCTCGTGTCACTTGTTTCAGCCTTCCTGAGGGGTTGAGGGATGTTTGAAATATAACTAAAATGAAGTGCTAGTCCTCTTGTAAGCAGGGTGTTTTGGAGGGTTTTTTTTTTTTTTGGCCCCGAAATTGCTGAAATATTTCAGTTGCAAGGTTGATGAGTTTGGAATTGATTTGTTATAGACACTCATTCACTAGCGGTAGATGTTAGTATCTTGAAAAAAGGGTATCATCATGTTGTTTTTGGCGACTCTGATAGCATCTCAATGGTGTTGTATTGTCATCCATGACTATTAGTCTGACAAACACATGCTGTCTAGTTGCAAGGACTAACTAACCATAGGATATGCTGAACCCTGTAAAAAGTACTTTAAGACTCAGACACGCTCTTAATTATGTGATGTAATTTTGGTATCCATACAGAAGTGCATATTCCATTTTCTACAAAGGCTACATGTTTTTTGGTATATTCCACATAATTTGAGTAGCATGTGCTTAACCATTCGTATGAGATTAGCCTAATTGTATATTGTATTTTTTTTCTCTCATATCCGGGACATGTCCTCCAATTTCTTAGATCTCCTGACGTCTTTAAATGTTGCAATCTTCTGATTATTAATATCGCTTTCTTTGTACATATGCCCTTTCCTTTCTTGTAGCTCATGCTTTCATTCGTTACTGCTTTCAATAGTATATTTTGCTTCTTATTTCATTAATTGTTTTTCTCTATCATTATGTGATATTAATCATGTCAATAATCTAAAATTTCAGGTCCATGCATCAACTGTGATAAGTTTGCTGCAATCTGACATCAAGACAGCCTTAAAATCTGCATTTCCCAATTTGGAAGGGCCATTATCTGTGACTGATTGGTGCAAAGGACGCAATCAATCGATTGATGCTGGAAACATAATTGATGGAGTTTCTGCTGAGTCCAGCACTGGCGAATGCAGAGATTCTTCAGAATCAATGAGTCCATCCCAGTCATCTGTTGGTGGATCATCCAGCCTTAAGGGTAGAAGTCTGCTTTTACATGAATGTTAAATGTTTTGATTTTTCAGTAACACTAATATTTAAATTGACTGTTGAGTAGTGTCCAGCATTACGGATGGTGCCAAGGCGGATGAGACTTCCCAAAGGAGATCTGGCCTAGATATTCCACATTCAGAGTCAGAGCAGCAGCCTAGTTCCCGGCTGAAGCCTACCCTTATTGCTCTTCCATTTCCTTCAATACTTGTAGGGTATGTGGCCTTTTCATAAATCATAATATATGTTTGAGGACAAGCTTGAATGCGTCCTACTATCAGTACCTAGGACAAGAAGCTCTTGATACTATCATCATCTAACAAAATTCTTAGCCCTAAGAGGTAGTTCCAAAAAGAACTTGCGAGGACAGCATTATGAATGGGAGCCTTCAAATTAAAAAAAAAAAAAAAGGTTCTATAACCGAAAATATTGGAAGGTTCTAAGATGCATTTGAAAAAGTGGAAAGTGAGAAATTGACAAATTGTAGACATTCTGAGGTCCTATCTGCATATCACGGGAGCTACTAATTTTGGAAAAATCAAGGATGTTGCGCTAAGATCAGATCAAAACCTGTGTCATTCTGCAATGCAGCCTGCTTCTAGGTTTATGTTTATTAAGGAACAGACAAAAGCTTAAGTGTGCTTTATTTAATCAGAGTTTAGTAAGTCATAAATAACTAGATTTCGGTCCTGTCGAAGTTTCCCTTCAACCATATGAGGTATATTTGTACAGCGAGTCATAGCCAACTCTAACCGGCCAACCAACATAACCACACAAACATCCTACCTACCCTTACAAGCTCACTATCTTTCTTTGATTCTTGTGTGACAAAACTGGTATCTGATAGAATGAAGTTTGGATGTTAGTACTTGTGTTGGGAACTTATGATTAATATGTCTCGCAGTTATCAGGATGATTGGCTCAAAACGTCAGCAAACTGTTTACAGCACTGGGAAAAGGCTCCTCTGGAACCTTACGCTCTACAGAAGCCCGTAAGTTAATAAATAACTACCACTGCTTTCTATATGCTTGTCTGCTTCATATTGTAAAATTCAATTACTTGAGGAATAATAAGTTCAGGACCTGAATTTCACAAATGTGATTATATGGATTATTTTTGCAGATTACATATTATGTTGTATGTCCAGATATTGATCCCCTTATCTCTGCTGCTTCAGATTTTTTCCAACAACTAGGAACAGGTGAGTAAAGTTGATCGTGCTACAATTAAATCATGTGGACTGTTGTTTGATGTTTATGTTTTCATATGTGGAACAATCTATCCTTCAAGTGATTAGGATGTATGATGTGCTCGAAGCAATTAATGTTTCTGGACTTTCATATGAGCCTTATTACATCTAAGAATAGCTCTATGGAGTTCCAGTAGAATGCTTTCTGATTTGTGTGCGGCCTGATTAATGATTAAAGATTCATCTCATTCTGTTTCTTCTCCCCACTTTGCTCATTGAATTGTTTTATGTCTTATTATAATTCTATCCTTTTCAGTCTATGAGATATGCAAGCTGGGAACTCATTCACCTCAAGGTTTAGGGAATCAAATGGAGACAGAGTCTGGGAAATTGTCATCTTCTGGCTTTGTTTTACTTGATTCTCCACAATCAATGAAGATTGAGAGCAGCAATGCATCTCTTGTTGGTTCGATAAGTGACTACTTTCTCTCACTCTCTAATGGTTGGGATCTGACTAGTTATCTTAAGTATCTTTCAAAGGCTCTTAGAGCTTTGAAGCTTGGTCCATGCTTCTCCACAAATCCAAATGAGGGAAATAGCAGTTCATGTATGGTAAGCAGATAATTCTTTCGCTTAGATCTAGTGGTTAAATGTTCATAGTATATCCCTTTATAAGATACCCTCTGGTTACTCCTCCCTCCGTTCCTTTTTGCAAGACAAAATTACCTAATTATGCACACCAATAAAACAATTTTAACTAATGTCTTAATTTTCCCCCTTTTTCCGCTTTTTACCCTCAATTTGCTTGGCATTTCCACTACATGTGTATTTACTCCAGAGTGCCAAGTCTTTTTATTATTGAACAGGGGCATTTTTGGGAAATTATTGAATATTCATAGAATGAGGTTCAGATCGGAAACCGACAAACCGGCCACTTGTCCGGTCCTGTTCTTTCCAAAAGTAGGGAAAATCTAACTCGGAATAAACTGTTCGGATAGAACCCGGCTAACCGGCTGGGTTGGGGGGTTACCTAGGTTACTTATTGTTTTCTCCCAACTGTGACACCACTCCCTTACTGGAGGAAAAAAAACCGAAAGCTTGCAGAAAAATATGAGAGAGAGAGACGTGTGAATGAAGAAGAAGAACAAACTTGAAAGAAAAGAAGATGAAAGAAATTACCTAGCAACAATGAAGAGGAGGAGGAGAATGATATGAGGGGGTAAAAAATAAGACACCAACCATATCTCTGTAAAAGATGAAAGAAGACGAAGAGAGGAGAAATAGAAAAGGAAGAAATGGACTGAAGAAAGAATGCTTTCGTGTGGGAGGCTGAACCTAATATTATCAATGTCAAATCTGCTACTGTATTGGGAAAAATACAAAGCTGAGAAGTTGCATAAGGAAATAAATGCATGCAAGAAAAATGAAATTTCAATCCCGAACTCCTATGCAGTTTAGTTGCGTGGTTGATAATAAATTAATAATATTAAATGCATAGGTATAGCCATATATGTCTAATGGATACTAAAAAAAATATAGGTCTAGAAGCAAAATAAAATTTATGATACTATAAATTCTTTAAAATCTTATCTTGCCATTTATTTTTATTATTATTTAAAAAAATTTTATATTGTGATTATGTTCTTGTATTATTATTTTATCTAAAATATTTACTATATAATTAAAACTTATATTATTTTAATTATAGCTGGTTTGACTCTGATTTGACCTCAATCTAACCCACTGACTCTTGGCCTACTGTGTCGATCGGTTTTTAATACCTTGGAATTATGTAAATTTTCTTATACTACTACTTTCGATCCTTAATATAAGAACTAGTTGATTAATTTGAATAGATTAAGGAAGTTTGTTAAGTTAGTTATTTGTAATAAATAAGTGTTATTTTTTCTAGAATATCCTTGTTAGTCAAGTGTATTAGGTAGAACTATCATTACTACAAGGATTATTTTGGAAAAAAGTGGATAAATATAAGAGACAAAATAGATTGGAGTTTTATATTTAGGATCAAAATAAAAGTCAAATGAGGTCTTATGTTAAGGACCAGAGGAAGTATATAGGAAAATCCCACCTAAAATTGTCTTATAATTAGGAATAGGGGGTATATGATGTTTGGTTGGAGGGAAATGTAGGAGGTTCTACCAAAATATTTTTGTATCCACAGCTTATGTGGTATTACCCCTTTTTTGGGGTTCCCATGGTCTTTATTTGCAGGGTTTTCCATACAGATTTACAAATAGATCGGATGGATTTTCTAAACTATTTTTTTTCAGGCTTCTTGTAAGAGGAGAGTTGAGTGTCTTACAACCGTTGTTCCTCTTTTTATCCCTTCTAAAAATTCAGAGAAAAACTTAAAAATATGACGTCAGTAGTCCTATTTGTTGACACGTTGTCAAGGCTTTAACAATTCATGGCAGGATTGATAACTTAGGAATGGCTTTCTCATTCTATATTTTTTTTCTCTTCATTGTAATATTTTTTTGGTCTTTGTATATAGGTAATCTATGTGGTATGCCCCTTCCCTGATCCAACAGCAATTCTTCAAACTGTGATTGAATCTTCTGTTGCCATTGGATCAGTTGTCCAACAATCAGATAGAGATAGAAGATCTGCTTTGCATAGTCAGGTTGTGAAGGCATTAAGTGGCTCAGCAACTGTTGATGAAGCTTCAGCATCTAATATCATTGCGCTTTCTGGGTTTTCCATTCCAAAATTGGTGCTGCAGATTGTGACAGTTGATTCAATATTTAGGGTCACAAATCCATCCCTGGGCGAGCTTGTCATTCTAAAGGAGACTGCCTTTACAGTATATAACAAAGCTCGAAGAATCTCACGGGGATTCTCTAATGATTTTGCCCCATCAGCATTTTCAGGCAGATCTCATTCAGTTTTGACACAAATGGCTTCTCCCATTTCTGGGATGTGGAAGGATTGTGTTGGTCCACGAATAACAGGACACTCACTTCCGAGAGAGGGTGACATTGATGCTAGCTTGAGGTCTAGTTCTTGGGATAACTCTTGGCAACCAACAAGGACTGGGGGACTAAGTTGTGACCCTGGTAGATCTGGGGATTACTATCTTAATGATGAAAGTTGTTACATGTTTGAACCCCTTTTCATTCTCTCGGAACCTGGTTCTGTGGAACATGGTGTTTCAGTTATTGGTAGCCCCATTTCTGAATCTTCAAAGGTATTGGCAGATGACAGTAGTGGAAACTGTATGCAGAATACAAGTACAGCAGGAAATTTGGATTCTGCTTCGAACCTTGATGGGTCTGAGCCTGATCAGAGGACTCCTCCAAGTCTACATTGCTGCTATGGATGGACAGAGGATTGGCGTTGGCTTGTATGCATCTGGACTGATTCTAGAGGAGAATTATTAGACAGTAATATTTTCCCTTTTGGTGGAATCAGCAGTAGGCAGGATACAAAGGGTCTACAGTGCCTATTTGTGCAAGTTCTACAACAAGGCTGTCATATACTTCAATCTTGCTCCTCTCCTGATACTGGTGTTGTCAAGCCTCGAGATTTTGTGATATCACGCATTGGAGGCTTCTATGAGCTTGAGTACCATGGTAAGTTTTCTTCGTCTCTTTCTCTTCATCTTCTTCCTTACCATTTGTTTAGTACAATAGAGGGGTCTTATTGAGTGCCTCATTAACTATTGTTTGCGATATGTAGAGAGGTTAGAAAAAAAGGGGGGGGGGGGACAGAGGGATGGAGGGAGGGAGGGAGGGAGGGAGATAGATAGATGAGGGTGAGGAAGAGAGGAACAGATAGGCTTAATTCTATTATTCCCAAAACCTCATTAAAGTGACCCCTATTCTGCCCTTTTATAGACCCTAGTTCCTAAACCCAATTAACTAACCACCCATTAACCTATCTTTACTAACCAATCTCACCACGTGAGTTTATAAGTGTGAGCAATGAAGCCACATGTGAAAACAAGTATCATATTTGTGATAAAATTGGTTCAGGTATATTCGCAGTACTTTTCAATATTGTCATTATTATTATTACTATTATTACTGGATCATTAGCAGTTTATTTTATCAAAATGAACAACTATTGTAAATGATAAATTTAACCAAAATTTGTGGAGGCATAATCAAAGATGTATATGAATGTTAAACTTTAGGCGACGTTGGGAGTGGTCCAACCTTTAGGTACATTTTTACCAACGTTCCATCACTTCAGTAGTATGTATTTGGTTTTCTGCATTCTCTTTATGTTTGATGTCTAATAGTCAATTCTACTCAATTATGTTAAATAGAAGTTTATGTCTTTCTTATATTTGTTGTCACGTTCACTTTCCTATTTATTGACTCTGCCTATTACTTCAGAGTGGCAGAAAGCTATTTATTCCGTGGGGGGATCTGAGATGAAAAGATGGCCCCTACAGCTGCGTCGAACTCTGTCTGATGGGATGCCTGCCACTAGTAATGGTACTTCCTTGCAACAACAAGAGATGAGTTTGATCCAAGAAAGGACTCTTCCTTCCTCACCCAGTCCTCTGTATAGCCCTCATGCCAAGGCAACTGGTTTTATGAAAGGCAGTTTAGGGCAACCTGCTTCTAGAAAGCAGCTTATGGGTGGGCATTCTATGGCTGACAACTCAAGGGGTTTGTTGAATTGGGCACAGAGCATTAGTTTTGTTTCAGTTTCATTAGACCATTCATTACAGCTTGTTCTTCCAGCTGATTCATCTTCTCCCGGTGAGTTATATGCAATAGGTTTGCTTCCAGTTCTATTTTGTTATTTCATGGTACTGCTCAGATTCTGTCTGACTATTTATATAATCGCATGGATTAAATCAACAATAATGAGTTATATGTAGATATTTTCTCCGGATTGTGGCTCCAATGTTTATATCAGTTAGTTATGCATTCCCATCACGTGTTTCTTGGGACTCCTTAAATTGTAAGGGTGCAAAATACTAGCGTCTCTTTATTCGACTACTTGAGTCAATTATGTTGTTGACTTGGGAGAGGGGAAGGCTCTGAATTTATGGTCTAGAATTTAGTTTATTCTGAATTTGAAAATTGTTTTTGGACATGTATAACTGTTGAGAAGCACGGTAATAGCCTTATAGATTAGTGGCATGAAAGTTCTTCTATAAGTGGGAGATTGCAGGTTCAATCCCGCTTATAACACAATTAAAAAAAAAAAAAAAAGAAGCTGCTGAGTAGTGTAGTATATCAAAACCAGAGTAGGATTAGTTTTGAATTGACAGGAGGAACTCAAAGTATTTATATTTAAGCATTCATTTTGATTTTGGAGTTATTTCATGAGTGTTGGAAGACAAACATCTGCGGGAGGAACTCAAAGTGGTAGTGGGATCTCTATTTCAGGTTACATCGAAGGTTTTACGCCAGTGAAGTCTCTTGGTTCTACATCTTCGGCATACATTCTGATTCCTTCTCCCAGCATGAGGTTCCTTCCTCCAACAGCTCTCCAGCTGCCCACTTGCCTCACCGCAGAATCTCCACCACTGGCTCATCTGCTTCACAGCAAAGGTTCTGCCCTTCCTCTTTCTACTGGATTCGTGGTTTCAAAAGCTGTCCCTACCATGAGGAAGGACTATAGGAGCAACCTGAAAGACGAATGGCCTTCAGTACTTTCGGTGGGCCTGATTGATTACTATGGAGGCACTAACATTAACCAGGAAAAGATTATCCGAGGAGTAAACAAACAAGGTGGTAGAAGTGTAAGCTGGGAAGCTAAGGATTTTGAGATCGAGACGCACTTGGTTCTCGAGTCTCTTGCTGCAGAGCTGCATGCCCTGTCATGGATGACTGTGAGTCCAGCATACTTGGAGCGACGTACAAGTCTTCCTTTTCATTGTGACATGGTTCTAAGACTAAGGAGGCTTCTTCATTTTGCTGATAAGGAGCTCTCCAAGCAGTCAGAGAAGTCTTGACTCCTTGAGGTTAAATACAATGGTGCCGACAAACCTTTATAAACAACTAGAGCTCTGAATGTAGACTGTATCATACTAATTACTAGGTCTGCAGAGTCTGTAAATTATATGTAAAGCCCGCTGGTGCATTTTAGGAAGAAATAGATTCAGCAATTGTAGATATGAATGGAAATTGTGGAGAATTTATTGATAGAAAAGTTGATTTTAACCCAGGTTTATGCAATTGATAGAAGCGGTTGGTGCTAGCCTGTTGGCAGGAATTTGAAAACTGTTGAGATTTTTGGAAACAAAATCGCTTGCTATTGATAAGATATTGATCTGATGGCCCATCATTATTTCATGTGGCTGATGATGAATTGATGATATAAGCAATTGCGACTGACCATTTTGTTGCTTCGATCTTGTTCTATCTCTTGGCAGCCTTTTGGTTTTATATTCACTGAACGTTATATCGTCTGTTGGATATGGGGATGGACGACTTTTCCTAGCGTGCTAAATTCGGTCTAAATATTAATGTTAAAATGCCCTAGCCACGGGGCTAATGAAACCAATTTTTGATACAATTATGATATTCCTGGCCAGTGATCACACAATAATACATCATTATTATCTGAGCAAAGAAAACGAACTACGACGAAAGAGGGTGGAGACGCAGTGGTTTAAAACTTTGAAGAGCAGTTTTCATGTGGGCCCACTTTGTAGGTCGGTGTCGCCATCATAACTTGCTTTATTCGTAATGTCATCTTAAACACACACGAGTGGCCTTTGGAGAGCCAATAGGCGGAGGGTATGTGGCGTTTTCATACGTCAAGCTACTGTTCTTTTACCTCCTCTACAATCATGCTTGATGAAAGCGCCACAATGGTGTTCCAGGAGCAAGAGTTGCTCGATGCGTTCGAAAATTATTTATCAGATTTTGTCAAAATAATGTGAAAGTAGCCTTATCTGATCCCGAAATAATTTGAATGGTTTTAGAGAAAAATAAGCCAGACCTCACGTGATTTAAGAAGTGTTTAGATGAAAACCAAACTATAATTTTAAAAGTGATTTTATAGTATATGAAATAAATATATAAAAAAATTTATATCGTAAAGTACTTTTTAGAAACACTTGTGGGGATATAAAGTAATAAAGGAGTTTATTAGAATATGTTAAACATGGGTTTGGTGGTTTAAATGCTGTGTTTGTGAAGAGTACGAACTGCAATCACGAGTGGGATTTGGGAATAACAGTTAAATGCTCTAGTTCCTTCCATTAGTCAAGAATCAAGAGAGCTATAATTGCACCTCGGAACTTTCTGAGTGAGGTCTTGAAGGCACAAATGGAAAGCGTGGCAGCACACTCCTAAAACCAAGTCAATCCATCTTGGTTTCCAACAGAATAGACCAACAAAACTCTCATAATTATACTGCTGAATGAATGAATCACTGATACAGATGAAATGGTGGGAGGAAGAAAACTAGTACTAGAAAAACATAAATTAGAATCAACATCAGATAGGAAGCCACCCCTTGTGAAATTATTTATGGTACAACACAATCAAACACCCCCCCCCCCCAAAACAAAGGAATATGAAGCATAGATGGTGAATACATTAAGCTGAGAAGAAAAGGGTAAGGGCGAGTTCAGCTAGAGATGCCAAAAAGGCGGGAAGAAGCAGAGGGGCATCTGATGCTGGGCTTGGAGCCGGCCGGTCAGCCGCGGCGGCCGTCTGCACCAAGCACACTGCCATTACAGCCGCTAACAATAGCTTCATCGTCACACTCGTGCCCTCCATTTCTAATCCGACGCTAGAAGCAGAGCTATGAAATTGAAAGGCGACTGGTGCGGCATATTTACAGAAAGACGAGGGAGGGAAGCAAGTCAATTATTTTGTTAGCACTATACAGTTCGTATTATTTTGGGATGCCATGCCCATGATGCCACAAAGCTGTCCCCATGGGTCGCCCGCCATGAACTATATGCTGTGTTAACTGCTGCTTTGGCATCATGCGCTGTCCATCCTTCATCTGTCTAATCTTACCTCCCGTTTGAAAAGGGATGCTAATCTAAATCTAAATTATATACTATATTAAAATGAGACCATTTTATTACTTTTACTTTTTCACAAAATAAGTTTAGATGAGTAGGGTTCGGACTTATTAGGATCATGGTATGTTTCAGATTTAAAGAGCCCTTACAAATATAGATCAGCTACCAACAAAGTTGAATTTACGACCTTATAGATTATAAATCGATTATTTACTAATTAGACTAACTTTTATTAGTTGCTTTTTTTTGGCTGAATATAGGTATTTTTTTTTATTGGAAGTAATTTTATTTGAGACACTATTAAGTCTTAAATGTGAATACTCCTTCTAACGAAGATTCGAATCTTGATTCAGTATATTGCCATATACTAACCCGTCACTTATTGGTCACTTTTTTTTTTTTGGTTTTCACCAGGGTATTCATCGGAACGAGCCCAATAACTAATCCCTCAGGTACTGTCAAGCTCAAGATGGGAGCGACCCTCCCAAACACGCTTACTCCATTTCCATCCCCTCTAAGAATCAAACCCCAGAAGCAATAGTTAAGGGACACAACTCCCTTACCACTACCAGTTGTGCCAGTGCACGCTGGTACTTGTTGGTCACTTTTAGTAGCTTCTAACAAATACTATCTTTTCTGGGCCAGCTTCTAACTTGCTAACAGGAGTGTGACAGGGCTTCTTCCTTTCTTTCTTTCCCTGTTTTTGGGCCCTCCAAAATACAAAAGAGAGAGCCTCTGAAATCCCAAAATATGGTGCAGCCCACTTCACTAAAATGATAAATAAAGCCCAATTGGCATATTGTCCGGCCCATATGGAAACTGCACTCCCTATATAGCTTATATTGAAATCAAAACCCTAGGCTGCCGGCCGAGCCTCTTCTCCGCGGTTCCTGCCTCGTTTGCGAATCTGGGAAACAATGGGTACTGTCCGCTCTTTCGTTCCTGTTCATTGTGATTGTGTTTATCTTGTTGTGGATGGAAAATGATACTGTGGTGGAGCAGGGGCTTACAAGTACGTGTCGGAGTTATGGCGGAAGAAGCAGTCAGATGTGATGAAATTCTTGCAGAGGGTGAGATGCTGGGAGTATCGTCAGCAGCCGTCGATCGTGCGTGTGACAAGGCCCACCCGACCTGATAAGGCTCGTCGCTTAGGGTACAAGGCCAAGCAGGGCTATGTGGTTTACCGTGTTCGTGTGAGGAGAGGAGGTCGCAAGAGGCCTGTTCCCAAGGGTATTGTCTATGGCAAACCTACCAATCAAGGTGTTACCCAACTCAAATTCCAGCGCAGCAAGAGGTCTGTTGCTGAGGAGCGAGCTGGCCGCAAGTTGGGCGGCCTAAGGGTCCTCAATTCTTACTGGGTCAATGAGGTTCTGTTTCTGATTCTCAATTCTATCTCGTTTAAGCCTTTTCAAACATGTTTGACACTGATCCTTTGGTCCTGTTTATACGCTACAGGATTCAACCTACAAGTACTACGAGATCATCCTTGTGGATGTTGCCCACAACGCCATTCGCAATGACCCAAGAATCAATTGGCTCTGTAACCCCGTCCACAAGCACAGGGAGCTTCGGGGCCTTACTTCTGCCGGCAAGAAATACAGGGGCTTACGTGGCAGGGGACATCTTTATCACAAAGCTCGTCCGTCTCGCAGGGCCACCTGGAAGAGGAACAATACCCTCTCCCTTCGTCGCTACCGCTGAGTTTGATCTTGCCTACTGTTTTCTTTTCATTGCAATTTTGGATTTTAGGTGCATGAGATAAACTTGGGAGTGTCGTTTCAGTGTTTTTGATTTTCGTGTTTTGTATACTTGAGACTCAATGCATATCTTAATATTTAAGTCCTCTTTATGAATTATAAACGAACTGCTTCGATTTTCGATTTGTTTTAAGAAAACAACGTCGATTATTGCGTTTGGCCATAAACTCCTCCGCGGGATCTATCGTGGTCGGAATACATGTTGAATAGATTATTGCGTTTTTCCATGGGCATTTCTCAGCTATATATGAAGGTTCGAAGTTTCTCTTATATTTCTATAACGGATATAAATTGATGGGACGCACACATAGAGACGATGAATTCCCTTCTACGGCAAAATCTAAGCATTTTCCCTCTCTACCCTATTGTTTTAGATATTATCAATATCTGGTTGGATTGGGAGGAGCTAGTCCTTATTTTTAACATGAAATTACTGATTGAACCTGCGCATGCTTAATAATTATCAAGAGTTCCTTTTACACGTACCCGTTTAGCAATGGTTACTCTTGTCAACTCTCTCAAGGCAAAGTTGCTGCCCATTTAACTTTTTCTTTCCTTTTATGATGATTTTTTTCATCCTCTCTATTTTCCAATGAGTTACGCTAGTTTTTAATTAATCTTAGATTTGAAAAATCAGAAAATTGGGATTATAAAATTTTAATAAAAAAGAATGCAAGTTAGAAGAAGAGGGAGTGTTTTTTTTTTATTTGCCATGAAAGAGTAAGAGTAATGAAAATCTTTTAGTACCCTAATTTTCACGCAAAATCTTTTCATTTTTTTCATACTAAACGGATCCTGACGGGTTTTTAGAGCAGAAAAATGACTGAAGAAAGTATACAAGTGTTGAAAAAAATAAATTAAGAATTTCTTATCAGAAATCAGGCATTGAAAGGAAGCTTAGAGAATTTGTGTGGTTGGATCTTGCTAGCGTGGAATCTTGCATTTCAATACCATAAAAGAATTATCATTAACGGTTCCTTTCAGTCCTAGTTGCAGCCAGTTCATGCATCGTGAGAAAGGTAAATTTCATCTTTCTTTATTTCTTTCTTTCTTTTTTGAAAAAGAAAAAGTCAGTTACCTTCAACTATACTTCTATTAAGTACGTGAGTAAGCAGTATCCAAATCATAAGGCTCACATTAAACAAGGACGGATAGAGTTGAAAACAAGGCGTTACAGGATAAATATTACTAAAAACTCATGAACAGCATGGTAACAAGTCATTATTAACTAGATATCACTAATCATCAAATCAAGGCCCAGATTTCATGATGGCACGGCCGCACCGTCAAAGTTGCCAGGCCAATATTGAAAAACATCGGTAGAGATGACCGCGATTTTTTTCCCCCACACCCATTCTAACCCTCTCAGTAGGAGAGACTGATGTTTTAAAAGCTAGACCGGAAGTCAAACCGAAAAAATCAACGGGTCATGGTTCAATCAGTCAGACCGATAACGCAATAATTAATTTAAAACAATATTAAATAATTAATATATATGAAAAATATCAAATTATTAAATAATTTAGAAATGCATTTAAATAATCTAAAATTATAATGAAATCATTGAAAATTGACTAAAACCTTGTATATTTAATATTTAATAATATTAGAAATTATTAATTTATTCAAATCAAAATATTGTTTTAAAAAATAGACCAGACATCGAAACAAAAAAACTGACGACTCACGATTTTAACACCACAATATATGAAATTTTCAATGAAATAATACTATATAATTATAAATAATCTAAAAATATATTGGGATATTTGAGGGGGTCAAATTTTTTTTAATTTTTTTTAATTTTTTAATATTTTTTTAGTTAGACTAAAAGACCATCCGGTTTTTTGAAAAGCGTTTCAGTTCCTGGTCCAACTCTGGGTTTCGACTTAATGATGACTCAACTCCGGTCTAATCCAGCTCAACCATGTGAGGTCCAACTGTCCGGTCCAGTTCTTTAATCATTGGGAGAGACTACTCACCCACCCAAACACAACACACACTTCCCTTGACCACATGCAGGGGGGTTGACCCCCAACCTCCTCAATAAGATGGCCGCCAACGTAAGATGCTTTAAAAACTAAATGTATTACGACTACAAAAAATGTTTTGTACAAATTTCTGCAACTGTCAAAATTGCGGTTGAATTTACATTCAGTTCGAGTATACCCTCGATCCCAGGCGTTAGTAATTTTCTATTCATACTGAGCTATCTCCTTTTTGGCTTGTTTGCCTTTCTGATTAAATGGTTACAACTATACCCCCTTCTATTTACAAAATAAACACCCCGCGAGCACCTTCGATGCTCCACTGGCAGCAGCGTGGCTGTTGTCACCAAGCATTCATACGTAACCCTATCTTTTGGTTCTTCAATGGATTCAGTTCCATCTCCAAGAATAAGCAATTCCCAGATGTCAGGAACCACATCTTCATAGCCTGCAAAAACCTAACGTTCAATGTGAGATACAGACTGACGTTGCAAAAACGCCAAAAAAGCTTATAAAATGTTAATATACCCTATGAGTTCTAAGCTGGGATCCAGCAGAGCATACGCATGATCCACCAAGAACCCAAGCATTCAAGAATCTTCTGCAGCGCATCATATTCAATCAGCCCAAAGGGCAGAATAACAGAAAGGAAAGTGATCTCTAGGCACTGCCACTACAGAGCTTCCAGAGTTATTGATGCCTTGGTGAAAACTGAAAGGACAAAGGGTGCTTCTTCCCCTGGGTGTATAGTAGTAGGAACTATAGTGTATCCCTTAGGATCAGGGTCCAGAACCATTTCACAAGATATTTCTCTGGAATTAACGTAGTCTGTGCCACCAACTGATTCATGTAGGTATATGTTAAAAGCTGCCCGTCGGCCCCGAGTTTTGAGTATTCTCATTCCAATGTAGAACATTGACGAGTCATGGCTGGATTGATAATTTCTAAAACCAGCTGTTGTTCTTGAAAACCCAACACCCTACAATATTATGACAAAAGGTAAGAAACAAATCCAAGACATCTTTTTCCTAATATAAGTATTATTTCATGTTAAATACCTGTGTTAAAGTAATGAAAACATGAATCGGAAACGATGCATCTTGCCCAGTTGCTCTCAGTCTGAACTGTGGATTTTGGTGCCATGTATCATAATCCTGGCAGCCACCAGCACTGTAACCACGCCATTGGCTATGAACAGAATAACGCATCTCTGGAGGATAGATGCGACAAACATATATTGATCTAAAGTGAATCTGGAAGTCTTGCCAAGACATCCAGAAAATACCATCCTTTGACTGTTCCAAAAAGTCAGACAAAGATGTCACTTGGGTTGTAGTAAATGTAAACGATACAAGGTAACAAGCATAGAATAACATTTCACATGTGACTGATCCACTGCAGAAAAGTAAAAATGACAACCTGTGGAACATGTTTCAGTTTGTGCTTCATCCTATCTGTCCATTCAAGTGAGGAATCGGACCATGGGCCATTCCATTCAACTTCATTGGCCCAGGGATTTCGGATCTGAACTAGTTTATGCCCATCGACCTCTCTCACCTAAATTGAATCACATTAATGACCATTTGATTTCATTACAATTGTTAATATTAGGGGAAAAATTTCTCCCGCTACCTGTAGTATAGAATAAGCATGCCCTTGCACAATGCCACTAGATGAGATGTGGACGTCTGAACCTGAAGGACTTCCTGCGCCAAGAAGAAAACCCTCTTGCTTGAAGCGCAACAGTTGGGACCACAGTCTACCACTTGCTAGGTCAATCTGGGCTTCAGTACTCCTCATGTCAATTTCCTCCCCGGCGCCACCAGTGAGGTCTACGAGAGCATCCTGAACAAGCCCACCTTCTAATGCTTCAAAAGAGCCATGCAACTTTGCATATGCCTTCTCCACTATAGAGACCCAAAGTTCATTCCCCTTCTTACTGGTGGCAAATGCAGGTCTACCCGGTGATTCACATGGAACCCAATCATCAACAACAACAGGGACCCACTCACCCTGGATATCAGGAACCAGAATATGCAGTGATTAATAGTAATGGTATAATTTAGATTCTATATCTCCTAATTCGTACTAGCTTCTGTCGTGTCTGTAGCAAGATATGGCTTTTGATAAATCTGAACTATAAGAACTAAACAAAGGCCTTCTACCAAAATGACACCATTACCCTCAACAAATGAGCCAAAGAAAATTTCCAGAAATGACAAATGACACAAATTTCATAGCAGATAATAAGCACATATGACCTCTCATAAAAATTTCCAATAAATCAGATGGGATGATACCCAATGAATCAGTAAATGCATCTTACATGATTGTTTATCTTGGAGTTATTAAATAAATTCTCTTACTATAACATGCTAATTATGGGTAAATTTATCCTTCCTTGAGAGATATCAAAATTAACTTAACCCTCCCTAACCCAACTTCAAAAAATTATACTCCCCATCGTGAAATTAAAAGACCACTGGACTTACCTATCTTGCCACAAAAAGCAAGCTACAATTACAAATTTTTACCAAAATATCTTTATCATTCACATGATAATTGATAAATATTAAACATACATTAGTCACTTTATAAAATTTCTACCAGAATTAAATTATACTTTTCAACAGATAAATAAAGATTAAAATAAAATTCCAAGAAAATAATAAGTTATATTCTTCATAAAAATAGATTAACCATAGGGTATTAGGCTCGTCAATCAGTTGATTAATGATTATTAATAAAATGTCAATAAGCTTGTGTATATTTTTACAACAGGGAGCGTTATGTAATTTTAGACAACTTTCAGGAAAGGGGAGGGTAATTTACCCGTTAATTATTAATGTTTATCCTTCCAACAGCAGGTAATTTTCTTCATAGTAACTATCCTCTCTTGGATCACAGCAAAGGCGAAACGGATCAGAATATTGACCAGCCTTAACAATTGACTAAATTAAACTTCATCTATCTTAATGAATACCTAGTAATTAAGCATGAACGCCCAGTTTAAGCAGGATCTCTTCCAAAAAAACCACCAGGCATCATCCTTTATTGCAAGCATCTAGCACTAGTCTTTCAAATATCCTACTAAATAAGCTTGACATTGAACAATAGCATTCCAATTATTCATTCACTACCAAATTATTCATTCAAATTATAATCTCTCAATGTAACCCTTCTTTCAGCCAGCCATGTCTGAGCCTATATATACACACACACACACACACACACACACACACACACTTAAATATATACACACTCTCAATTCTAGCAGATTGTGGATATTGCAAAATGATGTCACAGCAATGTCTGTGTCTGATACCCCATGCTTCATAAACACTTAAATAGTAAACATTACCTAGGTATAAGAGGAGGATGAGAAATAGAAAGCATTCAATGTGAAATTCACTCTATAAACATTACCTGAACACAGAAACGAACAGTATAGATTCCCTCCTCATTGTATCCCGGAGTAATGATCACTTCTGATATACGAGAAACCTCAGTCAAAACAGCAACAGCACTCAAAAACCAACAATCACCCAACCGGCCCTATGCCATGGACAAATTTACTATGAGAAAAATTGCAAAATTTAAAACTGTCAAAAAACAGATACAAGAGTTTATAGAAGTACAATAAAAGAATAAGCATTTAGAGCCAAAGACTTGTAAATGAGATGGAGAAAAACCATAAAACCTGACAAACATCTGATGGATTTGCAGCCCCTGAAAATAAGCATGGACGACTATCTAGACGGTTCTGTCTCACAATTTCACTTGGTCTCATCCACTCAGAAACAACCTACATAGGAGGAAAAAATCAGTTTGTCCTAAATTAAAAAAAGACTTGAAGATATTACAAAACTTCAAAGGGGAAAACCTGTAACTTCGTTGGAGGATTTGCAGGGTCCACAAACAATGATTGATCATTTGGAGGAAATTCCTGATCAGTAAACTGTGCTTCTCCTTTAGCAATGAGGGCTTCTTTGACGGCCAATTCCACAGATAGCATCCGCTGATTAATTTCTTCTTGTGTTTCAATTCTTGGTTTTCTAAACCTCCTGGCAAAGGAATCCACATCAACAACCAGAGCATCACGTTCTGACCTCCTCTTCCTCCCACTAGAATACTGCCCATCCCAATCTAAGTCATCTCTATCGTATAAATCCACATCAGCTGGATCACTCTCCCAATCGTCAACCTAAATGGTACAAAAAATAAGGAAAAGCCCCCCCAAAAAAAAATGTCAGTAATAAGGTATTTTACCATATCCGATAGTACAGAAGATCCAAAGTTAATTTTCACAATTGAATTGAATCTTCTTTTGTAAAGGGGAAAAAACAAGTATACCCTAGATGGTGAATCAGCCCATTGCCAATTATCTTCAGGAAAGTCAAGAATACTAAAATCAGCTGAAGCCATCGTGGAGTAAAGAGCGGAAATCTCATCTTCAGTTAAGCACCTGCCCCAGAGAAAAGCATCCATAATGTGCATCTTAGATTCAACTCCTTCACTATCCGACCTTCCAAATGCATCCATATCTGTAGGTGGTCTAACTCCCACCCACACTTCTGTGCCGTGTTCCCAAATGCTGTCGCCCACAGACAATGGTAATCCAGTCTGGTATCCATCAAATCCGCCATCTAAATAACATGTTGCTTCACCTAAATCAGCATCAACTGTCATTGTCACAATATGCCACCTGCATTGCAATTTATTATCCAGAAATATTAGTACATAGCCCCATAAAGAAACAGCAATGCCTCAAACAAATATAGCATCCTTGGAAACACATTTAGAAAAGCACAAACAGTCAAGTATATAGTATAAGTAATTTCTTTGTCCTCATCATCTCGTGCATAAAATAGTTCGGAGAGACATGCAATTCTCAAAACCAAAACCATATAAGCAGCACATATGTTTAGCCATCTTTCCAGACATGCAACTGAAAACAATGAGCAACAATAGGCCCCGTAACATAATTACAAGAATTAGAACTCTGAAACATGACTACTTAAATTTTTAGAGAACAAACCATAAGACCCGATGAAATAAACAGAAAAGTCAAACCTCCCATCTGCAATACTTGTTGCACTGATACTCCACTCCTTTGCAACAGTTGTTTGCCTATCACCTTTAGTAATTAATCTAAGCCCAACTTGACCCGCTTCAATACCTTGTTCAGAACCAGCCACCAGAATCTCCCAGCAAACTTTCTTCTGAAACTCAGTTCCCAAAAGACAAACTGGACCAGACTCAGGCTGAATCATCAGTGTAATGGAGAAGCTAATCTTTTGACTTTGGCAAAGACTAAGATCAATTGGTCCGCAATGCCTACCACTTGCTGTTGGTTCATCATCATGAACACACACAGCACCCGTAACTCCTGTCTGCCAAAGATATTAAATTGTAATAAAAATCAGGACTGCGTTACTGAGCATGTTGAGTGGGTGCAAAAGTTTCTAATCATCTATAATATACAATGCTAGCAAACACATCCAGAGACTTTAATACACTGGTGATGGCCATGAGAAGAACACTGGCAGAAGACCAAGTAATTAGCTAGATAACTGTGGCTGCTACAAGGATGCATTGCTATATAACATTCACATTAAAACAGTAGTTGCCATCGTGATGAAGGTCATTTTATCTCAAAGAAGCTTTTATTTCATGATCTTTATTATCACCTGAAAACACGAGATTTTTCAGATGTCAAGCAAATGCAGAATTCAAAAAGGTAAATCAACCTGGAGTGCACGACGAGCTAACTGAGAAGAACGTATTCTACGAGCAATGCTTGAAACCCTCTCACGAGCAAAAGAATCATCAAGGACGGAATCACTCCCAACGGCACGCACAGCAGCCGCCATGGCTGCAGCCTCTCTGCTGCCAGCATTAGGGATTGAGGAAAGCAGAGATGCTTCAATCTCCTTCCACTTGCGTTCCTCTTTCTCAAGTAGGGCTTTCCTTCTTTCTTTCCCTCTACCCTCTTCCTCACGCCTCTGCATGAAGATTTCCTCTTCCATCTCCTTCTCTCTTATGTAACTGCAAGGGGAAAAAAAAATATAAAAAGATTGTTGCGGATGATATATATATATTGTTCAGTTAAGTATAATGAGATTTTCATAACAGTACCTCTCCTGAATGATTTCAAATTGTCTCCGATCTTCTGGCATCCACTTCTTTATTTTCTTGGCACTCAGGTCAGAAAATCCTATGCTGTCAAGAAAAAGTCTTAAACGAACCTCATCCTGCAAGGAAAAATGAGTCACAATTTTCACACAAAAAACTACGTGCAGTTTGTAGCAGGAAATTAATTTTACCTGTACTCTTTCTGCCTTAGCAGTCAAACCAAGCAACAACAGTAAATAACCACCAAACTTGTCCCACATGTATACCCATTCAGTATCAACAGCCTCTTCTAGAGCCAGAATTCGTGCATGAGCACAAACTATTCTTCTGTGATCCACATCGCTGGTTGGTTCATGGCAAAACGTCCTCTCACATCTTAATCTACTAAAAAATGATCCTGCAACTAATTCTTCATTTCTCAAACGATCTCTCAATTTCATTACATCAGCTCTGGGAAGCACAAAGTTTCCCGCCCTGTCATGCATAACAGTAGGGTCTCCGATCAGAAGTGCTGCAGAACTAGCTGACCTCTGGGGTGCAGAATAAGTTCCAGATAAAGCATTTCTGGTCTGTAAGAAAATAAAAGACAATCATTAATGACAATTTTCAATGCACTCTGGAAAATGTTTTAGGTTGCATTGAGTATATGGGCATTTTAATTTTCCACAGGCTTGGAAATCTATTTATAAAAGCTTAAGCTCAATATATGTCAAAACAATACTACATTTGGTCCTTAATATAAGAGCTAATTGACTAATTTGAGTAAATTAAGGAAGTTTTTTAAGTTAGTTATTTGTAATAAATAAGTGGTCTTCCCTAGAATACTTTGCTAACCATATATATTAGTTAGAACTACCATTTGATTGAATCTTTAACATATACAACTGTGATGAGGACTACTTTGAAAAAAAAGGGATAAACGAGAGACAAAATAAATTGGGATCTTCTATTTAGGACCAAATTAAAACTCATACTACCTCTTGTATTAAGAACCAGAGGTAGTAGCATACTGAAAACGCATGTCGCACATAGTTTCAAAAAATTGCATGCAAATCTATAAGCCAAATTTTATCAGAACTTTGTCTCACTAGAAGGACAAAAATTGAAAAAGATTTCTCCAACATTTTTTGTAAAAAAAAGTACAAGCATAAATATGACGCTACAGTAAAGCCATCCAAACACATTGATAAAACAACGCACCTTGGTTGCTGATCGAGCAATTGCTTGAACAATTGTTTCCTTGCTGAGAAAATGTACAGCATCTTCCATCATCTGTGCATCATATGATGGTTATATCAACTTAAAACAAAGAGCTGATGTAAATAACAAATTAGGCAGATTATGAGAAGCCATTTTCTTTCATATCCTAAAAAATGTGTCTGTAATACAAAGTTTCTTATAAATACAATCATTTGAAGCAGTTGAAAAAATAAAGGTTAATCACAAATAGCACTGAAACCTTGAGAGTAAGGCATGGTCGAGAGACGGCAAATCCAAATGAAACAACAAGAGTAATCGCAGATACAGCCGCACCAGCAAAAGGTGGATAAATCTTTAAACTGGCAACAACACCCCAGCCCTCAGTCGCCAGGGCAATCCCATAAAGCATGAGAAATGCCATACTGTTAAAGCAACAAGTAGATCTATTGAGTGATAATAAAAGATTAAATGTAAACGTTAAAAAATATAAATTACTGGATAATTTTATGAAGAAAAGAATGGAAGACAGCAAAGAGGATGATGGATAAACCTGACATTCTTTCCACAATCCGCATGAGCATCATACACATACACTGGAAGCACTCTGGGAGAGTATACCACAATGGGAGGAGAAAGAAGAACCTAAAATATAAAACAAAAGGATTAAAAGCTTTACTCTGACCAAGTTAATCATGAAATAATAAATAATCAACATTGTACTCACAGTCAAAGCCCGTCCAGCAAGAAGAAAGAGAAATGAAAAATAACCAACTGATGCTCCAACAAAGGGCATACCTGGGGAAAAAAGAGAGTGAGAACAGTGACACAAGTACAGCAGCAAGTTCATGGTATGCATATTGTAGCTAATTTAAGGACAACTGATAAACTTGGCCCTCACCTTCAAACCATCCAACAAGAAATGCAGCCAAAGCCAACAGAAAAGCAAGAAAGCAGACAAAGAACATCTGTGTGCGGCTCAAATAAAAATTGTTTGATGCCCAACGGTGGATAGAACCAATTGCTAATACCATAAGTAGAAGAACCAAGAGAAATGCAGCACCTATCTGTAAAATGGGAAAGTAGTGGCAATCAGAAAGGGGCAAAAGCACAAAAAACTACGCACTCAAGTATAAAGGTAAAACACTGAAGTGAATTGCACTTACAGTCCAAGGCTTAATAACAACAATCACAGCTGATATGGCACCAAGCAGAAGAAGAAGACCAATTACAACAAAAATATGTACACCTCGGGACAGTTTCCAATCATCATCCTTCCTGCAAAGAGATATTTTCACGGAGGTCAGGCACCCATTATACTGCCAAGCAACGGTTGTGTGCCTTCACCACATGATTAATTGACAATAATGAGAAGGTTACCAACCACTTAAGCAAACCGGAACAAAGTGAGAGAACTGCTGGAATGCAGACTAGAGGAAGCAAAGCAGCTAAGAAATCACCCTTTGTTGGAATCTGATTATCCCTATACTTGATAACCTCTAAATAGGAGACACCACAAAATGCTACAAGAACAACTGCATCCAGGAAAGTTATCTGTAAAAATATGGACAAGCAGCAAATAAAATATAAATGTGCAAAAGTACAAGCACACATATATGGGGATCAATTACCTGCAAATATTCCAATACAGATAGCAGAGGAAATCGAGAAACGATATGTGGCAAACCATGATATGATTGGCAGCACACCGGTAACAACTAAAGCAATGGCAGATGCCATTGCCCAGCCAAGGTAAACAGATGATGCATAAGGGGAAGTGAAGCTTTTCTGATCACCATTCCATCCCTTATATCTCAAATCATCCAAAGGCTTTGCAGATACTATTGCTCCCAAAGCAAGCACAGATCCCACAAATATTGACATACAAATAATAAGAACAATGCCCTGACAAAGAAACAGAATTAAAAGGAATTATGCACCGACAAGAAATTTTATCAAATGAAATAAGCAACAAATCCATGAAATCCCAGAGGCAATTAACCATCAAAACAACAAATTTCCAGTTTGTGACTAAAAATAACAGTAAGCCTCTTTGGACCACAGCGAAGATATGAGGAATGGCCGACAAAACAATAGAACAAATGTTTAGTGAGAATATTAGATTATGCCCTAATCAAAGTCACCAAATCCAGAAGAGATCAATTTCACAAATCTAGATGCTCCGTTCTACTCTCAACCTCAACAATAAGCGGACAAAAAAATTGTCAAATCATCCCATAATACCTCAGCTCTTCAGAGGCAACAAAAGGTTTATTCAAGTACTGCCAAGAGCCAAACAATGTCAACCTGAGAAGTCTCCCAAATGTGTGTTTTCATAGCAACTTTAATGAGTCAGACTCTGTCTATTTCCCAAGATAAGGGGATTTGAATGTTGCTTTCCTCTAGTACCTTCACACTTGTAACTCTCAACATCTATGACCATTCATCTCTTATCAAGGCACTATCTCCTAAGCTTTTCCTTTTTGGGAGTGAATGGGCATGCAAATTGAAATGTAAGAAGATAAAGGTCATCTAATTAACATAACTTGCTGCTACATTCATTTTTGGTAGAGAGAGGTACAAACAACATACCTCCTTTCTTGCAGGAGTTCGATCATTTTCTGCATTTCCAGCACAATTCGAATGAGGAACCCAAAATTGGTAACCATTACGAATCCATATCGGGAAGGCAATAGAGAGGCATGCCACAATCAGTGGCACCGTCAAGGATAACCCAAGAAGAACAGATGATTTGCTGCATAAGACATACAGATATTATAGCAACACATGCACACAAAAGCACCTGCAGTTATTGAATTGAAGAAATAGCATTTACAAGCAGTAAGCATGCTCCCCACACAACCAAATACATCATGTTAAGAGAAGCAAATTGACAATGCTATAGAGAAGAAACCAGTCCAAGAGAAAATTGTCTCATCTAAGGCAGTGGCATGCATTCTGATACATTTAGAAGGGAACTTCTTTTGTTAAGAATGGAATTGCTCAAGTCTCAGTATGGTATAGACTTTATTATAAATTTAGAGCAAGTTAAACAGAGGAAACTACAAAACCATAAAGGACATAATTTATCAGCACAAGTAAGAATCTGACGGAACCCCAAAACCAGATTAAAACTAAAATAGACTATTACGGTAGAATTTACTCAATACAACAGAAAGAGAAGCCTATTGCAGCAATTCAGGCAGAACATGGCAACATGTAGAAACAGCAAAATCAAGGAAGCTACAAAGGGGGCAAAAGATGCTCCCTAGCTTTTGAGAGGCTAAAGATTCTCCCCACACTGAGCTGATTTTTTCCTTACACCCTCTCAGCCATCAAATTCCAAAATAAACCCTTCTGACCACAATCTCTTTATCACTCCCTCAAGCTCACCCCACTCACATCCCATGTTTAAGCACCCAACCTGCTTGTTTATTTCCCCAGCCAGGTCAAATGCTTCGGGTCCATCAGAATCCCAAACTAATGCCAATGAACGACATTAACCACAATAATAACTGGAGTTCATAAAACAATGACTAAAAATTCTTAAACAATAATCATACGAGTATGTGCATCCAAGATGTCAATGACATTTTTGCATCTTGATCAAACTGTAGGACTTCTCCTAGAAAGGAGTAGACTTTATTACATAGAGAGGAATCTATACAAAAGAGCATGTATTCTGTGAAAGGCATTTAGGATCATATTATGTACACCATCTTAGAAAACAAAGAATTTAAAATAATAAAATGACACATAAAATAAGAGAGAGCATGATAGACAAATAGCATCAAAACAGAAACCTAACCTGACAAACTGTTATATGTTTGATAAGAAAATAAGAGAATAGGAAAGGGATGGGGAAAACTGAGAGAAAGAGGAAACTTAAGGAATTAGAGAGAGGGTTTCAGAGAAGAGGGAATCAGAGAGACAAGAGAGAATGATCAGAATACTTCATGGGCGTTCTCATTAACACGCAAGACTAATACAACAACTAGGATCCTATTTATAATCATAGGTCCCTTAACTAACTTCTCCTACCAACAACTTAACAACTATCAACTAACGCAAGGCTACTTATCTAACTAACCCTCTTTTCAATATTTATTATGATTACATAACACAAACGAAGAAATGTACCAAGATAAATATATAAACAACAAAATTATAATTTACTTTCACAGCTACCTTTCAATAATCTAACATGCATGACTTCACAAACATAATGTAGAAGTGGGGTAAAGCATTTCAGTAGAGTTTGGAAAAAATGATCATGGAAACTATCCAACAACTAAGAATTAAAAAATTCAGAGCAAACAATATTTTATGCAGCACAGATAGGCAAATTGTACATGTAATAAGTACTTTATAAACCATTTAATTGAAGGGCATACCTTAAGAAGGAAAGCAACAATCCAACACATGTGCTGAGCAGCCAAGCAATAAAGCCATACTGAAGACAGCAAATTTGGAGAGAAAGGTGATTAGTGATCATAAAATCCCCATAGAATTAAAACCACGTTACACATTGCTAACCAAGCCCCATCCTAAAAAGAAAAAAAAAAAAAGGTTGTACACACATGGCATAAAGAACAAGGCTCATCAACTTGATAAAGCAGCCATCAATAATGCATCAAAATTTTGCCTTGAATACTAGAGTTTTAAAATAAAAGTAATAGTAATAGTACAACCACGGCAAACATCCTATAGATTTTGAGGACCTAAAAATAGGAAATAGAAGAAAACAAGAGGCCCAATAAAATCTTGGGAGGGTTACAATCAGGTCTCAAGGGAGGGATTTAATTACCCAAAAATCCATTGACAATTGAAGAGCATGTAATAATAAGTTCCAGGATAGAGAATGACAACAGGTTTATCCTGGTCACTTGTCATTAGAATTTCTTAGTGGTTAAGTTCCTCCCTTAGGACCTCATGGTGATTCTTCCTAAAATCATTGGTGAACTTGTTTGCTTTTCTTCCAGTATTTTACGTAGAGGAATTTAAGATGTGATAAGTAGCTGGAGCTCATACCTACAGCTGCAATAAGGGAAGAGGAAGAAGCGAAGCCTCCCTCAAATCCATTTTCATGGGTTCACTGTGTGCTGGTGAAGTTGAGTGTTCGATTCTGGCAGTGGGAGATTTTTTTTCATTTTGGAGAGTGTTTTAGTATTTACATATTTTAAATATGTTTAAGTTAAAAATTAGATCTCCATATCCAAATCAAAAATGTTTTTAAACTTCACATCCATATCCATTTCCATCTCTACCTCCATTTCCATCAAAATCAATTCCAACATGCCAAACAGGCCGCCCTAAAGAGAGACCTGTATTCACACTCATTGATGAAGGAAGATGGTAAAGAAGAAAAATGAGGTTATTGATTATCTTGCTACTTCTATTATTTCTCTTGTTCTTGCTCTTATTATTTTTGCCCAGTTGTGGGAGGAATGTTATTATAGTCTATGATATGAGTATTGGCCCTTAGCCCAGCCAACAAATAGTTGTAACACTTAGCTTGCTCAGATGAATTAAAAGCTCTTGTACTTGGGTTAGAGTGATGAAAATTCATGTTATTATAGTATATGATGAGTACTGACCCTTAGCCCGGCCAACAAATAGTTGTAAGACTCAGCTTGCTCAGATATGAATTAAAGCTCTTGGACTAGGATTAGAATGATGAAACTGAAAGTTCATTCTCCGCTGTTCTCTCAAACTCTCTTTGACTAGGACTAACAGGTTCTTCAAAATGAACAAAGAGAAAGCGGGATACAAAGGAGACATGCCCATTATAGAAACCCCATTTATGTGAACAAATTTATAAAGAATTTCTGCACAATTTAAAATGCTCTTTCAGAAATAAACGGCTATTTGCATGATAAGGTACAAACAGCAGTCTATATTGGCATGAACTTGGAATCATAAAAGCAGTGGAAAAATCAGGATTCCCGTCCAAAGCTAAGAACCATAGAAGTAAATTCTTTTTTCATTTTTAAAGATGAGTAATTTCTCACTTGGATGCTCCAAAGCATACCTATGTAAAGTTAGTTCTTCAATATTTTTTTTCCAACAAGTTTCAACCTATGGAGTACTGAATTGTTAAGTTAGTCCCATTGATTTTAATACTTGGACATTTGAATGGGGAAGATGATCAAAACTAACTAAGAAAAGCAACACAATGGACGACCAAATAGGGAAGTTAGCCCTCTTTCAAGAATGCAAGCAGTATTTTATTCCTAAAATAATTTCACCAGACCCAAAGAACTTTCTTTATAAGACTGACAAACTGCAAAACTGATAGTAACCAACATAATGATAAAGAAGTATTTCTACAGAAGCGCTAGGCAGGTAAATACAGCAATTATAAGTTGAACAACTAGACCACATTGGAAAGTCAAATTCATCTGTTTTGGTACAAAATTTATGCATAGTCTTAAAATAGTCATATCAGTACCTTCCTTGGTTTTGATGTCATGGCCATGTCTTCTGCCTTAAGTGATCGAAGGAAAGCCATGATTGAACATACCACAGGAGACAACATGAGCACAGCAAAGCCAAACTCAAACTACAAGAAGGTCCAGACAACGTCAAGAGAGGCTCATGTTTGAAAGAACGAAACTGATAGTACATAACTGAACTATCAATGCCACAATAAAAATAAAACAAATGTGGGGTTTCCACAACAACAGTGTGCAAGTTCATTCCAAAAATCGAATTACAAATTAATCCTGGGGAAGCATCCGCACTCACCTGCTGGTGTGTTGCATTAATGATTTTGATTGTCTTTGGACGGAAGATAGCAACAGCGATAGTTTCAAGGATGAAAACAAAACTAAATAAGACCCATGCTCGCTCAGGAGTACCCACAATGTGATGCAATACAAGTCTGGATAATTGAAGCCACTTCTCAAAACCATGAAGCCTTAATTCTTCTGATAACGAAATTTGATTAGGAATGGCATTGTCAACATTATTAGAGTCGGCAATGGTAATATTGGTATTGTCACGATGATCTCTATCTGCATCAAGACTACTCCTTTGTAACAAAGCTAGAATCGTTGGGTCCAAACTTTTCTCTTTCAGCATCATAGCAAAATTAGGATCCAAGCCTTTATCTTGTAACAAAGTACTTAACTCTCGATCACCTTCTCTTGCTCTTCTTTTCAGCATAGATGTGATTCTAGGGTCATTCAACCTTTCCTGAAATGCCACAGCTAAATTCAAATCAAATGTTTGCTGATTTGCAGAGTTAGATGCACTAGAGTCACACCCTTGACTTTCAAGACAACCACTAGAACAAATGACCAAAGAATTATTGGGTTCCAAATTTCTATCAGCACATGATATTCCACCCTCAGGCTCGTGAACAGCTGAGCGACATGAGCTGCTATGTAATGCTAAACTTGGCCTTCCACTATCTATACTTTTGTCACTATTGATTCCCTCCTGCAAACTAGCAGATTTAGACAGAACATTATTCCAATTGCTCCCTTCAGCTGCAGCCATACTCCTGCCAGTTTCAATGACATTACCAAGATTACTAGCTTCAACACTACTGCTGCGTTTCATACTTGAGCCACAGCCTTCTGAAGAGCTAGATGAACTGTTATGTTCTTTCCTGCGGAAACCTTCTCTTAACCGAATCACTGTGCTCTGCAAGGCGTCTCTCCTTGCTGCCAATGGATTTGTGACTGATAAGTGTCGGGATACAGCAGCTCCTAGAAGTACAGATGCCACAACAGCATAACTGACACAGTGGCCCAAATACCTGAAGATGGAACGGTGAGATATGTCAAAAACAAGGTAACAAATACAGTAAAAACAAATGAAGCAACACTCAATTTTAAAGGTACTAACCAATAGTGCACACCAAAGCAAATAAGAAACACCCGAGATGTACCAGCAATAAACAGTGCCGCAACACGATTTTTAAGAAGCTGAAAACCATAAAGACAGGCCCCCATATTCCAGTCTACAGGCCAATAAATGAGCAGAAAGAGACAAAATAAGGATTTCTTCTGCTGTCAACATAAACATGTGTTCAACATAGTCAATACCAAAAACAACTGAATAATATACCAAGAATTATAACAGCAGCCGATGTAACATATCCAAGCCAATGTGCCTCCTTTGCTGTCAGACCATACAAGATGGAGTAAACAACAAGAACTAACAATGAGCCCAGATAGAGAAGTCCAAGATGTGATGCCCTGGAAAAACAGAAAATCCATGAATAGAAGAAAGACAAAGATAAGAAATCTAAAAGCCACAGCATGGTCTAGAAGAACTTACCTTCTAGATTGCCGAGGATACAACTCATTTGGATCTGGAGGCTCAGGTAAACAAGACAAAGGACCCACTTCAATACAATCAGAATAGGCAAATTTGTAAGCCCTTCGCACATACTCATCCACATCCAAACCATTCCCTGCAATGATCAATGCAATGAGAATCCCACAAACAAGGAAGTTAACTAAATACCACTATTTCAAAGGAATTCCACAAGACAATGTCTCTATAATCAAGAAAGGATCTAATGACAATCAAGATAGTAATTCATAAAACAACAGGTGGCACAAAAAGTATACCGTTAAACACCATCCTGCAAATAAATAGCATGTTAATTGCTAAAGCAATTGCTGACACTCCAAAAAAGAAGCCTGAAGGAGAATAACGCTCAGAGGCATGTGAGCCAGCCGTAACATAAACCGCACAAAGTTCATATGCACAGAGTAGGGCAACAGCCAGAAGAAGGAGAATGGCGACAGCCCCTGTCAACAAGAAATGTGAAAATTAACTTGAGATATGAAAATCACAGTGAAACTCAATACAATATTATTAACATGCCCAGGCATATCATAATTACAAATGAACTATGTAATATACTTTTTGAGTCTGATCTGCACCTCATCTCTTCTCCTTGGCCGTATCTTTTATTTTAGAGAACTTATCATATAACTTAGACAATGAATCAACATAAAGATCGGGGGGGGGGGGGGAATAAAATGCTGCAGATATAGACAAACTTGAGCATCAACCACATTGACAAAAGATCTAAATAAGCAAAACACTTACTCTAGCTTGTCCTAATACTCTTAATATAATTACATTTCTGAGAACTTGCTTATCTCACCATGTTACCTTATTTATATCCTTATCAATGATTCTCTATCCTATTTCAACTTTCCATGAAGTCAACTCCTTCATCAGTTATATATACATTTATTGTTGACTCAGTATTTCAATCAGAAAGCAACTACAGCTACCGCTGTGTCAAGATTTTGACAGAAATGCTCTTCCTAGACTTACAGTTAAAATGCAGATTGAAGATCCAATTAAGCCAGAATAATTCCAGCAATAGCTGCTCTTGTAGTACAGAAAATTTTCTGACAAGAGCAAATTCAATCATCCAAGCAAGCAACTTAGTGCAATAACTCAGTTAGTGAGAGTAACAATATAGCACTACTCTATTCTTGATGCAGTTCTCTCTCCTTCGTTCATCTTTAAAATAAGGAGCCAATAAATTACAGCAACACAATGAAAAAAAGAATTTTAACATTAAAAAGACTACAATGCTATGTTATCCTTAAATATACAATCACACAATTTTACACTTGTTATCATAAACTTGTCAACTTGCTTTATATACTTATAAGATAGAAACTAGCTTTTCCATCTGTAGCCATGCTCTTATGATTGGGTTGTTTGTAATACAGGCCTAGAAAACTGCCTCAATTTTTCATGTTAAGCTTAGGACGACAAGCTTATTCATGGGTAAAACCCACAAACTGAGGAACTACTACAATAGAGAGTAATTTTTCTAAAATAAATGATGCAAATCACGTTGTCAAGATCAATTACTCAATTTTTCATGTGTCCGTTGAAATATACAGTATCTATCAATTTCTAGACGAGCTAAAATGAATTTTCAGCAGACTATTAAAATTTCATTATTTCCCCACATCAGAATCCAGTGAATAAAAGAATGGGATTATTCCTTGCTAATGACCATTTTTCCGTCACGGCAAAGAAAACCTTTTTGTATGATTTTACAAAAAAAAAAAAAAAAAGAGCATAATGCTTTGAATATTCACTTGTATTTTACACATTAAAATAAAATTCCCAGAACCAAGATATCAAAGCCCAGCATGAGGACTAATAATTTTTAAAACGCTATAGTGTCAGTGGTCAAACAAAAAACTAATTGAGAAATGGGAAATGGAAAATCAAGAAATTAAAGACAAATCAAAAGGACATATAATATACAATATAATCGTGTACTTGAACTTGATTAAACATCATAGCCAAGCTATTCACGTAGCATGCATAATGCAACATAATAACATACATCTACTTCAAAAGCGAGCCATAAACAAAATTTTGTAACATACATTTGAATCTTGACCAAAACAAATTAGCAATTTTGGTTTTGCATCATATGAAATATGTAATATATAAGCAAGAAGGTACATACTTGAGCTTTGCCATTGTGTTCTCCACCAGAGCATAATGGAATAGAATGCCAGTAGTAGAGCAGTACCCGCCATTATTACAGCCAAACCAATCAAATCTCGACCCAATATTACAATCAACCAGGAACCCCAAGTTATAAGCACCAGGATTGGAGAAATAACAACGATCCATGCAGACAGATTCAGAAAACCACAAAGCAAATGAAGTTGAGGACCTTGCAAGATATTTGGCCACTTCCGAGCAAAAATCCAACTGAAAATAGAGCTTTTAAAGTAAAAATCCCAAGAAAGTGATTTCTAAAAGATGTTCTCTACACAATTTTGAGTTAACTGTATTCCCAAAAAAGTTAAAGGAATTTAACAAGAGAGTTCCAACAATTCAATACCTTACCTTTCATTTTCAATAAACTTTCAACCTAAAATATGATCATGATATCAAAACATTTTACATTGAAAAGAAAAAATAGCCAAACTCACAAGTATTGAACAGTCTTACTCTAAAATGATATATAAACCATCTAACATACATACAAATTATTGACAACATCTTTGATAACCACAAAATCATCTTCCAAATGTCTGCCAATAAATTTTATCCAGAATTCCTGAGATATTAGACTCCATATTGTGTCAACAGAATTCAGGGCATCCATAAAATAAAAACCTTAAAATCAAAGCAAATGAACACAGCCACATAGCATAAGTGACTTCCGCCATATATTTGATGTAAGATAAAGAAATTAACTTTCGAAACTACCATGCAAGCCTCTTCAGTACTTCTTGCACTGCTACCCACTCTCCATTTTTTCCAATTTCCGGTTAAGCACAAGTATAAACAAAAGTTGTTTCAACGGTGTCAATTGTGGAATCAATGTAGGGAAGCGACTACGTGTAATAAGCAAAGGATACACAATTTTTCTTTAAAAATTGAACATTTTTAGAATGCTCATATTGCACTTAGCATCTGTTCTACCAGCAATATTGTTGTCATTAACAAAAACGACGGCGCAAATTAAAAAGGATCCACAGATTAAAGAAAGTGAAGAAAGAGGCAGCAGATCACTTAGAAGCCAGCTATATTAACACTCCATAGTAGTTTACCATGTATAAAACCATTCTTTTTGAAGTCATTAAAAATCAAAAGGCTCAGAGTTTAAATGTAAATGTCCGTTAAATGGTTCAGAATGGACCTTACTAAATTCTTCATAATTCCGGATCTGAAAGCATCCAGGCAATTTATATTTGCATCCCATATGATAAAAGTATTCAGATTTCAGGAAACAAATTAGTGAGGTATTTCCCAAGTGATTCATTGGGAATATGTAACGGCCAATGCCAGCAAAAATTCGTTACTATCATGAATTAATTGCAACCCTAGGATAGCTCAAAACCACACACAGTCTATTAAAGCAATAGAATTTTGAAATTGCATTTAATAAATTCATCCAGTTAATAGTGGTAAGAGATTAAGATGTCCAAAATTTAAATGGTACCTATAAATTCGCCACGGCCTCCAGTTCACAAGCCACAGTATGGAGAAGGAACCCAATCCCAAAATTGAGAAGAGGATCCCAGAAATCACGCAAGCCAGCATGAGCCTACGGTCATCCCTTTCCATGGCCTCCACTTCTCAAATACAGCACATGTACCTAGTCATACTCAGAAAGAGGAAACAATGGAAGACGGTAAGAAAAGTTCGAAACTGGCAGAATGCAGCAGCAAAACGAGTGAGTTTCACCTACTTGACAGTAGGAAGCTGAAATGGCAACAACATGATCATGAATTCAGGAGGAATGGGTCATTCTGAAAATGGCCTCTGAAGTCGGGAGCTAGGGCTTGGAGCAAGAATTTAGCAGTGCATAAACAAGGAAATTAACTGCAGAGTAAAGCTAGGGTTAGCAAGAAAGTGAGTAAGAAGAAAAATCAAGAAAACGAAGCGTTTGTCTGCTTTAATTTTGTTTCTATCTTCTTTAGGTATCTCAGATAGGTTCAGAGTGAAAGAGTAAAGATTAAAACCCTACTGCTCTCCCTTGTTCCGGTTGAACTGTGAAATAATGTGAACGGGAAGTAAAAAGGATTTTCTGAGGGAGGAAGAGAGAAAAAGACAGGGTCCCAGACAGAAAAAGGAATTTCAGAACGACTTTAAAATGTAAGAAGGAAAAGAGAGGGGGAGGGGGAGGTGAGAGAGAAGCATGGCGGGGTCAGGCCTACTTTCCGCAAATACGCGTGCAGGAACTTACCAATGAGGAGGCGAGGCGAAAATGAGAGACGCTCGCTTGTACTGTTGACAGGTGAGAAGGTGAAGTCCACGCTCAGTCTGTGGCATGTGCAGAAAATACGGGAGCGTAGGCCCTGTGGACTCACGTCTCAGACGACGGAAGCGATAGTAATTTTACTTGCCCCATGGATACCCGCATGATATTTTATTTTATTCGCAGGATTAATATAATTTTCATTTTTAAATTATATGTTTTGGTATCACCAAAAATAAAATAATTCAAATTTTTATTGGATTAAAATATATAGTTTAAAATTTGAACGACTAAAATCAAAATAAAGGCAAGTTTTAAAAGCTAAAAATTATATTAACCCTTATTTTTATTAAAAACTAATAGAAGGGTCTCAAAACTATATATTAAAAAAATGATTTTGGAGAATAGGTCGTAAAAAATTCATAAAATCAGCTTCTTTCCAAACTATGGTTTTACTTCTCCAGATCACGCTAATCACTTCTTAATTATTGTGGATGAAATTATACAAAACCTAGGTTTTACTTGAAAATGTGATTTTGGAGTGGTTAGACAGACAGACATTTCAGTTTTCATAAAGAGCTTTATATCAATTATATCGGCGAGCACCCTGGCATAGGGAAAATTGATTGGCAAAGATTGTTTGCCCATATTTGTTAGGATGAACTATATGCAAGACTAGAGGTAAGAGTTTATACCCTGACAGAGGCACCTCTCACGGTAATCCTGCCTTCACTGGCTTTTAGAATGACATTGATGGTTTCTAGCTTGAAGCAAAAGTGAAACTATTCACTGCAAGATATAGAAACGCCGATGAGTATGATAATTGGATCGAATGGTTCTTCAAATATCTGGGATTCCATCCTAACATTGTAGCTGAACTATTGAGCATTGTTGAAGGACTTGATGGGACAAATAATGTGACAAGGTCAATGTTCATTGTAATTATTTTGAAGCCATCACTATCATCCTAAGCGATCATCTCATCGACTTTATAAACAACATCGTATGTGGCTCACAATACATTACTAGAATACGGAGTATTTGCGCAAATTAATTTGCTCATCAAGAGCCCACAAATAGTTTAAACAACAGGATTCCTGACCAACCTCACGGGATGCAGGGATGTCCCAATTTCTCATATGTTGTAGATCTAATTTGTACTGTGCACGGCCTCCTCATGACATTTTTCACTAAAAAAAAAAAATTTATTTGCCATATGCGTAAAAGATGAATTTTAATATTAATATATTGAGTGGACAGAACATCTCTTCATAAACGTACAGTAAACAAGATATATACAACTTTTGTGTCTTATATCTGTGGAGTGCTGTAAATTTATTATGAGTTTTGAACAACGAACTTGTCCAAATTCAAACTATAATTCGTTTTAAAAACACTTGTCAAAATCTAAATTACAATTTGTTGTTAGAGTTTAGTGACTGCTGATGCCAACGATGATCACGAGGCACTGGTAGCTGTTGGAGCTTGAGTGATGATGGCGGAGGAATGCGCTTTTGAGAAAATGAGGCACTCCGGTAATTAACTAATTAACTAAGAAGATTTAATTGTAATTCAGTCTTCTTAGTCTTTGCATGCCATTTCAAATTGGATTCATTATTTCGTGACAATAACTCGCTTAAAAGGTCCTTGAATGATAATTGTTCCTAAAAAAAGGACTCGTTCGCCGATAATAGGTAGAGAATAGAGATTAAGGCTCTGGTCTTCATCCTTTATCTGTTTAGCGTTTAAGAAACAAGTGAAGAGGCGAATGAACTAAATAGTAATTAACTAAACATACCGGAGGACGAATTTTGACCGACTTCTCAAAAGGCGGATGCTTCATAATCATCAGAATGTGCTGGACAATAAAATTATTTTTCCACAATTTTTTGTGCCAAATTTGTATGTTGTTCTTTATCTTTTGTGCGTGTTTTCCATCACAACAAGTTGTTTTAAACAATGTTTGGTACGTTTAAAAAATGAGAAATGCAGCTAGAAAGAAAGTGAAATATGTGCATTTCTCATTTGCTTTCTGAAAAAAACGCTTTCTACATATCAAATGTTATATTTATCAAATTTCCCAACAACCCCATTATGAGAAAACACAAGTCGAATCCAAGCTCATTGAACTGAAGATGAGCTGAACACAAGATCAGACGCACGAGCTTCATATTTTATTGTTTATTTGTCAATAGCGTTTAGCTTGAAAACTTTAGGATCATCCTCGCCGCACCAATCCTCAGTCCCCATTCTTTGATGACTCCGTGATTAGTCGACGCCACGCTTTCGACATGGTTATCTCGTCCCTCTTCTTCTGCATCTCCCAAAAAAGACGTTGTGATTTACTTTCACCCCGATTATGATGATTTGGCGAAGGTTTTCATTTTCATTGTTATCATTTGTATGGAATTAGTAGGTTAGCTAATATAGATGTCAGAAATCATGATAAAGAGAAGGAAATTGAAGCAGGGGAATAGAAGAAAACCAGCTGTTACGATGTTGTCCATCTTTAAAAACTGACATATTTGAACAAAAAACGGAGGAAGAGGCGCCCAGAGAAAGAGCTGCCCCTCTAACAATATTTTCTCCTCCAAATCTTTTTTTGTGTTTTCTATTTCGATTAAAGGGTGATATGTGTTCATACTCGTATGGAGAACCTGCCAACAAAGTAATCAAGTATGGAAAGGTGCATCATACTTTGGTCAATATGTCAGGAGCAATCAATAATTTGCCTCACACCTTAATTTGATCAGTTGGCTGTTTTTTTAGTGGGATCATATCAGCTTGACTCATTTAACTAGCGAATTAGTATACCCAAAAAAAACTAGCGAATTAAACGAGTTTTTTTTTTTTAAACCAACGAATTAAACGAGTTAACATGTTAGCTAAGGCGAATTGGGTTATGTAGCCCAACATAAGAATATTTTAAAAAAAAAAAACTCCATATCTGTAAATTCATTGGCCACCTCCTCCCCTCTCTAGGCTCTCCGCATAAACCCTCACCGTCAATACTATCCAGGACGGACCTGTTTCATTGTTTACACTATGCTCCCTCCTATTCGCACTTTGTTTAAAGTTCTCTTCCATATGTCATTAATAATTTAATTTCTTGGTTGGAAGAATAATTAGTAGTTGTATTTCAATTAAACTTTGGCGGTTAAAAAAAAAAAAACTTCAGTCAAACTTCAATTTTCCAAGTTGACACGGCCGAGCAAGAATGAAAAGTACAGATTTATCAGGCATTATACAGATAAAAGAATATGGCTTGGAATAAGCCTTTCAAGCAATGTATTGAGAATTAAATGTGGAAGGATATAAACAGTTATTAAACTGTAGGCCAACCCACGGTTACTTAAAATATTGGGGCCCACGGCTACTTAAAGACACAGGGGTGTTTATACATGCAAAAGCATTTTAAAAATATTTTCTACAAATCAAAACAAAACTCTTCTCAATTTTTAAAACTATTTTGATTTTCATTTAAACACCCTTATAGTTAAAACACTCAGAACATTTTTAAACTCTCAGAAATTCATTCGAGCAAAAAATTCAGTACAACTTTGAAGCAAATAACTTTTTACTCAAAAACCATAACTTTTTCTAACTTTTAAATTTTAGTTTTTAACCCTTTTTTTTTTTAATATTTGAATCTAAAACTAACTTTCCAATACATCGTCGTATAAGTTCCCCTGAAACTATATCCTCTATACAAGTTTCTATAACACAACATCCTCTATATAAGTCCCTATTAAACTACAAGTTTGTCTGAATTAAAGTGATTTTTATCCCTACTAATTTTTGCAAACTAAAATTAAGATAAAAATCAATTTGTATAAGGTAATTCATATCTGAATTGATTTTTATAAATAAAATCGGTTGATAAAAGCTCATTTAAATTTAAATGATATATATTGAAAAATCAGATTTAGAAGAAATCTCAAATCAGAAGCCAGAAAGGGCAATTAGACAAGAAAGGATGCAACGCAGGGATTAAGACAAAGTGCATATGCGGAGGGGGAAGTGGGGCCTCCTTACACATAATGATGAATCACAGATAAAGCATCCGAGCATTGTCAGCCCCTCACATGCAAGCAACCCAAAAAAAAAAAAAAACCCAAAAGCATCTTTTTACAGTTTTTGTCCTCGCCCCTTTTGTCTTTTTGGTTCTTCGCTGATTCGCCATCAACCATAAACAGAGCTTTCCGGTCGGAGCCGCTCATTATCGCTCATAATAAGCAGCTTGATCGCGGCAACAGAGAAACTCGTTCATATCCATTCATGTCACCAACAAACCCTCCCCAGCGGGGAGCAAGCAAACAAATAAAATACAACTTTGTTATGGACGCCTGTTTCTGATTTTTTTTTTTTCCCAGAAACATGGCCGCTTCCCCACCAATTTACATGGAGAATCTTCCATCTTTCGATATAGAAAAACAGTCAAAACTTTTCGCTACAGAAAGACCACGTTCCTACCCAACCTACAGAAAGCAAAAGGCATAGAGAGGGAAAAACGAGGATTGTTACAAGAGAGAGAGGCCTTACTCTAGATCGGATGATACACGTTACGTGGGATGGGATGGAAGTAGTTAAGAGGCTAAGATATACGCTGTCTTACTTCTTTTCCAAGTAACTTCATTGACAATTAGGGTTTTTACCGGGGCCTCCATAATAAAAGTAATGGCCCCAATCCCCATTACTGCCGGTTTGGACATCATAACAATTTGATTGCTCAGTGAAGGTGCCAATACCTTTGGGTGCCTTGAGATTGTTGGAGCTATCAACAACTTGAATATTCTTGAAGTAGCTTGCCTTCCCAAACCCTTCTTCGGGGAAACGACCACTGCCCATTTGAGTAGAGGTATGCTGACCCTCGGGCTCCGAATTCACAACTTCTCCTCCCCACTCAATCATGGAGGCACTATCTGCCAAATACGAGAACAGGAAAGATGGCCAATACCCCAACACGTAGTCATTCCCAAATTGCATCCACCAGTGCCCCTCTTTTGGATCCTATACAACAAACCCAGAATTCGTTATCAGAATAACCAAAACAATGGCTCCTTAAACTACTGAGGCCTTGGCTAGCATACAATTTGGACCTTACCTTCCAGATAAGTATACTGATGTCATACTGGGCATTGCGGTAGCCAGATACAGGAGAGATGCTTGCACCCATTGCTATTTCACTGTTCACTTGAATAAATCCCGAGCATAGAAGATTGTAGCAGCCGGTAGCTTGATATGCATCACTCTGCAGAAAAGCTGAATTAGGTTTTTTTTTTTTAAAAAAAAAAAAAAAAACCATTGACAGACCAATCTCGAATAGAACAAACATGAAAGCAAATCAGGATAGGCAACTCGAGGAAAGCTTACCGTCCAGTAGGTGAATAGCCGCGTGTTGTTATCACCATAAAGATCCGGGCTAACCTGTTTTCACGCTCGCGTAAATATTATCATGAAAAATAACAAAAATCGAAGCAGGTTTTTTTAAGTTAATAATAATCAACAGTACCTGCCAGCCTGCTTCAATGCTGTTAAGGTCCTCACCAAATGAGCCCCCCAGTATCCAAAGCTGAGACAAACTGAACTCGTTGGGTTGCTGTATCTTGGGTTCCCACACATTAATGGTAGCTTTGGCTCCATAGTACTTATCTCCTTCAACATAAGCTATTGCATGCTGATACAGAAAGAGAACCACAGACATAAAAAGGACATCAGACCAAAGTTATGTAAGAAACAAGAAAGCCGAAATTTCTCGTGATAATACTGCAAGGAGCTCATGGTAATTCTTGCCTGATGACCACTCTGATTAATTAGGTCAGGTTGGGCCGACCTAGGCTTTGGGACTGTCCTGTGCTTCTTCCTTCCATATCTTTTGACTGAACTGGCTCTTAGAACATCATCTTCCTTCGTTCTCCTTATGGGTATGGTGTCATCAGGGCATTTTCCATTAACATGCCACAACTGAGTTATGGGCATTGATTTTTCTATAGATTCAGAGACCTTGTTAACGTCAAAAAGTCCTTCAGGGTGGAAATTTGGCCTCGTCTAATCAATTTGAAGCATAGCAATTAGCAAGAACCACAGAAAGTCAAAATACAAACTAATGCAAAGGGGGGAAAACAATGTAAGGAACCTGAATTTTGTGATCTTTGAGGAAAGGATGATCGAAGGCCGGCTGCTTAGATATATGCACGCAATCTATAATATCCCCATCTGGACTCTGCAACAATAAAAAAATCAGACCATTAACACAAAGATCATGTATTTTGGTTTCCACGAACCTCCTCGTTGCTACCAATCATGCAGTCTCGCAATGTAATCAAACTACAAGCTCAAGCAATAGTATACGCCGAAAGCAGGAATTCTGAACAAATCTCTCTTCTTTTTTTTAATGAGCCGAGAACATATTAAAAGAAACTAATCATTACTCACCTCAGCTCCTGTAATTTTCCTTATTGCTTCAATAATTTCATAAAGAGGGTTATCATGGGTTTGAGGGCAGGAGGGGGGAAAAATGGAAAAGGCAAAATAGAAAGATAAAGCTAGCTTCAGAAAACGCGGACATCAATAGAAATACTCTAAATCGAAAAGAAGCGGAAGCCGAGGCTCGAAAAATCAGCAGAATAAAATACTTGGCGATGAAATGCCCATCTGATTCCAAAATGAAAATGTGATTGAGCACTGATCCAGGCAAAGCTACTAAAAGAGCCAGAAGACTGATTCCCCCTATTTCAAAACCAAGAAATACGATGGTGTTGAAAAGAGAGTGGAAAAGGGAGAGAAACCTGAATGGTTTTAACAGCCGGCTTGTTCAACCGTTTCAAATGCCTGTTGACCTCAAGCTTCTGGCGAGAAGCACCAAGCCTGATGGCAGAGGATAGGGAGATCAGGCCCCAAAAGATGAGAACAAGCAGGAGGGCTCTCCAAGTAAGCTGTGAACCACCCATGGCGTACCCTTTTACCCACAAAACCACCAAATGAAAAGCACTGCCTCAGAGGCTCGAGACTGATGTAGCTGGGCTGAGGCAAAAACACAAAAGAGCATCACCTTCCCATCGTCGCACCAAGCTCTGCTCTCACTCTGCCCCTCCTCACTACTCGCTCCCCGCTACCCTTTCTTTGAACTCCACCCACCCTGGTTGTGGCTTTGGCCCCTCCTTCTAAAATGTCATTTTCGCTCCCCCACTTTTCCCACTACGAAATTATTAACAAAACCCTCACTTTCTACTGTCTCTCTCCCCCTCGGTCATTATCCCACTGCTTTTTCATTTGCTTTTATCTGGCTTTTGTTTAATTTTATCATTATTTTTATGCCGAGGATTACTATTTTGTTAATTTATCTTGGATTTTGCACGAGGGGCAAAAAGCGAGAGGGGGAGGAAAAATCAAATGTTGTAGTACATTTCACGGCATGGGGCATTCGATTTTTTTCCCCTCTGGGTCTGGGAATATGGGCCTCTGTCTGCCCGGTGGCAGGTCATATGCGTGCAGAGTTCACGCACCGATTTTTGTCGTTTCAACGGAGGCTGGGGGAAATCCAATGGCAACTTGAACCCGCTTTCCCGTTTTACCCTTTCCATTGGGAAGATCATATCTCCGTTCTCGGCCACCCGTATTCAGTTTTTATGCTGATATTAATAAAGGAAAAACGAAATGCTGCTGAATAATGTACGGCTCTACCGCTTCACATGATATACAATAAGATGCAACTTTTTCTGCTTGTAAAAAGGTAGGTGGGTGGAGTGTGTATGACGGTAAAATACAGGGGTGATTGAGCCATAAGTCATAACAGGAAAATGTAAAACGTTAATGACGATTAGCGAGGCGGAATATTGGCGCATTATTGGCGCAATAGATAAAATATGAGTGGGTCCGTGATTGCTATTCTTCATCATCCCCTATGGGAATCCTATGACGAGCCATATCGCCCCTCAAATCTCTTGTTTTATTGCTATTGCGCCATCATCATGCATGATGCATCCCCGGCGCCCAAGAGAATCGCTGCCAACTTGGCGTCTCATCCTCCACCTCTTTCTTTTCCCTTTTTCGTATTAACAATTAACTAAGCTTTCCATGTTATTCGAGAGACACAGATTCCCTCCTCCTGATTTTTTAAATAATGCTGCTTTGAACCACATTCCTGTGAGATTTCTCATCAAGCACAGTTACCCTCTAGGGTTTCACGAACCGAATGTGCTCCTAACGTCAATATATCATATACAATTTATGTAAAGTCACTATATTTATGAGTCGCAGACAGCATGTATAGTTGTTACCCCCTCGGAGTTCTGTGCATCTCTTTATGCTTTTCACATTTTTAATGTGTGTTAATTTTAAAACTCTCCGGTTAGTGTTTATCTCGTGCGGGAAAAAAAATTAGTCATGTGATGAGAAAAGAAAGAGTTCGGTCGGCATGATTTATGAAACCATGTTCTCTGGTAGAACAGGATTAACACCATGAATTAATCAAACAAGAGGAATTTTCACATGAGTGTGTCTATGTGTATGAAGAATCAAAAATAAAAGAATCTTGCTCTTTTATTATATACTCCCACGGTCCAATTTAAGACCCAATTGACTTATTTGATACGAGATTAAGGAAGTAAGTTAAGTTGGTTATTTATAATAAATAAGTGTTGTCATTCCTAAAATATTCTTGCTAATTAAGTATATTGGCTAAAACTATCATTATTAGAAGGATTATCTTGGAAAAAAATGCATAAATATAAGAGACAAAATGGATTGGGTCTTATAATTAAGACTAAAATAAAAAGTCTTAAGTCTTATAATAAGAACCGGAGGAGTATTTCTAACATGAGAGTTAATTTAACATCTAGTCTAGTCATGAATACTCCCTCCAATTATTTTTATAAGAACCTGAAATTTGAGTAGCCTTGGTCCTTTTTACAAGATTTCACTTGTCGCTGTCTGAAGATTCAATGTGTTTGTCATTTTGCCCCTAATTAATTTTACATACTGCATTAATTAAAAAATTGACAAGTTCACATACTACTACCTCCGGTCCTTATTATAAGACTCCGTTTGACTTTTTATTTGGTCCTAATTATAAGACCCCAATCCATTTTGTCTCTCATATTCATGCATTTTTTTCCAAGATACTCCTTCTAATAATAATAGTTATAGCCAATATACTTAATTAGCAAGGATATTTTAGGAATGACAACACTTATTTATTACAAATAACTAACTTAACTTACTTCCTTAATCTCCTCAAATAAGTCAACGGGGTCTTATAATTAGTACCGGAGGTAGTACATTCTTTTTCATATTTTTCTCTCTTATTTGTCCTTTATACATAAGGATATGTTTGGAAAAAAATTATTTCTTATATATTTATTATTTTCAACTAATTTTAACTATTTTTTAAAATTGTATGATACAGTTAATTTAGTTATCAAGGTCTTATAAAAAGAGCATGAGGAAGTATAACACCCCTGTCTATTCTATCTCCCATATTTATATTTTTTTAAAAATAATCCTTATAGTAGTTGCACATGTTAAATGTTATATTAAATAATAATTCTAGTTAATACATATAATTAACAACGATATTATAAAAAAACACATATTTATTATAAATAACTAATTTAATAAAAAATTTTAATATATTCAAATTACTCAACTACCTTAACAAATATTAAAAATCAGGTATAATAATTTAAGCGAGTCGCCTTTACATATAGATATAGGCCATGTTTGCTATCACGATTGAAATTATTTATAAGTATTTTATATAAATTGAGACAAAATCTTCTCACATATTTATCTCATATTTCATTAATCATGATTAAAAATTTACAAGCTATTCCTATAGGTTGCGGCCAGGTAAAGCCGAGGGAGTTAAACAAGTCTCTCTCTGCCTCACTTGACTGCTACGAAATTAATACACAAAAATCTTATAACCCAGTGATATTAAAGTTCGTGCGGAAGATCGAGAGTTCAATTCTTCTTTTAATCACAAGGATTATATGCTCTTAGCAAAAATTCTCTAGAACGTGGTTCATACTTAATAGCCCGGGCGAAAACTATATGTCCACAAAATTTTAATCCTGGCACCCGCCAATTTTGGACGTCTGCCTTATAGGATGAAAGCAGAATCTTTTTTTTAATCTCATTTTTATCCTCAGATAAAAAATAAATAGCTAACATTTAATGTTTTATAAAATCATTATTATAACATTTTATACATTAAAATGTATTTTTCTGCTAGGTGTGTCAACTTTTATTATTTCTTTTTTTATTAAACCAGCTTTTGGTCAAGACTCTAAGGAAGTGTTTGGAGAAGTTTATTTCGATTTGTGAAAAAATACTTTTAAAAAACACTTATCCTAATTCCCAAACACCTTTTAACTCATATATATATATATAAGACTTATTTTTTATATTTATTAAATTTTTTAAATCATCCTTATAAACGTTCTTTCAACTATAATTAAATGGATTAATATACTACGGTCCTTAATGAATACAGCTAATATATTAATCAACTTTTATTTTGAGACCAGAAAAATTTTAAAATCATGTTAAGAATTTTTGGTTAATAATTATAATGATATAATAATTTTTTCCCAAATCATTCCTGCCCCTAAAATTTTTCAAGTTAAATATTTAAAAAATTAGCTACAAAATATTTCTAAAGTAAAGATTCAATTTGATTCTCAATATATAACCTTAATTCATTTTATTTTTTATATTTATTTATTTTTCTGAAACTACTAGTCTTTATGGTGATTACAAATTTTAAAAAATTTTCATTCTAAGTACATATTATTAACATAAATATTTTAAAAAATAATACTTATTTAATTTTTATATGAATAATAAGAGGTAGTATATAGCAATTAGCAAGTAATAAATTACGACGAGAAATGGCCGGGGGGGAATTACGACGAGAACAATTTGACGCTGTCTTTTCGACATTTAACAGTGACGTACATGAGAAACTGAAATTAATGTGCTCCAATTTTTAATGCGTAAAAAAATCCCTAAATAATTCATATAGGTACAAGGATTGTACACCAAAATTTCAAAATATGATATTGATATACGAAAAGTTTGGTTTAAACTTTTAAAGTTAATGTCATTTTCATTTTCAAAAGTTTATCTTATTTGAGTTTGGTCCATAAAATTTGAAATAAATAATTTTTTTCAAAATTTGATTTTATTTTAATCCATCTAAAAAATTTTAATTTTCAAAATAATGGTTTTAGTACCCAAAACAATATTTTAAGAAATCAAACTATTCATTTCAAGATTTAGGAATTGAAAGTAACATCAATCTAAACTTTTGATACGAATAACTACAAAGACTTATAAAGATCTAAAGTATATTTTTGATGGTTGCTCTTACTAAATTTAGTGTGAAATAATTTCTTAAAAAGTAATTATTTAACTGCATAATAATATTCTTATTACGGGATAAAGGTGTTTTGCTGAAAGTCTAAAATTAAAAAAAATATCTGAAATAGAAATTAAATTAAAGTAAGGTATTAATCCTAAAATATCCGTATGCTGTAAGAAATAGAGCGGCGATTGGTAAATGGGGAGGGGAGGAACGAGGGACGAGGAAAGCAGAATGACGCGAAGCAGAAGCATGGGAGCAGGAAGGGAGGTCCACGTGTACGAAATCGCCCGTGATTGAAGCACGACACACGAGGAAAGCAGAGCATTTTTTCAAAAAAAAAAAAAGAGGACTAAGCAACGGTCAAAATCTCAAACCAGGAGGAATCCAATGCCCCCAACCTTTGCATAGAAAGCCTCGGCACTCGGCTTCTCCACTCGCCTCACGACAGGACCTGCTTCCATGATGGGCAATCATAAATTTTGACCGTTACATTTATATCCACCCAATATTATTTTATTTGGTTTCCAGCTTAATAAATATGGAGTATACGTTCTGGTCAAAAAAAAAAAAATGGAGTATACGTGAAAAGCTGTTTCTGACTATTAGTTTTATAAAAAAGAAATTGACTAATCGTTTAAAACTTTGAAGTGTTTAAATTCAATTTATATGGCTTCAATTTTTACGAAACACTAAAACCATCAGCTTAATGCGGTTAAAAAAAAAAACCATAAGCTTAAATATCTGGACGAAATTAATAAGTTGTTAGATTTGAAAAGGAATTAATGTGG